CTGACTTTCCTCATTAAGAAAGATGAGTTTCTTTGATACACTGTGGGGGTGACAATTAGTTGTTAATTGATACATTATCATATCTGAATTTTGACTCCCAAGAAGATCGATATTTCTTATATTTGGCATTCAGCACCATTTGGCCTAACATTACTGTATGAAGTAATAGTAATGAATGAGTCTGTTTAGAGATTTATTGGTATGTAATAATGAGTGCCCTGTAATATAGAAGAAGGCATTAACAATAAAATGTCACCACTTGCCATTTGTTACGAACGCCGGCCACCGAGCATCAACCGTTGAATTCCGCCCACAATAAAAGTTGGAAACTATAACAATATGTCTCCACTTTTGATGGTGACATGACAACTACGATGGTGACATGACAACTACGATTATAAGAATACAGGCAAGAACAATATTTTATATTTATCCCATGGTTGCAAGGGTATAAGATCGAATACCACTTAGATATATTTGATATGTGGATCAAGGTATCATATTTTAGCAAAACAATCCCCAACCTATTCGATGATTTCAAAAGTGATATTCGATGGTTGCGATTTTTTATTCTACTTTTTAATTGTTTTCAATGAATATTTATAAATGAGTTTTATTCAAAACCATCCTATGATAAATTACAGGGTAACACAAAAATACAACCCACTTATTTTGAAATAATCTGTTAATTGATTTTTTCGTGAGACAGGCTCTCGCATATAATTCCTCAAAAAGTAGCCAATAAAGCATTTTTGTGTCACTAGATGTCCAATGCTATGTACATGTAAGCCTGAAAATACAAGCTTGACCAAATGGCATGTCCGATTGCTCCATGCGCATTTTGAGATTTTTTTTTTAAAAAACATATCAAAACAGATATACGTAATCAAATGCCATGTGTGTAAAAAATCAAGAATATCGAATGTTTCTGACAAATATATTTCTATACTTCTATAAGTAGCTATATTCCACCTCACTGCGTTTTCCGTACTCAATCTAGGTCACGATGACCTTATAAATTGGTCTTTTCTCTCACCAATGCTTAAATATATCACTAAATAAATGTTTAGACATTTACGGAAATAACCACCCACCTTAGAGACATATGTATGTTTTATATGTCTCTACCCACCCAAAATAAACAGTGATGAGAAGTTCTTTTATACGTTCTGCAATTCGTGAAGCCGAAAAAAACTCTGTTAATTTTTTTTACAAAATGTTTCAATTCACTACTAATAATATTTAAAACGTTTAAATTTACTATTAATGATAATTAACTATTGATTATGTTCTGCCAAGACTTACCAATCTGAGTACGTCAACCTTTATTCCATATCTTTCTTTTCGATATCAAGTCAACGTTCAACAAACATACTCATTTAAATCGGAAATATTATTTATCCTTTGGTTTATCTGTCCTTATTGGATATCAACCATTCCTTGGAACAAAATGTCTTGACGATCTGCAAGTTCTAAGAAGACATCTTTCTTCTTCAATTCCTTTTATGTTAGGTGGTAGCCTAGAAAGTGAAGAGTAACTCCTAACTCATCAGTAATTCGGCATGGAAAGGTTTAACGGGGATCGATCATTTTTCTTTCACGGGCGGATCCTCGCTATGGTATGCGTTATCATCCTCTTCAATGTAAATTATTCATAAACTCGTCTGCGACCAGCTTGCAGGTAAAGAATTGTTCAGTATCTTCATACAGAAGTTAAAATCATTCGGTATCGGCTGAGTTATTAGAATGCAGAATAAATCCAATAAATTGTATTTCTATATACCAACTATTGTGCTCTACCAGTGCAGTTGTACTAATGATCGTTAGTATATTATTATTAGGCTTCTTTTTATATAAACGTATACGTAATTATTTTATTGGATTTTGTATATACTTGAGAATCCTAAAAATATCCTTAAGCTATATTTGACGATGGTCTTAGAGTTTGAATAAAATCTGTTCTGACTTTATAATAAAAACATTGACTTTTTTAAAATTAGATAATATAATTGAAAAACAATCAGCATACGATATTAAACCAAATGAAGGACGAACCGAACATTTATAGTACCATTACAACATACCTTTCATAACCTAAATATGAATTAATCATACAATCTTAATTAATAAATAATATCGTTAATTATTGTATATTTATTGTTGACATGATGTATACATAGGTTAATATATAATTGCAATCAAAATTTAAGAATTCTAGTAATAATTAGATTGAATCGAGGAACGCAATGCAGTGTGATTAAGAAGCAGTCTGAGACGCATCACATCTGTTTTTCAACTAGAAATAAACATGAATATCTGAATATATATGTTCAAAAAAGGGACTGGTGGGAGGCTATGGTCGCTCACGATGACTTAAATAAACGTAACAACGGGAGTCAAAATAACGTTAATTGATGTACATAAGGCACGATAACCTGTGTTCCAAACATAGCATCCGAAAGACTAATTCCGAAAAACTGCAAATAAATCGGATATTAACCTCCTAATTCATTTACAAAAACATATGTTGAAAAAGAAAAATCAAATGATAGGCCCCTAATTGATTTTGTTGCCAATTAATATACACCAGTGTATTGCAAACGTCTGGGAAATGCAGTTTATTATTGGCCATATAGCCCCCTGGGATCGATCATTTATTGAAAAATGGGGGCATTAGGGATAGAGATACAAGTCGAACTGGGCCTTAGAGGTTACGAGACACTTCTTTGCTAATAGCAATTTTAGTTGATTAGTCTTTTCCCCATAAATTATGTAAATACCAAGCATAATTACATTACGTTTTGTGTTTTCAGAGTTTCAGGACTAGGTCATAGCAAAAGTACCTGTGTTGAAAAGGAAGTACATTCCAAACGCACAGCCGCAAGATATGACTCAATTTGAAGTTATTCCCGAAGTCAATTCATGTTCAATTAACTATTTTTTGTTCGGGCCGTGTTGAGGCTGAGTGCCTAGTTGCCAACCAGAAATTCCAGCGCTAATGTGATGCAGTAATTCATTTGTGTTCTATGTGCTAATGTTATCGGAAAGATTTTTTGAAACAGGTTCCAGAATGCAAAAGCAGACACAGGTGGCATGGCTATATTGGAATATGTTGTGTCAGATATTGATAAACTTACAACATAAACCTCTACACAAGTAGGCGATCAATCAATGTGCAACAATCGTACAGGTGAACTGCACAGTATATCAAAAATAAACTAATCTAGTTATTCGAGATCAAGAAATATGCCTCGCTGTCATTATGCTTTCATTTTAAGTTGGCCAGTTGGAGCATACTTTTGTCCAAAATCTAAACTCCGGACATTACCCAGATACCTGCATGTTTCAGTCCTAAAGCAGATAATTAACGTATATCAAAACACTTGACTTCAATGTAATAATGCTAAATAAAAGATGAGCTTAGTCATACTTACATCTCAATGAAAGGTAGACAAGCTGACAAGATAATAAAAGGTTAAGGTAATTCCGTACTTTCAAGAAATATGTTTTGGGAAAATATGGAGAAAGGGCATTTGAATTCCATTTTAATAGAATTGATTTTGAACTATAAATTGTTCCTTGTGTGTAATTATCCTCATGAAATGTTAAAATATTACCTATTTCAGCAATTATTGGCTAGAATGAAGAAAACATTCTCACCATGCGGTACTACCTTAAGAGCAAAACCTGATTCATTCTGAAGGATAAAAAATATTTCAAACTGTAAAGTTTCCATGCAGTCTGCAATTTGATTAAGGGAGGAAATGAGTCAACTGATTTTTTTCTTTTGTTTGAAATATCACTGTTTGTCAGATTTAATAATAATTCAAGAAAAAAATTTAAAGTCCTAGTCCTCATAGAAGCCAATGGTGCACACTGCACAGTAATGTTTTAGATAAAATATATTCTTCTTTTACCCTGCGCGCAGAGTCTAGTTATAAACGACGAAGCTCTCTTTAGAGAAGCGAAGTCGAACGAATGCAAATGGTATTCTTCTTTTGAACCTAGTTAGACAATCAACATTGGTTTATTTTAAAAGTTTAGTTTATTAAGAAGTAATTTTTTTCAAAAACGTTTTGAACACAGCACCCATAGTGGCAATATATCCACTTTAAATGTCATTTACATTGCTTATTGTTATGTTGGCAACATTGAACAGGTGAATGCAATGTTTAATTTATGGCAGTACACTGAATATATGAATCCATTGATTGCAAATGCATTGATTTTACTAAGTGCTGCAGATACACATTATTCAGTTATTACAGTTATTTACACAGAAATAGATCACTTATTTCCAAATAAGACTTAATATGCCTTATAACCTGTATAACAAGCACATTATGACTCTTAACGTAATGATTCTGCATGAAGGTAGTAGCTAAGCATTGAAAATAACTTTGCCATAATTTGGCTATTAATGAGCATTAAGGTGGGACTGGTGGGGCAAATAATGACATTGATTGGGTATGACATCAATAAACACGCAATCCTTAATGCAAATACATGTATGAAGGTAGCCTGGCACAAAGATATCTCTTCTTTATATTGACTAAACTTTCTATTTTATCTTGAATTGTCCAAACTATTTATTTCCAAAAAGGCCTAGCAATTCTTGTGCCTATTTTGTCTAGACATAAATATTGAGAATTGTTAATTATAAACAAGCTTTTCTAATGTAAGAACCCAAAGTATACATCATGGCAAACTCTTAATTTGGATTCACAGAACAACCCTGTTGGGAGCAAGAAGACAGGATGACTATGAAATGCAAAGCATATATTTTAGCACAGCATTGTATAGTCCAGCACAGGAGTATCACTGTTAAGTGCTAATACTTCAGTCACAGGTGTGGTGTATAATTACAAACACACACTTCATGTATATTCAGAGGGAATAATAACTTATTATCTCCCAATCCATCATATAAATCTAGCAAATCCAATAAATTCAAACTAAGCAGGTCTTTTGTCTTAGAAATATGGTATATAGCGTATATAGCGTATTTTATCATTTTTTCTAATTTTAATTTCCCTTATACAAGAAACTTCCTTCTGAGCCTAGCAAAAATTAGGCAATAGGCAAATTAAATGATGAGGCAAAATGACAACTTATATAGTACTTGTTTTTCTATGATCACACAAAAGTATGTATACAGTTAGGCATTGTGTTATTACATTACATGGGCGTCAGTGGAGGGTGTTGGGTGCGAGTGCACTCCCTTTCTGAGCCAATCCTCAGGGAATTTGTTCATGGTGCTGAGAAGGAGACTCTGAGAAAAGAACTATGTGTTCTGGTGAAAGAGGTGGAGAAGCTAGGATTCAAGTACAAGCTTTGAAGATGGAGACTGGTTTTAGGTGTAGATGTACCCCTCTTGGAAAAATCCTGGGGACACCAGTGCATTGTATCATAAAAGTGAATTATATTCACATAACTAATCCACTTTACTTTTCAAGTTTTCAAGGGACAAAAAATTATAATGGCATTATGGCAAGGATTTTGAACATTACAATATCAATTTGATAAAAAATTGTATATTTCTATCCCAAAAGGCTGTAAAAAGTACGTTTGATACACTAATTAGTCAAAAAGTAGACTTTTGTTCTCAAATTAAGAGCATTTGAGAATAATTCCTGAAACATTCACCCAATGTAAACCTATATTTAATTCTAACATAAATACAAAAAAGTGAGTTGGTGTTAATGAACTCTAGTTCTGGTATGGTTGCAACCTGTTGCCATGGTATCTGGGGCAATCTAATAGTTTATCAAAGTCAACATGGCATACATAAGTATTTCAAGAAAAGGTATGTCAGAAGTTTTCTTAGCACGTCTTGGTAAGTCTTTCACTACAGCTGTCTTTAATACACCTGCCAATTAACTGTTTATAAACATACTTTATACTACATTTAACTCCATTATTTTTCCCAGAAAAAGATGAAATGAATTTTTTTTGACGGTTATAGTTTAAAAACCACTTATTTTTATTTCTTATTTGAGAATATTGTGGGTAAAACCTCCATTGGATTTTTAAACTATCGTTTCTAATAAGAATAACAGATTCAAGAGAATAGCAGAAGCAGGTGATAGGAACAAAGCCTAAATATAAGCACAATAGACTAGATATACAATATACGAATTTGTAATCTTTAATTTCAACTATTGAATATTCCAAAAAATTAAGCCAAATATATACAATGTACATACAAAATAATATCTAGAAATGAAGTTTTAAAAAGTTTATCAACAATGAAATTTTAATTTTCTTTGAAAAGTGATTTCAAGGTTGGGGATATTCCCCACAAAGCCCATTAAGTCATGAACATTGAAATATCTTCCTGCACCAAACTAATTATCAAACTCAACATACATGTAGATGAAAATTGATCAACTTAATCTATTTATTATTGAATTTTCTATGTCTGCCATGTTATCTGACCCGAATTAGCCATCTGGCGGTGAAACTGGTAACTTCACACTAGCATCTTGGTTATCAAATTCAATTCTTTCAAGTTGAGACACAATACTAAATGCTATCAATAGAAGACTATCTAAGATCCACATGACTCCAGAATTGAGCATAAATGAGTTACACAATGCCTATCTGGAATAAAACATGAACATTTGAGACTCCTACAATTACAATCTTTATTGATTTCTCCTTTTCTAACCATATACAACAACAGTTGCAATGTTTCTAGAACACTACAATGACGTCTTTAACTCAATTGACATTTACATGTGATACCAGACCAGGAAAAGTGAATTTTTCTAAAAGATAAAACTAAATATTTAGTTTGATTTTATTGTAGCATATTGCGCATCACTTTGCTATTAATGGCCATTTCCCCAGGAAAGACAATCAGATATTTAAACATGGTATGCAAATGTACTGAGGAAGTAGAAGGAAGACCCAAGTGGATACAAATACTTGTCGATTTTAATAGAACCTCCATTATCTCTCCGCTAATGGAACTGATACAAATTACAGCCAGAGTTGAATTGTCTTCATGTTTCTATGATATTGATTCAGACAATACACCAAGAAGCTATCTTTAAACTGAAAACTATAAATCGCCTACATAGGTAATTGAATATGGGGGAGTGTGAATTCTATATCAATCTCATTACGGTACATTGCACTTCGAAAATCACTTGAACAGCTGTGTCTGTATTGACTGGATCAAAATATTGTTGCAACCTCAACTGTATATCTATGTGACATCTATACTTCCTATTTGATGTTTCCATTTGTATGTTCCATGGCTCGAGTAACTGTAGTGTCTCAGATGATAAGTGTCACCATGTACTCTTAGTGTCACCTCTAACCATAGTGTTACACATGGCTCCTACTGTCACATTTGACGCACATCTGTCACAGTTGACACCTGAGACCAAGATTAAACTGTGGAATAATATCACTCTAGATTCCCTAGCGTCACAATTGACTCATTGAGTCTATTTTGGACCATAATTCACCCAATTGAATTACTGCACTTAATGAACGATGATTATTTTGAACCAGGTTTCAATGTCGCAAAACATTTGGTGCATCTCAGATTTGAGCAAATGTCAGTAATGGTGTTAACAATATAAGAGTCCCTCTCTGCCTTTTTAGTGTCAAATATGACAGCAAATGTCATCCTAGGTTCAATCCTTGTCATGAAGTATGTACTGTTCACATGCTGCATATGAAAACAGAATGATAGAATCCCAGTGAATGTATATCATGAGTTCAAAATATATGTATGTTATATGTAATTTTTCAGGGAATCCTAAAATGATAAAAAATGTTTCAGTTATCAATATAAGTTATAAATGTAATATGTAAAGGAGCGTATGTACTATTGATTGTGTAATGACATCAAAATTGAAATGTCTTTTTGATAATAATAGCTTATTTCAATTATTGTTTAAAATTAAATCAAAGACTTTCGATATATGATTTATATGGCACATACATGTATATGACCTTAGATTTTATTCTGCCTATTGCCAAATATATGACATACACATTCAAAAACAAGGCACTGACATTCAAAATGTGACCACTCGCCATTTGTTACAGATGCCATTTGCTACAGACACCGAACACCAACCGCCATCCACAAAAAAGTTGTAGACTAACAATATGTCAACACTTGTGGTGTTACAGACAAAATAATCAGAAATAATCAAAAGTGATACATTTCAAAGAAATTTTGTCTTTAGCATTTGACGAATATATAGCTAAACTACTGCAACTAAGAATCATTCACCTTGTCATAAAACCATACGATTTTATCAAATGTGTTGAGATCAGCTGATTTTTCATTCATAATCATCAAGACATTGGGCCAGTGACTGAGTGGACGTTCCTGTAAAGTAATAAATATGTTTGGTGTTGTATGATAAGGCACAGGGCGTATAGCCAGCAAATGTCAAGGGGATGCTATTTTTGGGTTTGCATCAGTGCAAGCAAAATGAGCCCCAAAAAGGAGGGTGCGAGAGTCCACCCCCAGAAATCTTTTAACATTTACATTGAATATGGTGTATTCTAAGCATTTCAAACCATAATATGTTAATGTTTTTTCAACAAATTTTACAAAATTGACTCCCACTGTTACTGTTGTACAGATTACAAAAAGAAGGATATCTTACATTAGGATATGAGAATACAGCAGGATAGCTGTCTAAGCCCCGGGGAGACTCCATGATTCTGTCAGGGTGATGGTATCCAGGCCCCTTGTATATTCCCTCCAGCCCGTTCACATCTAAGATAATAGACACATTGAAGACATCAGATTTTTTATGGAATGTTACAATCCTGAAAATAAAGAACAACAATCTACAACAACTGAAACATAAGATACCATGGGCATAGCCAGGGGGTATACGATGGGTGCAATCACAACCACCTACCCCCAAAAAGAAAGAATTTCTTCTTGTAAAAACATGAACAAATTGTAGTTTGAAATGCTTAGAATGCACCATATACAATGTTAATTTTAAAAAATTACTGGGGGTGAACCCCTGTACCCCCTTTTTGGGTTGCTTCGCTCACAAAAATCACAAACACCCTAGACAATTGCTGGCTACGCCCCTGGATATAGTTCATGTCTACAACCAAATAGTCCTGCAACATATATTGCTATACAGACAAAACTAATGTACTTTGCTTGATACATTTAGTGATTCAGGTTGACTGAATGGTCCAAAACTCATGAAAATCTGTGGTGTGTGCTTGTCTGTCTTTCAGATATATTTAGAATGATAATAGTAGCCTGTGTATACATTACTTACTGTTATATAACTGTCTTGAATGAAGATGCAAATATGTAATACACATACTATATATACTATAGAGACATAGATACAGCTGTTCAACTACAAACGAAGTCAGGGAATGTGAGAAATAAAATGAGGAAAGAAAAACACTTTTAATTTCAAAATACAGCACATTGAAATATTAAAAGTAAAATTAAAATTAACAAAAAAAGAATGGCTTATCATTTCATTTGGAATAACTTACTTTCCATAGAAGTCAATGGAAGCCTTGGCTGTGATAGTTTTCATGTCCATCGCAGCAGATTGCTTCCCTGGTTGTTTGTTCAATACATCGTGAAAGTACAAACTGAACTGAAATAGAAAAAAACTAAAAGTCAGCATTGAAACTGGTGAGTCTACTTAAAGTACAACTACATGTACATTGAAACTGGTGAGTCTACTTAAAGTTCAACTACATGTACATTGAAACTGGTGAGTCTACTTAAAGTACAACTACATGTACATTGAAACTGGTGAGTCTACTTGAAGTACAACTACATGTATATAGAAACTGGTGAGTCTACTTAAAGTACAACTATGTGTACATTGAAACTGATGAGTCTACTTAAAGTACAACTACATGTACATTGAAACTGGTGAGTCTACTTGAAGTACAACTACATGTACATTAAAACTGGTGAGACTACTTGAAGTACAACTCCATGTACATTAAAACTGGTGAGTCTACTTCAAGTACAACTACATGTACATTAAAACTGGCGAGTCTACTTGAAGTACAACTACATGTACATTAAAACTGGTGAGTCTACTTCAAGTACAACTCCATGTATATAGAGGTAATCATATGCCATGTATGCATAGTTTTGATTTCCAAGTAAAAATATTAAAAAAGGTTTCACTTAAAAAGTAATTTACACATGTTCACCTTTTACAATGTTTTAGTGTAGACTATACAGTTTTCCCACTTGAACCAAATAAACAAGTCAACAATAACGCAGGTGCGAGTAGGTAGTTACCAGATTCACCACCAGATGGCTCATTCGGGTCAGATAGCATGGCGGGTATAGTAGAAAGTTCCCTTTAACTTAAATTACATCTATTTGCGTGGTTCAATTTTCATATAACCCTTATGTATCTAATAGTTATGCAAATTAAAATATGTCCAGTAAAAGAAAATGTTATCTGTCCAATACAAGATAAGATAATTCACTTTTTGTGATTTTGTAACATGGGGTCTATGGGGAATCAACCCGAACAAGAAGTCGCATTTTCAAAAAAAATTTAATTTTCAAAGTTGATAGACAATTTTCGAAACCATATTTCAAGATGTACTTTTACATGCAGATTTCAAATGTGACATCACATTGACAGAATTTTGAATATTTAATGACGTAAATCAAGATTATTTCTACTCGCATCTAGTCTATTGATGAGTTAGTCCAGAGAAAAATCTCAGAAACATATGTGAACACATCCATCTAACTTTTCAAAAAGTGATATCTCAGATTTTTTCATGCCTTAACACTGAATAAAGCATTGCTCCTATGTAATCACCATTTGCAAGTGAAAAATACCTTAATAGCACCAAAAACTATCACTTTGTTTAAGCATTTTTACAAATTTCAGTCTTTAATTTTGTTTTTAAGTGACTTGATCAATATTAATTTTTTGACCAATAATTATGATATAACATTATAGCCATAGACCAATAAAATACAAGTTCAGTTTTAGTATGAATATAGGGCCATGGGTACAATGAGAGGCTACTCCCCCTCGGGAAATCATGCAGAGATAAATAGTAGATTAATGACCATGCTCTGAGCTTGGAAATTCATTTAACTCCTATTGACCAATCTAAATTGAGTTATTTGAATTTCACAAATACTTTTAACTGCTAACTCTGTCCCCAACTAACTGTGATTAATTAGCTTAAATGTTGATTAAATCCCAGCAGTGTCGTTCAAATGATAACTACACTACTACATTTTACAAACAAAAATATAAAGGCATCGTGGTCTAAACTGTAAAATTCAATGTGGAGCATTTTTGTATCAGGGGGTCATTGTAAGTTCTCCATTTCATGAACATACCTTAGAGACTAGAGTTGCTTTGTATTTGCTGAGCCACTGATAGAGTGCAGGGTTGCTGGGATTTTTAGTACTGCTACCAAACCCCAGTGTTTTCTTCACCTGAAATACATTTACAATACAGTAAAATCTGTAAATACGAACACCTCTCTAATTCGAACAGCTCTCAATGTGACCACATTTTTTCAGTCCCAATTTTGTTACCTTCCCTTGACTCACATATTTAGAAACCTTCAAGTGTGAACACCTGCTAATCCAATAGCATTTGGCTGATTTAAATTGTGTTCAGATTAGAATGTTTTTACTGTGCAGCTCTACATTTCTGTACTTTTTCTCTTTTCAGTTCAGCTGTTATATTGTGGTGCTAAATATGAATAACTTGGTTGTAGTGCTGTAGATACACTTAATTTGATGCTACTTAATTTGGCGGATTTGCACAATTTCAAATATTGGCAGCTATTTAATTTGGCGGATTCAGGACTGATTTAACAGTTTAAGTTTTATCATTGATCTGGCAATAAACATTTCAGATTCATATGTGCGACTTACAGTAAGTCTTGGTATAGCACTGAAATCCAAATAGGAATACTTATACAAGTAAAATCTTCGATGAGTTTCAGTGATGGAATTTTCCAAAATACATCTGAAAATTGGCTGATTTTTAATTTGGCAGATTTTCTCAATCCGCCAATCCGTCAAATTAAAACGGTAGCCATATTAAGTGTATCTACAGTATGTCATGATAGAGTTCTTTATAGTAAATGCTGTACTCACCTCCTTGACTGGCACCAGAGGGGTCCAGTCTGTTAGTTTTGTATGGGCCTCATTCAGATGTAGTAGGGAAGAGAGAAAATCACACTGAGACATTTCTAGTTGCGCTGTTAGCAGATGTGTGATGATGTCACACTCAACACTGAAAAAAATAATATTCATCCAATTGCTCCAATTTTAATATAAATCGGGTGTTAAATGATACAATTTAATTAAATAAGCATAAATGGAGTAAGAGGGAAAAAGACGTGTTGAGATTAAGTTTCAAAAAAATTCTGATTAAGTCCAACAGTCCTGATTTGATTTTAAAAATCTTTATGAGTACGAGGTAATCCAACAAATAGATTAAAAAAGTGTCATATTTTGTTCAATTCATATGTTTGCAATTAAATCTTCAATAACTTCTGTATTTGATCAGATAACTCAATTGTAATGGAATTATGGCCTGATTTTGCAGATTGCTTCAAATATTTTACACTGGTCTCTTGTCCTTGCTTTCTCTTTAATATTAAAAATTTGACACCAGCTTGGAGGTAAGATGCCACAACCAGGGTTTTGTCCTTTAACAAAACAATTTTACTGCAAAAGGTTATTTTTGTCAAGTAACAGACATTAGAAAAAAGGAAATCAATTATCATAACTATCCTTTTCGAGAGCTTCACCTAGCATTACATATCAGTGGCGTAGCCAGGAAGAAAATAAGGCGATGTTGAATAAAGCGAGAGGCAAGCAAGAGCCTTGTGTGCCTCATTCTGGCTTCACTTATTTAGATTAAATGACGGTTATTACTCAGACAGAAATACGAGTACAACTCAACATTGACAAAGGAATATTTCTCAAAGGATGTTATTAAAAGCTAAGCTAGAGCATGTACAGTTTACTTTGAATGGTTGGATCAAACTCACCTAAAGCTATGCTTTAAAGGGGCTAATATAGGATGATGGAAGTTCTTTTGGTGGGTCTGTATTATGTGTGTTATAACGTTCAGTAGGTCATCATAATTCATGACTCGCATGTTGCCCATTGTTGCCATCTGTTCATAACTAGGATATGTCAAGGTGTTAAGCTGTTTCTAAATTGTACAGAACACAACAAGAAAAGTGTACACCATTCAGAGGAAAAACAAACCCCCACTACCTCAAACCATAATCCAACATAAAAAAATGTTTAATGCCCCCCCCCCCCTCCCCAATAATACAAGATCTGTAAATTACTGAATTCAGTATGAAAATAATTGGTTCTAAGGGAAATATTTATTAAATACAATATGGCACCCTACAGATATAAGAACAAATAAAACTAGTGAAAAGGATACAACTCCATTGACTTTGACCTTGCAGTAAGGAAGTGTGCTAGCTGCCCACACAGGTGAGATATCAGGTGAGTTAATGAGCTATCCATGGTATCCCTGTCTTTATCAGGCTTAGAACCACTCACTTCAATCTGCCTCAATTCACCGAGTAGGCTCCCATATGATGTACGCAAATTCTGAAAAAACAAATGAAGATCATAAGCAAAAGAAGCAGTTTTAATGCAATTTTCAAGATATATTATAAGTATCCATGGTGCAAAATTATTTTGGCTTACCTCTTTTCTGCTAAACCATTTAGGGCCAAGAAACATAAGTCCAGCATATGATTTCTCTGCTATCGCCAGATGAGTGAGAGAAGCTAGAAGTTGCACCCAAAGAGGACCAGTGTTGATTGATTTTTGGCTTTCACGTTCCTTCTCCTGGAACAAGTGCAATACATTTTACAAAACAATCTTATGTTATATGGACATCATCATTTCTCAAAGTACATGTACACAAACTTTGAAATAGAAGTGGACTGTTTGGATAGAAACTGAGGAGCTAAACTTACATGTAGTTTTGAAAATCTAAGAAATCAATTGAAAATCATTATACTCGCTGTCAAAAACCATGGGCTTCAATTTTTTTGTAATATTTGCACAACCATGAAGGATATCACAAAAGTCAAAAATTGGAAGGATTTGAAAATCAACTGAGCCTACACAGGTAGAGCCCATGGTTCAACTTACGAAGAAACAGAATAGTACAAATTTCAGGAATAGAACCTCAATTCCCTCAAAATTAACACCACTAAAAAATAATGTTGAAATACACATACTTACAGATAAATCCTTAGCTTTGTCATATGCAAACTGGCTAAGACACTGGAAGTATGTTTCCAAAAACGCCTGTTCACGTGAGACAAGGGGTAATTCAGAAGCCATTCTATACTTATAACCTTGGGTACAAGACTAGACCAATACTAAAGTGAAACCTCGAATCTTCTTCACATGATATATACTTTGACAATTTCTAATTTTATCACCTCTGTAAGTTTGTTGATATTTTACAAAAAAAATACTTCCGGTTTTCAGTAATAATGTTTTTTTACGTAAAACTTTGTCATTCAATATACTCATTGCAAGCTCTGCTGTATAAAGTAGTAACTGTATCAACGTTTCCACATATAAACAGAATAACTATTGCTAAATGGTTCAATTTCGATATAAACAATAGAAATTGTTAAGATCACACTTTCCAAATAGATTGGACCCGATTACGCTATCCTCTCAAATTTGATTGTATATTTTAGGAGGCTACATAATCTGGAATATTCCTTCTGGGGAGCAACCTTTCGAGATATTTCTGACATAATAGCATCAGTTCAAAGAGAAATATTTACTCCCACACGATACACAAAATACTCTCTTGTAAAAATCGATGTAAAGATAAATTTCCCTGAATATTATTATCGTTATAGACCGGCAAAATTTGGGAAATCTAATTTTTATAGTTAACTGACATCACGTGATCGGCGAATGTCTTTGAAACAACCTTGACCCGCCGTCCTTTGTAGAGGTAAGATGTCTATAATTTTGCTCTCTATATTTGATGATTTCTGTATCAAAACGACATTGAATCAGGAAATATACAGTGTTTACATATACTAAATTGTCTAGACTATTACTGTTTTAGTTTCTGTGGAAATCCTTTATTTACTTTCTTTGGAATATTGATATGAAAATGACTGATCTGCATTAGATCTGCATAAGCTTAGCCAAGTCGCCGGCTGACGTGATGTCCTTTTCCAATAGCACCTTTTATACCATCTTCTGTAGCGCTATTTGAAGTTATAATTCACGTATATTCTATATCATATATTTCACATTATAATGTGAAGTTTTATTTGATCTTATTATCTTGGTCGATTTGTAAAACACGTCGACCTTTCCCTGACCTTGGTCTGTGGAAAAAGTAGGCCTCATAGGCCTACTTGTTCATGTGTTTTGCATTTTAGGCTTAGGTGCACATCATTTACATACTACAACTTTCATAAACTTCTCTAAATGATGCAAGTGTATGAAGCCCTCAGACACTTATAAATATTATAGACTCGAGCTAACTATTTTGTGCATTGACAGTCTAAGATACATGTATAAATAAGTTTGCAATTGTCTCAACTTTTTGGAGGTATTATATTCGCCCAGACTTAAAAAACTGTCAGTATGATTTCCATTCTTTAAATGTTACTTTGCATGAATACTGATTTTACAAGGACAACTGAAGGTCATTAGGTCAAGATGCCCTTTCTTATATATGGGTTCTGCCAACCAACAAAATATGTTTGGTATCAGCATGGGCTTTCAATTTTCTAGTTGAAAGCCCATGGTATCAGTCACTGTCAAAAATCAAATCAATTATGCAGTAGTCGACCATGATGTTTCTTTTTCAATGTTCCTTTCAATTAGATGATGTATTAGATCTTCCAGTTCAAATTCATTGTTTATCTCAAAAATTGAATTGATTCACAAACAACCATACCCTTATTTGACCTTCAAAGATATGGCTTCAAGTCTACTGGGTACATGCTTGCCCGTAGTCAGCTTTTACCAGGAGGGGGAGCTTTTTTCCAGGGGGGGAGCTTTTTCACAATTTTGGCTAAAAATCATGCGAAAATTCTCAGAATGGTGAAAAACTGCATGATTTTGAAAGAATTTCTGGCCAGCTCCCCCTCTGGCTACGGGCCTGCCCTGACATGTACATGTAAATTGTATTGCCAAGTAATGTTTGGCCACGCCAAACTACAGTTTTTATGTCCCCACCACATAGTGTGGGGCCATATTGTCGTCCTAGGCGCGTCCGTCTGTCTGTCTGGTTGTCTGTCTGTCCGTCCGTACGTCCGGCAGTTTTCTCCAAAACGGCTACAGGTATCACCTTCTAATTTTCAGGAATAACTTATGAGTGCCTATAGATGTGGATGAAAAATTTTAAACTCGAAACCTACTTCCTGTCGGCCATTTTGAAGTCAAATGCTAAAATGCTTGTCTGCAAACTTTAAGAAAAACTGCTTCACAGTTGCTTTTAAAACTTTAACATCTTGTTCAGCTCACTTCATTCTAGATCTGATTAGGTTTTGGACCTGCTAGCTCAGTCATGTCAGCCATTTTGAATGTCTTAAGAAAAGTTAGCGCGCGATAATACTTTGTATCATATTGAATGGTGTTTTTGAGTTTTCATACTTTAACTATTTAGTAGCTTTATAAATAATTTCAGATGTACTTTGCTGTAAAAGCCTACTTTATTGTTAACAGTAGTTATATGTGATAATTTTGTAAAAAGAAATCAGCAAAAACTCATAAGGACTTTTTTTATTGTCGGCCATTTTGGATTTTTCGGTCCTAAAATCTTGTCTGTGAAGTCTTGTCTGCGCGTTTTCAGGTGAACCGTTTGGTGGATCAATTTCAAATTTTCAGGGATGATTCTTAGTATAAAAATCTAGATCTCATTAGTTTTTTGGCATTCTGGGTAAATGTCAAGGCAGCCATTTTGGATTTTCCGTCCTAAAATCTTGTCTGTAAAGTCTTGTCTACTCGTTTTCAGGTGAACTGTTTGGTAGATCAATTTCAAATTTTCAGGAATGATTCTTAGTATGAAAATCTAGAACTGATTAGTTTTTTTGCATTCTGGGTAAATGTCAAGGCAGCCATTTTGGATTTTCCGTCTTAAAATCTTGCCTGTAAAGTCTTGTCTACGCGTTTTAAGGTGAATGGTTTGATAGATCAATTTCAAATTTTCAGGGATGATTCTTTGTATGAAAATCTACATCTGATTACTTTTTTTGCATTCTGCGTAAATGTTAAGGTAGCCATTTTGGATTTTCTGTCCTAAAATCTTGTCTGTAAAGTCTTGTCTACCCGTTTTCAGGTGAACCGTTTGGTAGATCAATTTCATATTTTCAGGGATGATTCTTAGTATGAAAATCTACAAACAGATTAGTTTTTTGACATTCTTGGTAAATGTCAAGGCAGCCATTTTGGATTTTCCATCCTGAAATCTTGTCTGTAAAGTCTTGTTTACATGTTTTCTGGTTAACTGTGTGACGGATCAATTTCAAATTTTCAGGGGTGGTTCTTAGTATGAAAATCTAGAACTGACTAAATTTTTGGCATTCTGGGTAAATTTTAAGGTGGCCACTTTGGATTTTCCGTCCTCAAATTGTGTTGGTAAAGTCTTGTCTACTCATTTTCAGGATAACCATTTCACGGGATCACCACTTGGTGGGGACATTTTGAACACATTTGTGTTCTTGTATTATACATGTTATACATGTACCTATTGTGATCTGTGATAATATTCTCAAATGATTTGTGGGTGTGTTTTGACACACCTCTTTTACAATCAATATGTTTTATTTCAAAAATAATATAGGCATCACACATGTTCAGAGCTACATGTCTAGGTAACCCAGAAGTGTTCAAATGTTCCATTAAATCTATAGTAAAAAATATCTAAAGATATACTTGCTTTGAACTACTAAAACAAATATATAAGTTGCATACATGTATAGGCTTTTTGACCTGAATCGAATGTCAGACATTTGTACATACGCTCAAATTACCAACCATGAATAGTAAAAGTTCATGTATGTTTCATCGGCATTTTTCTTTTCCTTTGAGTATTAGCTGTTTCAAATATATAAATAATCCAAGGTGTATACATGTAAAGGCTTTTTGACCTGAATCAAATGTCAGACATTTGTACGTATGCTCAAACTACCAACCATGAATAGTAAAAGTTCATGTTCCTATGTTTCATCAGCAATTTTCTTTTCCTTTCAGTATTAGCTGTTTCTGTGCACACATACCAAACAACATACCAAAATGGTGAAAGTAGGAATAAATGGGTAGGTAGATCATGGAGAGTCAAGAGAATGTATATTTTGATCATTTTCAATCCATTATCATCATAAAGACCAAGAGTCGACTGTAAAGTTTTAATATGAGTTTTGAATCTTGCCAATTGTTTGAGCTAGAATTTTAGATTGTTGCATTGAACAAATTAGAAATATCTGGGGATGTTTTTATGTTGCATTAATTTTGAACATGAGATGTTTGATTATAAGTACTTACTATGCATTTTTCAGATTTGGACGTATTGGTCGTCTAGTACTTCGTTCTGCCCTTGAGAAAGGTGTAGATGTCGTTGCTGTCAATGATCCATTCATTGAGCTTGACTACATGGTCTACATGTTCAAGTATGATTCCACTCACGGAAAATTCCCAGGCACCATTGAAGCAAAGGATGGAAAACTTGTTGTCAATGGCAAAGGCATTGCTGTATTTAATGAGTAAGTATTTTAACGTAAATGTTATTCATAAAGTTTTAAGACGGGGTATGTCTAACAAATACAAGACATGGTATTGTAGCATGTGCCGCATTGTACATGGTGGTGATTGTTAGAATATTATCGTTAAGAAATTTAAATGGTGGCGCCATCTGGAGTATTGTGTAATTTGAAATTGTAAAATGAATTCTGGGATATATAGACAGGAATAAGTCGTACATAGTGGTACGGACTGTGAAACCTTGTATAAGTATTAGAATAAGGGGTTTTTAAGTAAAAAGTGATTTGTACTTAGGTTTATTAGCAAAAAGATGCAGGATTTAAGTTCTTCACATTTGTAAATTGCAACAAGAACAATATGCACCCATAGGCGGGTAAATGTACAGTTATATGAAATTCGCCACTAAATAAGTGAATTTATTGTCACACATAGGCGTGTGCATGTACATGCATATGTTATTGATGCAATAAAGTGGAGTTTCAAAGTTACTTCTGTTTGTAAGATTGAGTATTGCAGAGTTTGCTAAATTTGATATGAAACTAATGTGAATGCATTCGGGCATAAATTATAATGGCAGGATCTCTGTAGTGGAAAGCTGAATTTTAACACCTTATAGGGTATAAGTTGGGGATAAGTAGGAAAATCAGGATGCAACTACTACACTAAGGGCTGATACTGAGCCGGAGTAGATGCTTTAATTTTACTGGTGGTGACGTTATGCAATATGCCCAGACTGGATCGGGGCATAATATCTGGATAAGGAGGACTTCAGCAACCTGCAGGAATTCATATTGGAATCCTTAGATTCTAATCTCTCATCAAATAGATCAATTCACTGACAAATATTATTTTATGTACATTATATACAATTTATTTACAATTCCCCGCCCCCCATTGATTACATGTTGGCTTACATCTTGTGTTAAGTTCTCAGCAGATTCTCAGAATACAGGAATTGGTGTCTAGTCTGGTCAGTGTTAGAGAAAGAATCTTCTATAATATTCCCGGGCTGTATTTAAATATGCCGCCAAACTAGAGACGAAATAATTCTTAGTTCACAGATCACGCATGCGTATATGTACAATTATTTATATGGTCCTTCCTTGAGCATGCGTAACTTTATGATTAATTTTAATATTGCGACTTGCGCATGCTCAGCTTTATAATAAATGCCAATATCCTGCCTTGCGCATGCGTTAAGTTAAAGAAAATGGCGGCGCCCATGGAAATATTAAGAATTATGAATTTTTGTCATACATTTGAATATTTGAGACATATACTGACTAGAATGATAGTTAAATACAATAATAAAGATAGAGAATGGAACATTAAATTGAGAGGCACTAAAAATTATACTGTAGAATACGCAAGGACGATAAAATGACACTTAGAATAGAAATTTAGAGCTAGAAATTATTGAGATGAAAAGTAATTAATGGAAACTCAAAGAACGAAGGTAAGGAACGGGAGGAAATGTAACACAGAGATAATATTATTCATTCTAATACTGTAGATTGGGTTAATTTGGCGCCCGCTTTAATTTGGCGAATTTGGCGAAATTGAAAAATTCGCCAATATAAATCTTCGCCAAAATTTAGAATGAATCCCCGGGAATTATCTAGGGTATTTCGTCCAGTGTATTTAGGTCACTTCCGGTTTAGTTTTTTCTAAAAATATGAAAAAATGACTCATAAATTGGTTCAGAACTCGGTCAGTCACTCATTAATCAGGGAAAAACTAGAAAGGAAAAGAGAGGTATAGTAGCAGCATCGATCGAGGTGCAAAATGTAAAGGATGATCTCACAAAAATGTACAAACATGGTGAATATCGCCAGTGGTCCTCAAAAGAAAAAATGAACATAGCCAAACATGCCCAATTTTTTGCATATCCGCCAAATTAAATAGCCGCCAATATGCCAAAAATGGCCAAATCGCCAAATTAAGTAGCGCCAAATTAACCCAATCTACAGTACCCTGCAAATGCTACAGTATGTTTAACTAGTACTTAGATGGTTTTATGAGAAGCAAAGGTAAGATATCCTTCACAATTCAAAATTAGCTAACTGAAGCTGTGTTCAGTTCAAATGTTTTATTGTTTATTCAGTTACATATCATCTTTAACATCATTTTATTTTTTATTCCAATTCATTTTCTTCATTATGGGTTGGCTTATGAGACTTAATAGTGCATTAAACTCAACTGTCAACATTTCACTTGTTTCAATGAGTCACATGTGTACTAAAAAGAATTATTAAGTTTAAAGAATATTTTACCTTTGTGTCGATCTTTGCAGAATGGCTCCAACCAATATTCCATGGAAGAAGGCAGGAGCTGAGTATGTTGTAGAGTCTACTGGTGTGTTCACTACTATTGAAAAAGCCAAGGCTCACTTCGAGGGTGGTGCCCAAAAGGTTATCATCTCAGCGCCCTCTGCAGATGCACCCATGTTTGTTATGGGTGTCAACCAGGATAAATATGAAAAATCTATGAACATTGTCAGGTGGGTGTTATCATGTGGAAGATGCTAGTTTCATACATACAATATCAGAAGATGCCTATATGTATTATTTATAGTAACAGTAATGAATAGCAGCAGTGATATATTTTTTCAGATGTTTTCTGGTAAAGAGTTGTAAATTAAAAGCTCAGATTGGAAAAAAATCTTATTTGAATATTTTTTAAACTCAAGATTACATACATTTTCAGCAATGCATCTTGCACCACAAATTGCCTCGCCCCACTTGCCAAGGTTATCAATGACAACTATGGTATTGAGGAGGCTCTCATGACAACTATCCATGCATACACTGCCACACAGAAAACTGTTGATGGACCAAGCTCAAAGGTGGGTCTCCTTCATAATTTAACAAGATAGCATTTAAGAATAGTGGTTACTGTACTTCTACTTAATTTGGTGTTACTTAAGGATTTAAACCTTGGACTCCGCCTAACCTAACATACTATGGCTAATAAAAGAAAATTCAAAAATATTTTTTTATTTAATTCTATTTTATGTTTTAGGCATGGAGAGATGGGCGTGGAGCTGCCCAGAACATCATCCCAGCATCCACTGGAGCTGCCAAGGCTGTAGGCAAGGTCATCCCAGAGCTCAATGGGTAAGCATGTAGCATAAAGCCACCATTAACTGCATTATGCTTAACATTTCACTTCTTATAATATAATATGGGCTTTATGTGGAACCTGACCTAGAAATCACACATTTTCTTAAATACATTAAAGATAATTAAACATTTTTTTCTATTTGAAAATCAAGATTATATCTACTGGTATGTATGTATAGCTTTATTGCCCTAATTTAATTAGGAGATACATATATGGTGTATAGTCTTTGTTGGATAGACTAAATATTCTATGTAAAAGATAAGCAAATTCAAACTGTTTTGGCAGCAGTGAACCATGAGCATACAAAATGGTCTCATTTAGGCCTAATAAATAAACAAATCTTTGAAATTGTTTTTTTCTTCATTCAGTAAATTGACTGGTATGGCTTTCCGTGTGCCAGTCCCTGATGTGTCTGTTGTTGATCTGACTGTGCGTCTCAGCAAGCCAGCCACCATGGATGACATCAAGGCCAAGGTGAAAGCAGCCTGTGATGGACCAATGAAGGGATTCTTTGGATACACTGATGAGCAGGTCGTCTCTCAGGACTTCCGTGGTGACTCTAACAGCAGTATTTTCGATGCCAGAGCCGGAATTCAGCTCTCACCCACATTCGTCAAGCTTATCACTTGGTAGGTTTGATTATTTCTAATAAATGTTAATGAAATATAGTTGCAGGCTTTATCTAGCCTCTTGTAGGATGAACGATTAATGTAAGATTTGTTAAGATGGCAGCACTGGTACTATATGTATAACATAAGAAATATTTGCATTTGGCACAGTCAGGAGTTTTGATTATGTAAAATGATGTGACATTTTATTCTTTGTTAAAGGATGTGACCAACCCCCCCCCCCTTATGCTGTTAAATTGTGTTCTGTAATGCTTAATGATTAAACCTTTCACTTGGTACTCTCTCTTGCAGGTATGACAATGAGTATGGCTACAGCTGTCGTGTATGTGATCTTATCAACTACATGGCTACCAAATGAAGCAGTCACAATGCAGCTAAACTTTAAACAACTCTAAGGACAGCAAGAAACAATACCCTACCATACAATAGACTCCTAACTATTAAAATCCCTTTTAAATTTCTTTAATATTATCTTGACATTATCTCTTCGTTACATGATACATTTCATTCAGATCTAAAAGAACAGTGAAAGCCATGTGTTAAACCTGTAAATGCACAGGGCTAGATGATATCATTTTAGATTAGTGTTTCGTAGAACGCATATCATGAACAGGAACATAGAATTTTAGTCTGTTACTAGAGTGTGTGTACAAATATGTACAAAGTATTGATATTGTTGTGTGATAAACAATCAGATCTGTTGATTAATATATTACTTGCTTTGTATAATTTTTTTTCAATTTAATTTTGCCATAATATAATAACGCCTGTAAGACTCCTTATATTTGCCAAATCATCTGACTGTATATACACTTGAAAAGTATGTACAGGTTTATACGAACAAATTGCCAATGGTTGCATGTATGCTTTATTTGACATGTTGGACAATTATTTATCATGTTGATAGGAAATCTGTGTGTACATGAGGGTATTTCTATAGCCAGTTATTTTGTTACAACATTGTATTTACTATACACGTACTGATTCATTTCTTATTTCTTATGTTTGCACCTCAGTGTGTATATTGTGGGGAATATAAATAAATCATCAGAAAGATAAACTATGTGTTTTGTAGGTCAATTAATCTTTACTTGGAATGTGGTCTGTACTTTTAAGACCAACCTTTGCTGCATTGCATGTATAAAAGGAATAACTGATTCCAAAATACCCTGCAGAAAATCAAGTATTTAGCAAATGGGCCTAAGCAACACAGGTGGGTTAATTAATTTGAAGCAGAAGATGATGAATGTTAAAATATACTGCACAAAATCTATTTTTGAAGAATCCGCATTTAGGTCTATGCAAAGGTAGTGTTAATAAATTGAAGCATGAGACCACGGGATGCCATCGACTAATTTGGATTAGGTGGTTGACAGTGGAGCAGGTCGTTTTTACAAGAAATTGAATATTTTCACATAGTTTATTATCCCATCGAACGAAGTTCGGAGGGATATACAGAACGCCTCCGTCCGTCCGTATGTACATCCGTACGTACGTCCGTCCGGGCAATAACTCAAATACCGTTGGCCCGATTTTGTTCATATTTTGTACACATATACCCTATGGGGGTAGAAGTTCTGCTCGAAAGCCGATTTTCAAAATGGCCGCTCATTTAAAAATGGCGGCCATTTTAGTGCCGATTTTACAGTAATTTAGGTGCAATATGTAAAACTGTAATACTAGCAATATGTTTTAAATGTAAAAAAATTATATAGGATTTTGATAAAGCTAAAAATATAGATATTAAAGAAGCACATGGCAGCCATCTTGAAAAATGGCGGCCTTTACTCGTTATTATAACGATTTTTGCTTTAACTCAAGATGTAGTGGATCGATTTTGTTCATATTTGGTATGTGAATACTATAAGCATGGCACACTGTCTAATGACACTTTTGGTAGAAGGCAGCCATTTTGAAAAATGGCCACCATTTTAACATATTTTCCTATAACTCGAAAAGTAGTGGAGCGATTTTGTTCATATTTGGTATGTGAATACTATAAGCATGGTACCCTGTCTAATGACACTTTTGGTAGGAGGCGGCCATTTTGAAAAATGGCCGCCATTTAAACGTAATTTACTCGGCCTTTACTCGCTATTTAACGATTTTTGCTGTAACCTGAAAAGATTTTGTTCATATTTGGTATGTGAATACTATAAGCATGGCACACTGTATAATGACACTTTTGATAGAAGGCGGCCATTTTGAAAAATGGCCACAATTTTGAAGTATTTTAACATTATTCGAAAAGTAGTTGAGCTATTTTGTTCATATTTGGTATGTGAATACTATAAAAAAAAGCATATTACTTCTTCTGATGACAACTTGGCTAGTGAGCAACCATTTTGAAAATGGTGGCCTTTCTTATGTGTGTTATTTTATGATATTTGCTATATATTTTGTTTGTAAAAATGCCAGTCATTTCTGTTCGATGGGATTCGCTACGCTTTGGCGTTGCCGTTGTTCTGGTCTTTTAAATGAAAAGCTGCCTATTCACAGAGAAAATGAACCGGAGAGAACTAAAGCCTGCGAGTGTATATGAAGACCTCTAAGAGTGAACATTGAACACTTCATTCCTTTACAGAACCTCGTTTTCAAAGAATTACCTGTAGGCAGGCCAAATCAAAAATCAGCTTTTGGGGAACTTAATGGAACACATTTTTCTTACTGTAAATCTGAATTAGCCAAGATGTCCTTTACGTATCATATACCATTATATATTCTCCCAACATTTTGTCAATTTTATAAAATAAAAAGTCATATTACAAGAGTGAATGATAATGAGCTCAAAACTCGTATATATAAACATATATATTCTTTCCAAAGGAAGTTAACACTACTAACGAGAATGTTTCAATCCATTCTGGTCATAACCCATTATCTGATATTCTTCAGATCCAGTATATGTCCTAAGATAGAACAAGCTCTATTTGAAGGAGGACTTTCAAAGTCACACCTGGTTTAAAAATGATGGCCATTTTACTAAAGGACTTCGTTCACATCAATCGTATCTAGACTAGGGATTTTACCGTTTTTGTGAGAACTTACAAAATCGTGAAGTTAATATATAGTTTTACTGCAAAAAAACATTCACTACATTGATGATGTTGATTTAATCCGGTTTACGGCGACTATTTTAAAAAATGGTGGAAATGGTGGATTTTGATGCTATTTCATTTGACAGCACGACATGTTTTTTGACGATTTTTGCAATATGGTGGGCATTAAAAAACATTTTAAGCTTTTTGTTATGGAGCAAACTTGTCGATACTTTACATGTAACATATTTTATATTATTACTCGAACAGTAATGGAGCGCATCTACATAAACATATATATTCTCTTTTGACAACTTGTGTTCGATGTTGATCATTTTGATTGAGTTTATTATGCCTTGCTGTTACTGTACCGTTGTTACATTTTTATGATTGATTTCGCCAAAATATTTTTTGCCGCTAAAGACAATTTCAAGTGAATATATGCATTGATATATAGAACTCTCAAACATTATACGTTTATTGATGCAATAAGTCCATTCAACTTGACATTTTGAAGATTTTATATATGGTCATTATAGATTTTCTTTCCAATTAAAGTGAGCAAACAATGTTTACGACATTCTTGTTCATTTTGTAAACACAACACTTTCAATATGCTATGTTTATGTAGTCATATTCTGTGAAAGGTGAACCATTGACAAAATACTTCCGGACAATTTTCGTTTTGGATGAACAGCAAATTTACATTATCCTGAAAGAGTCTAGTTTTCATTGAGCGTAATTTAATAATTCACGTGGGGTTCAAATATACCAGTTGCATACAGGGTCAATATCTTTGGAAAGTTATGAAAGCAAACGTTTGACAATGACATAATGGAGCGTGTACATTGGAAGTAAATGAACTAACTGAACCAAATCCATCGTGACATGAGATCAAGAAGTTGTGTGATTCCAGTACACTGATCTCTGAGCTAAGATTTTTACGTGAAGACTAGAACTTCAGTAATGCGATCATCTAATTCATTTTAATTGTAACCAGGAGGCCTTTACAATCAAATTACCGGTTATAGGAATTAATGATTATTGAGATCCCTACTAGGTAGGACTATCATTAGAACATTTTTCGGATCAATACACTGATTTCTCCGATATTGGAATCAATTATATCGGGCAAAAGTTTCTATTTAGTTTCAGGCAGAAAATTATTGTAAATGATCATAGAGATGGACTGATTATTGGTAAAGAACTTATATATATAGCGGATAATTGCATCCTACGGCCCTATCACATTCCAATGACGCAGTGTGGATTGGATTATTAAGGAATGACTTGTCTAATAAATGATGCCCAATTAGGAGGTGCCGACAAGATCTCCTCACATGAGATAATCAACGGTTTCATTTTTGAAGAAGCACGGAGATTTGAATAAAGTAAAATACAAAGCTGAGTAACAACTGGATATAAAATTACTAATTTTAGTATTGGATTTAATCCTAAATGAATTGGTGTCATTTGATCATGTTTAAACATTGGGCATTGCTATAAAAGTCTGGATCATGGCCGACAATCTTACTGACACTAGTACGTATGTCACTGATGCAGCAACTAATACGTTATATGTAACTGAAGCAAATACTATGCAAGAACAGAAGTTGGATATAACTCTCCACGTTTTGTCTTCAGTACTGTTGTTGATCATCATTGTACTTGTTCTAATGGCCAACATTATTGTGATTGTAGCTATAGGGAAACATGATTATCTAAGGACTTTATCTAATACCTTTATCCTCTCGTTGGGAGTAGCTGACTTACTAGTGGGGCTTCTTGTGATGATACCAGCCATGTTCAATCAAGTGATGGAAAAATGGATTTTCCCCGAGACATTCTGCACAGTGTGGATAGCATTTGATGTGATGCTATGTAGCGGTTCTATCTTGAGTGTATGTCTGATTAGTATAGACCGTTATCTTCTCATTATGAACCCGCTCAAGTACAAAACATTCATGACACCTTTCAAAGTCGTTGCTTGCATCACTGCCGTTTGGGTTATCACTGCCTTCAGTTCCTTCTTGCCTATCTTCAATGGTTGGCATAGGAGAGAAAACACATTTAGTGATATTGTGGCTGGCCAATGCGTACTACAGACTAGTCTAACCTTTGCTCTCACTGCTTCTTTTTTAACGATTCTGGTACCAATTATAGTGACTACAATGCTCTATGGAGCTATATTCAAGGCAGCAAGACGACATGCTCGCCTCATTCACGCAGTCAATGCCCTGATATGGCATAAAAGACCAAAGAACATAGTATCAACCACCAAAGATGTATTTTCCAGCAAGGCATCGTTTACACTTGGGATACTACTAGGTGCATTTGTCATCACTTGGCTGCCCTTTTTCACTGTGAACCTAATTGATGCCTCGTGTGAATGTGTGGATTCCACCCTATTCAGCTTCATTGTATGGTTGGGATATTGCAACAGCCTTATCAATGCTATCATATACCCTTTACTCATGAAAAACTTTAGATACGCATACGGGAAAATGTTTCCATGCCTCAAGAGAATAGAAATATTCCAAGCCAACATCCATCCAACATTTTCTTCCCGAACCAAGGCGTCGGTGAGGAATATGGAGTTGTTATCTATGGATGGGTCAAGGAGGGGTTCTGTGATAGACAATTACAAAGTTAATACTAGACACGGGGTCTTTAACACTGAATCAGTTGTAAAACAATGGAAGTTGCACACGAAGAACAAAAATATATGCTAAATATGAAAAATCAATATGGTCATAAAATGCAATATAATGTTTTTTCATAAAATATTCCTACTAAATGGAATGTTCAAAAATAGAAAGGGTACTATACTGTTCTTTAAGCGAAAGAAACTCAGTCTTCCATAAAACTCTTGACCAATCATGCACGCTTATTGTATTGATGTCTTTACCACGTTGTATTGTGAAACGTGGCAATTTTAGCTGCATAGTTGCACAGACTTAGACGATGGATGGTCATGATCATTGAAGACTTTTGCATTTGATGATGAATCTCGGAATGGACTCATTAGATATCTTACCTTACGTACAACAAGCTTGGTTGTTTCATGGGCTTCTCTTGGAAGCACATGGTGTTTTCACAATGAATCGCAGAATTGACAAATTATACTCATTTTGGGGGGTAAGAGTCGATCATTGATGAACTCAGAATTCCAGAAGAATGTAGAAATAATAGAAGTAATGCCAATGGTTATCAATGTCTGATGTGGCCTACCTAAGCTGTTTAAAAAGTATTTTTATTTTGCAGTGTGCAAAGGACAAGTCTCGGTTTGGAGAAAAGTCTAATGGGCTAATAATTTTTTTATGAAAGATATAGAAATAACACCCAAATTGAATTATGAATATTGAAAATACAATTAAATCTACAATATGTAAAAATATCAAAATTGTCCGAAGCATGCGTACGTGCAGTAAACCGATTCGATAAATGACAAATGTTGGTTTGGAGAACAAAGTTCATAAATCTACTGCGCTAATAATTGTGTTATGAAAAATATAGAAATAACACTAAAAGTAAATTATGGATATTCAAAAGAGGACATTTAAATCTACAAAATGTAAAAATATCAAAATTGTCCAAAGCAGGCGTAACATGCATTTGACTGATGAACTTTGTTCTCCAAACCGAAACTAGTCCTTTCGAAGTTTTTAAAATAAAGAAACGCAGATTAATGCAAATATATCTTTGTTAGTGTTTTATTCAATGTTCCAACATAAAGAAACGTAAATTAATGCAAATATATCTTTGTTATGAATTGAGACCAAGCGGGTAGTATACCAGATATAGCAATTACACTCAGAAACAACAAATTTCAAATGAGTAGAACTACTTCCTCCTGTGATGACAGCACCCGTGCCCAGCTAGTTCTTACAAGTCTGGTGTTGAGGATAAAGAAGGGATGGGGCGGGGTCCAGAGACTTGAAGTAAGACTTAACTTTAAAACAGTATTACTATTGACCTGTGCCATGACATTAATACTATGTAGTTAGTTACAATGAAAAAAGTAAAGATAATTACAGGGTGACCCAAAACTGCTACCCTCCATAAGCACTCATACAAAAAATCAACTTTGAATTTTAAAGAAAATGCACTTCCGTTCAAGCAAGTTCTCACATAAAATTGTTAAAAATATGTTTGCATATGTACATTAAATTGAGCAAATTATCATGATTTGGAGACATGATGGAAATTTGATTTATTAAAGGCTCTTACGTTTCTATTTAGCAACAACACTGGTATTGTCATTGCTTTTTCTCTTTAGCCTCTTATTTGCAACACTTGAACTGATATCGTTTCTTTTTATAGTCTTTTTATGAGTTTTTGTGACTGGTTCAGATTTCCTCCTAGCCTTTTTTCTTTTTCGTTTCTGAGCACTTTGGGTTATTTGAGGATTTTGGAATACAACTTTAGGTATTTTTGATGGAGGCTCTTCATTTGACTTGAATTCATTTTGAGCAACATTGGATTCATGTTTTGCAGTTGATTTCCTAGATTTTGATCCCTTATCTTTGATATCAATTGTGTCTTTATGCTGAGCAATTTCCTTATTATACTTTCGTTTAGTGGCATGCTTTTTCTGCCCGTCAAATGCTAGAGTTCCATTTTCCGTTTGAACATCTAAATCAATATCCACAGCACCAATCTTTGAAAATAATGCAACAAAGAAGCCATTTGTTAAATCATCTGCATGCATTCGGGCACATTTCTCTGCCCCCGCAAAAATATCTAGTCCCCTGCGTGGCCAATCAGGGAGCACAGTGTCGAGTGTAAATGAATCACGGTGATCACGTAGAACAGCTGCAACAACATCTTCATTCTCTTGTTGATGCACAGAACATGTGGAATAAACAACCTGAAATATAGATGTTAGTTATTAGTTAAAATGCTGTTTATTAGCTCACATGTTGAGCTGTTGTAATCATGAGCTACACAGGCCCATAGCCCGGGGGATTCAAGCTTGAACCCCCCCCCCCCCTGGCCAAAAATTCTTTGCATATCATGCAGTTTTTCACAATTATTTGGAGTACTTTTCGTGTTTCTGGCCATTTTTGGTCCAACATTGTCAAATGTGAACCCCCCTGGATTTTTTTTAGAAAGTGAACCCCCCCTTGGCAAATCCTGGCTGTGGGCCTGACCCACTTGAACAGTATGTCCATCAGTCTTTTTTGTCTAATTGATGTCTGATTTGTAATCCTACATAAAAACTGTACATGAAAATTAATTTGGTTTTCAGCACTTTCTCCATGTGAACCAAGTATCCACAAAACGTTATCTATTTTTTATTTTATTTCAATAATCATGACATTATATACATTATATACAGGTATATGGTCATAACACATTTAAAATATCTACATCAATTATCAACTTTGTTTGTAGTAAAAATTATTATTTTTTGATTGTTAATTATTAATTAATTCGTAAAAGGAGCATAAAATGTGTCATCATAGTTTTGTATACTAGTTATGTATTGTATAAGATATATACCTTTTTAACTGCAGGAAATGACATTGCATGTGTGAGAATCTTGGTTTGGAATGAGGCCAGGTTTGCAAGTCTGTCATCATCTGCTTCCATATTCTCACTCGTCAGTGGATCTAGTCTACTGTAAATACCTAGGTGCAAAAGATTATTGAGACGTTTACTTCTTATCATAAAAATGAATTATGCAGTTATTCATTTTGTTTAAAATAAATGAGAATGGTAAATGTCAATATTACATCTCATGATCGCAAAGTTTCAAGTAAAGATAATTGATACACAAACTTTCAAATGAGTGAACTAATTAATCTCAAATTTCAATTAGATTCTCAATCACCATGGAATAACAAACAAGATTTGTGTCGATCACACCATTGTGCATAAGAACAAAGTTGAGAGTTTTACTGTTCAAATCTACTATCACAGGCATTTTTGATCCATAATTCTACAACTTGATCATTTGATCTACGATCTACTTATATTATTGATTACTAGTTCCAATTGCATAGTGATTAACAATATACCTGATCCACTACAAGAAGGGTCAACAAGCATATACTGCACCCTGGCAAACTTGGGATCTTTGGGGTCCACAGTTAAGAAATCATGGTGTGTTAACTCAGCAGACGTCACTCCAGCCTTTGAGGTCAGTGACCTCATTGTCTCAAGTCTCTTCTTATCAAGGTCAAATGAGAATATTTTGCTGAAAAAATAAAAAATTACCTCAATTAAAATCTGGGTTTTGAATGTTGAATATGGACAGACTACTCTAAGGAGTAATGCCGAAGTTACAATCATTGTTCTTTTTCATGAATTTAACCATGATATGTGATGCAACAATAAACTACGTGTACATGTAATGTTAAAAAGTAATGTTAATAAAATAGCATACCCAGTGTTTGCCATGATAGCAGCTAAATGACTTGTTTTGTTCCCAGGTGCAGCACAGCAGTCTATAACATGACTTCCATTTGGTGGGGATAGAACATATGCTGGTACACAGCTAGCCTGTAAGGTAATACAAGTACATGTGCATTTCTTGGTACTAGGTGTCCATATTTATGTGGATGGGTATTGTTGAACAAAGTGCACTTTTCTAGGTTCCATTTTCCATTTGAATTTCATGATTGACCTTTTGTCTGTTTTTGGACCATTGTAACATACATGAATTTTAAGAGCAAAGAATATTCTTATTTTGAAATGTATAGTTTTTGTGATGCACTGGATAAAGCACTTTCTGATTATGATATAGTAGTTCACCTTATCTTGAAGTATAATACTGCCATCAATATAAAGAGGGTGCTTGTGGAAGTCTGTATTCTGTGGGAACACTAGAAGGCCATCTATATGTGGATCTTGAAGTAACTGCATTGTTTGGATAGCCTTCACTGCCTTATGGAAGCTAAATCATATGAAAATCACTAATATTTTAAACTGGAACCTCATAAATTGTTTTCATATATTCTATGCTGGCAAGTAAGGCTTATTGTGGATTACAGTTTATCTGGAAATATCATGCAACTATCTTATTCTAAATTTAATAATCAACATTGAAGCATGTGATGTGACATAAACTAAGAACTCCAAAATTGCTAACCTGCCAGGTTGCTTGAAAGCTGACTTAGGTGAGAATGTGTATCCCTCATCTTGGAAATGTTGCACCACATTCTGAGGAGTGGTCTTTAGATAATTCACCCTGGCATATCTAGGGATGGAGCCTACAAGTTCATATAAACAAACATTTCAATTAAACAGTAAAACATTCAATTCCTGTACAGCTGAAGAGACTTGCATACTATTTGGAAATATCAAGAACCAATAATTGAAAAAAAGGAATTGGGTGAAATCACACCTAAAAGGGCCATATAATTTATCCAGCTGGTAATGGTAAAAAATGATCACAATATAGCACCCAAGGGAGTTTTTATACCAAGTAATGTCCCTAAAAATTAAAATTTTACACCCATAAAGCGATTTGCCTTGAAATAGGCAGATAAGATTTGCCAATAGAAAACCCAAATTGGCTCTCTTATTATTCAGCTTATGAATACAGTTGCAATGTAAATGTACACGGGTAAAATAGTACCTGACTGTAGGTCACTGAGCAAATCTTCATTCTTTGTTACTTTCGCCTTCACTTTTAATCTGGCTAATTCAGCTTGCAGAGCTGCTTTGTGATTTAGAAGTGCTTTCTGGAAATATTACAACAAAGAAATTGCAATAATTTTTCTAATATCATTTTTTAGTGTACAAAGAGGACAACTTTGGTTTGATTTTTGGTTTTTAAATAACCCAAAATAACTTACAGGCAGAATCTGATCTATAAGGCGTGACAAAATTACAAGCAACATGTATAATTGACCTACCAATCTATTCCTTACAATATCAAATACAATATCTCCCAAAAGATTCGCAATATGTTATAAATTGGTGAAGTTATTAATGATTCAAAGTGCAAAAATGAGTGAAATATGTTTAAATTCTCCCAAATAATAAGAATGGTAACCATTCTTATAGAAAAATAATGCATTATTGTAAAAATCTTTAATAGTCCTGGTATAAAGTATGCACTTTTGTGATTTTTAGAAAATAGACATGACAAGGAATGACATGAGCCAAAAAGATTCTAAAATTGGACAAATTTGTTGTTTGGCCTGCTCGCTATATCTGATTCTCTCTTTAACACAATCAATAGACTTAGACAAAAAACTTTTCTGAAAGTATCAAAGCATGAGAAAAATCTTTACCATAAAGTAAGCACTGCATTGACATGATGTTTCAAACTGAAGAAACTACTAGCACCTTTTTCAATTTTAAAGGGCAATTATTACAGTTACACTTTCTACAAGCTTTGATAATTGATAAGATTTATGTCCAAAGTCTATCAATGTTTGTTCAAGTTTGTTCTTTGTGGCAGGGTATCTACATACATATGTGAAACTTGAAGTAAGTGCATTTGTACATCATTGTGTAGGTTACATAAATCATGGGAATAAAAACATTTTTGGGTCATTTATGATGAGCATTAGCTCTTTTAGTTGATTTTTAGTTCTGGTCTATATCATAACTTAATACCTTGAACTGCCCTCCAGTCTGGATGCCTCTTCCAAAGAGAAAGTCATACAAAAGTACCAATGTTATGGTCTCGCTTTTGGCCAGCAACTTCTCATGTCTCAGGAGATCTGTCCCAGCTATAATTTGAAGGATGACATCTCTGTACTTCAGGGTTTCACATGTGATAGCATACAACTGCTTCTTATTCTGAAAATAAACAGATTCACACAAGTACAAGCAATATCTTAGACAGGCCTGGCTCAGCTCTGCTCTGATGAGTTGGACTATGAGATTCTCGACTTACTTCATAAGCTTAGGTTATTCTTTCCAAACAACATTTTAGAAAAAATGCTGTACCTACCCATGTTATTTTCTGGTACAAAATAAAGTATGAAGGCATGTGTGTATTCCCTTGCTTTTTTCAGGAAAGTATCATTACATTATCGTCTCTAAGTAAACCTAGTAAGTGGTGAATGGAAATCCAGTGTTACTGAGAAACTTGGAGAAGAAATTTGGAAAATTGAAAAGGTGCCCATTTTGAATGATATTTTGAATGATTTTTCTTGAAAGCATTTCCTGGAATCTTCATTGACCCATTACCAGGTTTACTAAAAGAAGACATTGCAATAACGTTTTTTGGAAAGAATAACCTAAATATCTCAGATAAATAAAGCCCCAATGGGACATCTATGCAATTTATGAACCTAGCCATAAATTTAAATAAGACTTTTTTATATTTTTGATTGTTTGAAAGTCCAAGCTACAGTGGGGAACATAAAGAATTACTATAGCTATGAGAATTACATGCTGTCTCACATGTAATAAATTCTTACCTCAGTATATTCAGTGCTCTATTTTCTCCGTCCTAGCATGGGGTTTCAATTCTAGTTGAAAGCCCATGGTCCTAGTAGGTCCAAATATAGTGGAATTTGTGTCCATAATGACAAATAAGAACTTGAAAAGTTGAAGTGGATATTCACATGTTAATGCCGACTCTTCAAATGTTGAGGTGATTTTGTAGCCGATTACGCCGCAACGGAGGATTGACTCCCAGAATGCAACATGACAAGTGCCAGCTTTCAAAATGCCTTTCCGCCATTTTGAAACCTGTCACAAGTAAATAAGGTTAACTGATGTTGCATTCTTGGAGTCAATCCTCCTTGGATCACAAACATGGCGATTCATGAAAACATTCGTTCGATTTGGTAGGGATTTATCCATCATTTGCAGGTATGAAGCTTTGGATTCATTTATTGTGCTACTTAAAGGGAAGGGGAATTATTTTTCTACCGCCTGGGAGAGTTTGAGACAAGAAACTTGGAATTTAGCTCATTGTGACAACTTTTGATGGTTGAGGTTTATTTTTGTCCCCCACTTTATAATATGATGGAGACTGTGAAAAATCCAGAGGACGCCTCTGATTTTATTTCATCAATTTTCATGTCAGTCAATTCTACTACCTTTCCGTGTCTCTGCTTTTTATATCTTTATGTTATGTTACACTTCAGTGTGGGTGTGGCACATCGATATGTACATGTAACCATGGGCTTTCTAGTTGAAAGCCCATGATGTAACTCAACTGTAAAAAACTGAAGTGTGAATGGTTACCTGGTAATTACTCTTCAAGACAAGTGATTTGACAGACCCTCTCTTGCCTAATACTTGTTCAATAATGTCTGCTGTCGTCCGATATAATACTGATGTCATTAATCCGTCATTTGAGTAGATTTTCTTGATAAAGCTAGGCATTTTTAACCCATTACAATATTTCCCATATTATCGCCCAATGAGGATTGCACTTAAAATGCGAACGCGATATTTTCACGATCTTTGTTCGTGTTTTCATAATGTAATACTAAGACTCCAAAAAGTCCTGTAGTCCGTGATAAAACAAAGCAGAGAAAGACAATATTGAAAAAAGATATGATGTAAATGTTTCATTCAACTAATTTTACAGGGACGTCAAAAGGATTTGCCAAGGGAAGGGATGACTTATGGATATGGATGGGACGTGCGTGAAGCATGGATCGGGGGGGGGGGCATGCCCCCAGAAAATTTTCAAATTTAGAACCTCTCTGGTGCCTTCTGAATATATCTCAGCACAATATCCCCAATAACTAGATTGGAGAAATTGAACAATTTTCAATCTGGAGTCTAATAATAAAAAATTAGAACCGTGGGTACTGGGCTCACATGGTGTTGCTCAAAAGTGAATGATGGCTAAAATGTCAGAAAATAAAAAAAAACGGATGTTTAAGAGAGAATCAGATCAAGCGAGCAGGCTAAACAATTTTTTTTTCCAATTTAGAATATTTTTGGCTCATGTCATTCCTTGTCATGTCTATTTTCTAAAAATCACAAAAGTGCATACATTATTCCAGGAAAACTAAAGATTTTTACAATAATGTATTATTTTTTTATAAGAATGGTTACCATTCTTATTATTTGGGAGAATTTAAACATTTTTCACTCATTTTTGCACTTTGAATCATTAATAACTTCACCAATTTATAACATATTGTGAATCTTTTGGGAGATATTGTATTTGATATTGTAAGGAATAGATTGGTAGGTCATTTATACATGTTGCTTGTAATTTTGTCACCCCCTATAGATCAGATTCTGCCTTTAAGTTTTTGCCGATTTCTTGTAACAAAATTATTTCATACAGCTACTCTTTACAAAGACATGGCTTTTTACAATGCAGGACACCTGAAATTATTTGTAAAGCAAGGAAATGGGCCAAAAGTGAATTTCCCGAGACAAAAATGGTGCCAGGCCGTTTTGAAAATAGGCGAGCTTTTGAAGCAGGAGTCACAGTTTTTTTTTTCTTTATTGATGTTGAACAAAAAAATATTTTAAAATGGTAATCCTATCTACAGAGGATTTAAAGAGCCAAGTGTTGACAGACAGAGGTTTTACAACTTGCCACTATCTCAAGTTGTACTGACAGACATATGGACAAATCAATTAACTAAAATGGCTGAAAATAAAAAAAAGATATGATTTTTTGCCGATTTTTTGTAACAAAATTATTTCATACAACTACTCTTTACAGTGACATGGCATTTTACAATGCAGGACACCTGAAATTATTTATAAAGCTAGGAAATGGGCCTAAAGTGAATTTCGCGAAACAAAAATGGTGGCCATTTTGAAAATAGGTGAGCTTTTGAACCAGGAGTCATATAGTCCACGGTATGAAATTTCTAGGACGTCTAATTAAGGAGTTGGTGGCACCATATCTGCATAATGATATTTGAGCTTATATTTAGATACCTACATGTGTCCCGCGTTTTATTTTTGTATAGCCGTGATAAATACGGCGGGCTTTTAGGCCGAATAATGCATGTCATTATCAGGGGTCAAAAAACGTGTAAAACGTTTTTTGTATTTTTTTCATAATTTAAAGTACAAACATTAAAAGAAAATCACATGAAAATATTTTTAATATATACATCAAGTTTCTTGGCTATAATTTTGCGGTATGTGTTCCTTGAAATACCTTATATATAAAAAATCAAGGTTTCAACATTTTATGTCGTTTTGGAGATATTGGTGAAGCAATCAATATATTGGCACCTTTATTACCTGTGAATAACATATGGTTATAATATGTCAGTTTTTTACTAAATTAGTTGTAATACATTTTGAGATATGGACAGCCGTATTCAGGGGTCAATTGCCAATAAATGGAGACCCATTGTTCTTCCTTGTGTAATACCGTCTGCGATTGAAAATTGTTGCATATGGTTGAACATGAATTGGTTGCTTATATAGACGTGTCGCAAAAAGCTCGCGCACGCATTGTTACACATTTTGTGGCGTAATCCAGAGGATCCTCGCTTTTAACATGATAGAATGTGACGTTTTTGAGAAAAATGTACACACATGAAAATCCTTTCGTCCTCCACATTTACCTCTATATCTCAAAACATTTTAGACGAATAACTCTGATATCATATATATATTGTTAATGGGCTAGGAGCATCATAAAACACGAATCAATTGATATTTTAGGTGAAATAAATATACGTGTTGCTGTGCTTGAAAATAGGCGAATGGCGTAAATTAGCCCTATTTTAATTAATTTTGAAAACCTTTCGTCCTCCACTTTTCCACATACAACAGAAAACACATACTTTTGTGAACAAAATCAACTATTTATTAATAAAATAGAGTTTAGGAGCAAAATAATCATGTATGATTTATTAAAAATTGATCTCGTATTTTTTGTTTAATGTACACCTGAAAAGTTGAAGGTACTAAAAAATGAGCAAAAAAGGTCGCTGTCAACAGATTCTATTTTTCAGACTCTATGACGTCACAATATGGGACGCTTACTAAAATTCATCCTTTGAAATAAAACTTCCATCTACCTTTATCAAGACGAAAAATAAGTATAATAGTCATGTATTGTTTGAGTTATGAGCGTTTAAAGACGAAAAATAATTCAAAATGTAACGTGTCAACATGGGATATTTGCCTGATGTTTTGGTAAAAAACTCTTTTTTAAAAACGAACGCACAAAAAATGTGAACGGAGTGTAGTTGATCTAAAATCTTCATCGAAACAGCTTTAAAATGATATATAACTTTAATTAGAATATTATCTTATAATCCGGGGAATCAAAGTTACATTCACGCGATACCCTTAAAAAACAAATGCGCCACCTTTTTGCGACACGTCATAAGAACCATATCTTCAACATTTGACTACATGGATCTTTGAGAAATGTCGGCAATAATGTAAAGATGAATCGATGTAATGCATCGCAGTGACAAATATAATTGTTGTTATATTATACTGTTTGTTACACATTAATAAAAAATCAGAATTCTGAAGTAACAAAACATGAACGCACAAGTGGAAATGGAAAAGGCACAGCAACAAATGGAATGTGTTCAAGAGTATACTAATATAAAACATGCAAAATGCCAACGCATATTCGTTACATACACCGAACGCCGAATATGTACTGTCAATGGACTTTATGTTGGAAACTATAACAATATGTCATACCATTCTTGGTGGTGACATAAGAAACACTAGCAATCCCAAAGTCAAACGTCTTTCAACCCCTCCCGACACACGAGCTAAGTATAAACATCATTCCCAGACCATTACACCAAGTAGCACATCATTATACTCGAGTCATTACAACACAAATTGAATAAAAATACAAATTGTGAGCCAATACTCATAAGAATACTAATAGTATATTAGATATACAATATTTAGAATTTGGTCTTAATGCTTTGAGATAGATATTATAATTCGTTTAACGTTTAAAAATGTCAGCATCCCACTGCAAACCTAAAGCCTTCAGTTTTAGCAATTTAATTGACAATGCCTAAAATAATCCCCACATCCTTCAGCATCTCGAGTACATAAACTTAAACGGTCGCAAAATCCAGAAACTATTTTACAAAAAGGAACACTGTTCATTAAACAAAACAGAATACCTCAAATAAAAATCAGTGACTATAGCATTTGGATTCACTCGCATAAACCAATCCTCTCATGAAAGCTCTTATATAGAACTAATAATTCGTTTATAAATCACAGGTAATATTGCCTAACATAATGCATTCGCAAAAAAGTAACATCTCACATGAAAAATCAAAAACATAATAGCCTCATGAATATACTCACAAACACGAATACCTCACATATTAATCGTAACTGATATAACAACTTCTTCAGTATAGTATATTCCTCGCTTATTATGTGGTACTGTATAAAATGCACTCAAAAAACCTGATACTCCACATCACGCGGTACTAACTTCGACCGTTAATTTGAATTTTTGACCTACCAGGTGCTTGAAAATCAAGGATTGCGAGTCTCATACTGCACCGTTTTTCTTCAAACTTATACCATTAAAAGCAAAACAAAATTGCCTTTCTGTCGGTGCATTACTTGATTGTAAGGAGTCCCTCGTTCACGCAGCGTTTTGGTCCCCAGCTGTCGGAAGGCCTTCTTACAGCTGGGGACCAAAATGCCGCTGGAAGTAGGGTCTCTTATTAAGAGAATAATGTACCATCAGAAAGGGATTTTTGTTATGCTTTGAATGGAACAAGTTTGAAGAAAAACGGTGCAGAATGAGACTCACAATCCTTGATATTCAAACATCCGGTAGGTCTAAAAATCAAATTAACGGTCGAAGTTAGGATCGTGTGCACATAAAAACTTGGATTAATCAAACGTTATAGGATGCGCCTCACATAAAAAAAAAACAATATAGCGTCACAGAGTGCATTATTTGAAAGGAATACCTTTTATAAAATTTCAAATATTATCACTACTACCCACCTAGTTACACAGACGTATCGTCAGTGTATCATGGCTGAACTACTTCCGGGATTTGAATTTGGTAAGATATTTTTATTTCTCGATTTACATCTACTTATAAGTCACGATGTGGATTATAATTTGGCTCGAAGTTATGGGAGATAATCTAGTTTGAGAATGTGTCGATGGTTTTAGGTTTGGTATGTTAACGAAGACGCATTTCACATATTTAGTCCCTCGCTTTTGTTACACTGACGACCGGCATTAATATTGCCAATATTACACTGATATTGGTCGTTCGTCAGTGTAACAAAAGCGAGGGACTAAATACCTGAATTGTGCCTTTGTTAACATATAAAACCTAAAACCATCGACACATTCTCAAACAAGACTATCTTCCTTAACTTCGAGGCAAATTATTATCCACAACGTGACTTATAAGTAGGTGTAAATCGGGAAATAAAAAAATCTTTCCGAAACCTAGTCCCGGAAGTAGTTCCGCCATGATACACTGACGATACGTCTGTGTAACTAGGTGGGTAGCAGTGATTATACAGAATATAGAACGAAGTTAAAAGAAACTTGTACTCCCCTAAAATAAAGTGTATGAATAGTACTCACAATTAGCAACGACCCAGGGACAATGACTACCACTCCACATAAAACATTAACAATGATATTGAACTTCTTCACTACTTCTTCAGCATAGAATTTACTCAGAAATGAGTAATACATGTTATTCAAGTATAAATTAAATTACCTCCTTCATATGTGACATATAATTTCACCCAGAAACTAGTTTTTCTAGCAATACCCGATATAAAGACAAAAGAGATATAGCCTGGGAGTAGCCATTTTGTCCCAAATTCTATCCAAAATGTCATGAATATGTACGCACGAGTGCCAAATGCGAAAGACCAAAAATGACAAAACATAGCAGGAAAATGAAATGGCTAAGATCTCATTGCCAAATGGAAAGAAAATCCAACTATCTCAAATCAATATACAACGTGAAAGGAAAATGTATCTTACAACACTCACAACAATTCGTAAAAGTGCAATTCGCATGGCTTTGGCGACATAGAGTTTGTGCACAAATGAATAATGCCTGATTTGATAAAAAGTCACAAATTATAAAATGAAGTATGGCTTCCTAAAACTCGAATGGAAAGATCGGAAACGAGAGATGTTGGATTGCTAAAAAAATTGAGAGAACCGGTCTTACAAAAAATTATTCGATGTCGTCTTTAAATCGGAGGCTCGTCTGAAAGATTGGATGTGTGCAACATTATAAATTTCTCCCAATTCCAATCGGGACTTTGCACGCGATGGGTGAGTTGATATGATTGATAGGGTCACACCTTGGAACAACGATACATATCGTGAACACAGATGATAAAATATAGATAGTCAATGAAATAAAATATAAATGAGTACCTTTAATTTAGTATAATTCACAATCTCGCCCTGCTGAATGAAATCGTCTCTAACGGTGTCACTCATCCATCACGAAGGTTGGTTTCTGGTTCTTATTAATGACAGTATGGCTCTCACTTATAAATTTACATTTAGAATAGAACGAACATTTGTCAAGTTATGATCGAAACAAAAACTAAATCTTGTCTTCGCAAGGGACAGTTCAAAAAACTAAATTACTATTTTGAATTTCACAAATCTTGCTCTACTGCATCAAATCGTCCTGAATATAGTCACTCGTCAACCACGAAAGTTGATTTCCGGTTTCTTAATAAATCATTCTAGCGTTCTCATTTATAAAACAATCGATAATTAAAACTGAAATATATTATAATGCATTCAATGTTTACTTTCTTACAACATTCCATGGTTATTTTATTGTGGGAGCACAGCATTGTGACACTATGATATTTGCGACGCATTTGACTGTGCCTTCTTTATTCCTCGATGCAAATCATCTAGTTTAAAAATGTAAACATTCCAATACCAAAATTAGATTAATTATTTAATTGATACATCCTTTATATTTTTATTTGATTACGTTTTGAATATCATTAACAATAATCCGTTGTTTGACCCTTGAAAACGCAAGAAATATTTCCGTGAATATATTGTTTCTATAAGTACAAAACTAATATGTTACTAATTATAGATTTTCTGAATATTTCGCATAATTTGGTCACATCTGCTCTGTCTTATTTTTTTCTAAATAATAAAACGTTGAAAAGTACCCTAGTGCAATGCACTAATTGAAAAATGACATTTACGTTAAAATAGTATTATATTTCTATGTAATCCTAATCCTTTAAATTATATATAAGTTTCGATTTACAATTTGAGTCTCATAAAATGCACTAAAATACTCATGAAAAGTTTCACGTTTTTTGACCTCTTGTGATGACAGACATAATGCGACCCGAAAGCCTTAATATTTTTTACCAAATGGCATTTTAAAAGCATAAGGACATATGCCCCTCCCTAAATATCGGTTCAAATGTCGTTATGCATATATGGTGCCACGGGTTTGTAATATCTATGAGCCATACCATGGACTACATAGGGGAGTTTTTTGTATTGCTGTTGAACAAAAAAACTTAAAACGGAAATCCTATCGACAGAGGTTTTAAGGCAAATGGTCCAAAAGTAGATTTCGCGAGACAGATGGACAAATTAATGTTAACTAAAATGGCTGAAAATAAAAAAACAGATATAATTTCTTGCCGATTTTTTGTAACAAAATTAGTTCATACAACTACTCTTTAAATTGACATGGATTTTTACAATGCAGGACACCTGAAATTATTAGTAAAGCTAGGAAATGGGTCAAAAGTGAATTTGGCGAGACAAAAATGGCGGCCATTTTGAAAATAGGCGAGCTTTTGAACCAGGAGTCATAGAGGAGTCTTCTGTATTGATGTTGAACAGAAATAACCTAAACAGGAATCCTATCGACAGAGGTTTTAAAACGTGCCACTATTGTTGAGAGAAAAGTGGATTTCGCGAGTCAGATGGACAAATCAATGTTAACTAAAATGGCTGAAAATAAAAAAAATGGATATAATGTTTCGCTGATTTTTGTAACAAAATTATATCATACATTTACTCTTTACATAGACATGGATTTTTACAATGTTAGACACCTGAAATTATTTGTAAAGCTAGGAAATGGGTCAAAAGTGAATTTTGCGAGACAAAAATGGCGGCCATTTTGAAAATAGGCGAGCTTTTGAACCACGAGTCATAGGGAAGTTTTCTGTATTGATGTTGAACAGAAATAAAACGGGAATCCTATCGACAGAGGTTTTAAAACGTGCCATTATTGTTGACGGACGGACGCACGCACAGACAGAGACAGACGGACAAGTGAGTGATTGGAAAAGCTCACCACGTGAGCTAACAAGAAAAAACTGGGTTTTTATAAAAATAGCGACTTAGACTAAAAAAACTTTGAATTTTACTAAAATATACATTTTACACTCATTCTTCAAAGAATATACATACCGTGTATGGGTTCCTGAGAAACTATGGTATAGAATTAAATATATAATATTACATTTTGATTAGCTCTTTCAATTTTAGAGCTTTCAATTTTAGGCTCGGTTTCAAATCTAAAAAAAATCTCAGGAAAGGGGGGGGGCGGTCGCCCCCAACGCCCTCCCCCTTCTGACGCCAATGTTTTATACTATCCTGATTATTCTTTTTTATCCCGAATATTCTTTATAAAAATATAAAGGCCTACTAATTTCTGGACAACCAGAGACGGTCTTGCTGAATAAACAAACCATTGGGCGTTCTTTTAGAGTGTTTTCAGTGCCTTTATATAAACACCCACCGGACAAACGTTTTACAAAACATGAAATCCAATGGAGTCCCAAATAATCAAAATTCCCGGGGATTTACCGGTTGACAATTTCGCGATTAATTTTCGCGATTTTATCACAATTGCGAAAAGCGCGAAAGTAAATCGCACGCGAAACATACCGACTCCTTCAAGTCATTGCATTCTAAATAGATCGATCTGAACAACATCGAGACAAAACAATATAACAATATTTGCAATTCTTCTGGGTACAATCCTGTTAACTTGATTAAGCAGAATGTGTAATCGAAGATGATGGATCTCTACGAATAAACGAGATTTAATAATTTAATCCGTTGTCTTGGAAACGTCTATATTAAACATCAAGTGGATTATCAGTTAATCCAACAATACGCACATACACCTGCATCCAAGAAACGCAAAGTATGGTTCTGACAAAATGTGTTTCACTGATTTGAATTTTCAGACAAGATCCATGTAAAGCATATGACAAATCTATGTTATGAATTAATCAATAAGAAATTAATATTGAAGACGGAGAGATGAAGTGCCCTTTAGTCTTGACTAACGATAGTCACTTAGCTAAATACTGTTCAGTGTATCACAGGCACTATAATACTCTTTGTAAATAGTAATAGGAAAGTATGTCAATATACACGAATATTATATTAGAGCGTAAATCAAATGAGAATTACATTATTAAGGAAATGTAATTTATCATTAAGGCAAGATAATTCTGTTGACAAATGTTTTTTCGATGCGACAATTATGGACGTGGAAGAAGAATCATACAACACATTTTCTAGTCCGTTCCTCTCCAAAAGTTTATCAATGGCTCTTAATGCTAGAAGGAAACGCCTACGGGAAGATATAAGACAAAACTACAGGGACCAACTGTTGAATAGAGTCGACAATCTTTTGACAAAGCTTAATAAGGAACGTGGAGACCCCGGAGAACGTGACCAACAAAAAGAGCAGGAAACCAATGATAACTCGGACGTTGAAAGCCAAGCCGATAGCGTCGGTCCAGCAGAGAGTGAAGTCACACTACCCATGTTAACAGATAGGGAAAATACAATGGTCAGTACAGGTGGAATGAAAGAGCAATGCAATAGTCAAGAACAATGCAAGAAATCTCCATCTTCGGCAGCAATTAAGGCTAGCACACCAAGCACGATGTATACTCCACGCAATGCGAGAACGTCACCACCCAAACCAAATTCAGCAACAACAAAATCTAGGCGACCTTCTACACAATCTCCTGGCTTTCCAAGAGAAAATATTGTCAACAACATGAAGGTACAATACATTTGTGTTCTTACTTTTAATGCTCAGGTAGAAATAGTGATTACAAAGGTATCAATGATCCCGGGGAATGATCCCTTAGAATGTGATAAAAAAACTTGAAAGCGCGTATATATAAAAAATGGCTAGTAATACAGAGTGACGCAAAATGGAACACTCTAATTTTGATTATGATGGAATCTCCTTGAATTTCTGTCTGTTGGCTACGACTACGACGTAATCAAAGTTTCCGTCTGTCATGCTCCACTTCTTCGTCTTAATGTGTCAAATTCGCAGCTTTAAGACGTTTATGTCTTGAGATATCGCTATTTTTCTTTTCGAAAAATGATGCCCATATGTTCTAGAAAAAATCTTAGATGCTGCTAGAACAGAGTTTGCTAACCCGTGTCGATGAACTTATGATTTGACATTAACGGTCATTGGGGGTATTGCGATTGCGAAGGATAATCATTTGAGTCAAAAGCAGTCCTGAGTGATTTGGAACTTACGCAGTATTCGTGTTCTGCCATATAATCGACAACAAAAAAGAAATAGATTTCGAACATTTAGAAATGACCCGTGCATGTCATAATAAACCATTCTTTCACTTGAATATGTCAATTCCAGAGATAATATATTATCATGAAATTCGATGGCACATTTAAAAGAAGCAAATAACAATAAGAAAATATAGATGAACAACCGACGGTAAATTGCTCTGTTGTGGCAGCACATCACATTTAAAGCTGACTAAGATAAGATACGTTAATGGAATACGAGACAATGTGTGAATTGAGTACAAATATGAGAATTGATCGTTTTGAAAATCCACTTTCTGGGATTTAGGGCGATTTGGGGCATAAATCTAGGCAATACATGATTTTTCTAAAATGTCTTTAATGCAATGCAAGCACATCTATGTTGCTCTATTTAACATTCACTCTAATTTTAAAAAAACGTAGAAAACTGAGGCCACATGGGTATTGCAAAATTAGAGCTATATGCATTTTGACATATTTCACATTATATGAAAGATCCTTTTCATTTTTATCATAAGTGTTTCTACTTTATAAATTGACAATGTGTCTCCAAAATTGTGTTCCTTGGGATATAAACCATTTTGGTTGAAACATCTATTCCTAAGGTGGTCGTGAACAGGATAATAAACTGACCAAACATACAAGTACGTACAAGTACAATCGAATCATTGTGATCAATGCAGTGCTTACATAAACTATATTCTAAAATGTACCTGCATCATAACATCATAAAAGTCATGTGGTGTTGCTTAGCACAATGGCAGTAACAACCGGAGGCAGAGACATCCTTCTTTTATTGTCGTAAAAATCATTGAAATCGTCTTCCGTTTATAATCTGGAACAAGCAGAAATATCGATCGTAGGAAAACACTTGAAATATTAGAGTTGCCTTTAGAGATAAATAACAACTAAATATTGTTTCTCATATACTATAGTAGTATAATACTCGATAAGTTGACAAATACATGCAGTGAGAAATATTCACGCAAAACATTATTTTTTAGATATCCAATGTCTTCATGGTGTATAAAATGTGTGAAGATATGAAAGTTACACTATAATTATCAGAGTGCCTTCAAACTATGACTTAGTACATTTTAAAAATATAATATTATATCTAAGCACAATGGCCAAAGGGAAATAACAGTAACGCTGAAACAAAACACTGATAACCATAACCGATCATAATAATCCCTTATACAATACATCCAAACCAATGATCTACCACACAAAGTGTCGAGTGGCCATTGGACTTTGTGGGACCTCACGGGAAAAGTCTAATAGGAGCAAAGGTCCTACGTAGATTCAAAACATGACGTTTTGCATCATAATTTACTAATATTTCATACATTAATCATAAAAGTAATTGGCATCTGGCATCCATGCGAGAGTACACAGTCATATATGGCGAAGTTACGCCCCTATCTTGTCACGAAAACAAATTTTAATCAAAATTTACTTCGTTGGATAACTTGTCCCATTTGGCCAACTCATTTCAGACCTACATTTTTGGCAATATTATAAAGCTTAAATCGGTGGAATTAGATTGCTGATATCATGAAATATCTCACATAACATAAAACTTCGTATCATTCCTCCCTTCTTAAACATTTGTTTGTCCACTAACAAAAACAACACAACATTATCAACATAGTTAATTGGTTAATAAAAGTAGATAAACAATGATTATATGGTCCATTAAGTCATATAGTTGACCTCATGGGTCAGTACATTTATTTCGCTTCACATAAAGTTGTCAATTTCTTCGTTCCAGGGATTTGACACTCGATCCTTTTTCCATGGCCACTGCAGACACTTCTCAAAGTATATTTGAGCCAATTATAGCAAGACCATCACAGGCCATCATCACTGAAAAGCAATTATTTATTAAGGATTGGTATCGATATGGTGAACTGAATTCAACAATGTTTTTCTCCAAAAAAACATGGTCCTTTATGTAATTTTGACTGAGTGACAACAATTTAATGCGAAAATTATTTATATATATTTTGTATAACTGTTTTTGTTAACATTTTTTGTTTTTAGTGCTATTATTGATTTTTGTTCCTTTTTACCAATTCTTGAGAATAAAATAAAATATCTTTCCGAAGCTTGTTGGAACATACAAGCATATACAATAGCATATACAACATTTTCTTAGACCTATCAATGTATATAGTTATACAAAGGAAATTTTGGTTGATTTAACAAAAAGTATTCAAAAATTAAAACAAAAACTCCAAAATGGATAAAAAACTTTTATATAATTAACAAAATGATTTTTTAATCAATCAAACCTTCCTTGGTACAATTACAATATTGAGAGACCTAAACACGTTGTGTTTATGTCCTTTTATTCCAATGAGGTTCGGAGAGATGTTTCATTTCATTCCGAACATGATACAAAGAACAAAAGAAGTGTCTGGTGTGTTTTCTAAAACAGTTTAGAGAAAAGTATATATGTTTATTTCAAATTGTATTGTTACCATTCAAAAGATGACCATTAAATTGACGATGTGTTAAATTTTCAGATTTTTTTTGATGATTGGTTTAAGAGAAACGTGTGTTCAAAAAGTTCACCATATCTATACCCATCTTTTGCAACTTTTTCACTTTTAGACATGATAGTCGGGACATGTTAAATTCTATGCTTTCTACAGGCACAGTTAAGAGTCCGGTGTAGATTTTGGATTTCCATAAAATTAAATTTTAAAGTTAATAAAGTTCAATTGTTCTTTCGAAATGGCGATTTTTGAAGCTGCTGTTAGGTAGAAGAACAGAAAGAGAGTCCATTTTGTGTCATTTTGCATTTCTGTGGAACGGAATTTCTAATTGAATGTATTGATTGTTCTCTGTTGCTGTCGATATAAATTTACAAGATGACATTTAACACAAATGGTAATAGTATCCCATTGGCAAGTGCAATGTGATATTAACCGTTTGTAGAATCATGCCAAGTCGCTCAAATTTTATTATTTCAATCGGAAGTCCTTCAGCCAAAATAGTGCTGACTTAAATGGAATAGCTATTTTGGGCATTCGTAAAAGGCTTACAATCATGTTCAATGTGAATAAACAAATGGTCGAAAATGATGACGTAACCACTGGACGTAACTGTTGTTATTAAAGTACTTTTTAGTTTCCTATTGTTTTTGTTGAGATGAATTTTTAATTTAGAGAATCCATGGTGAATATTCACAAGACGAACGTCTATTCTAATGTATTTCTCGGTTGTTGTCAAAGATTATCGCCGGTAGAGCCATATTGATTTTGATTTTGGTGTTCTTAGGATGACAATAACACATTTTTATTTCACGAAAATCTGACCTACAAGTACTACTGTGATCCGACTTTGGAGTTTCCCAATGGCGTAATATTTTATTGAAATAGATTTATTGTTCCAAATAATACTGTCATTCCTCCGAGACATACAAAAGTAGCTTTGTTTGGTCTATATATAAAAAGATGGGACGTGCTGGTATGTTCAACCTAAGAAAAGGTATTACCATATATGTATTTTCACTTGGTAAAGATGGCACCAAAGCCGTAAATGATCTTATTGAACGTCAGGTAACCTGAAGTTAAGAATGTTTACATTAATATCAACATTTTTCATTGTAACATAACAAATTTTTCAAGTAATGCACTGTGTGCAATAACACATTCAGTATCATGTTATCAAGTTATATCACTATTTGAAAGAAAGATAAGCACAAGTGTCCCTAGTAGTTGTGGTATGACACCAGAAATGACAACGATAAATAAAAACGATACAACGCGAAAAGCTTTGAGAAATTTCAATACATTTCATATCAGGTACGTAAAGTGATACAGCAACGTGAAAAGCTTCGAGAAATTTCAACCAGTTCGAAACCATAGCAACGTATCAAGTGTTTTCTTGTAATTACTAGTGATAAATCTATAAGCACTTCAGCACTTATCCGTAGTCGTATAAAATACATTTGTTGGCTTAGTCGTATGCAATCCCAGGTCAATAGAACATCGAGCGTTTCTATTGTATTCGATCTGTTTGCGGCTAAGTTCTATAAGACTGGAATTCTCATATGTTTTTTTAATATGTGGTGGTGCCAACAATTATAGTATGGAACTGACAAGCGTTCAATTTAGTCAGCGTCGGTTAGGGAGCAATAAAGTGAAAGGGAAATGCAATTTATTTTACCGACAGTAATTGTCAGATTGTTATGTATCTCCAATGACGATAACTTACTATCACAACAGTTTAGTAGAATATTTGATGGCCATCAAAAACTGGAGGCATAATTATTGAAATGGATTATTATGATTATGTAAGTATACTCATTGAGCTTACTCATTGCCTGTGCTGTGGGGGAATATCAGTTTGCTGAGTCGCATGTCTCATTGGGGGTAAATTATGTATTCAATAAATAAGCGATATAGTCTAATATATTCATTTTGATGTATTATAGTGCACAGCTCTGTGGTTTCATTGTTGTGCAGAAGGGAACCAATCAACACTAGAATACATAATTTGAAATCGAAAAAAACATAATAGTTACGAGTAATAGCATGACAATTGATTTTCATAGGTTCATAGGGCATACCATACACCCCATGGCATCAGGTACTCAAATCAATACACCAACTGCTACGTCGGTTCACAACATACATATAGTTCAATGTGTATCAGAATTTTTTTAAATATAAACTATCAACTGATTTTCCTCCTGTTTTCCATATGAAATGAAATGTTCTATGACAAGCATGGCCGTATATTATGTGACATGTGTTGGTTATAGTGGGGCGGGTCGCGTCGCGTGGCCTCTTCCATTTTCGCAATTTGTGTATATGTGGATTTTTAAGTACACACGGATCAATTTGAATGGCCTTTTCATGAATGATAAATCCCAGTGATTTGTCAAAGAATACGAAGGTTATTTTTTGTTTAAACAAATAAAATGAATTGATTTTTTATACTTAGCAAAGAAAGTTTCTTGGCCTTTTAAAATCGAAGAGTTTGTTGTTATTTGTTTTCTAAAATAGATGTGATTCAACAAATGCTTAGGTCTATCACAACGGGGATTGATTGTTTTACAACTTGGACAAACATGGGTATTTTAAGGTTTAAAACTACGCACTCTATTAAGACTGTTACAAGTTCCTGATAAGTTTTGCAAACACATCGAGTACATTAACATAGAATTCACGTGAAAATACAGCATTGTTACTAAATCTAAGATGCTTTAACAAAGTATTCAAAGGATTACATGCGTTATAAAATAAGATAAAGTTGATCAAATGACAATCCAAAAACTAACTAATCAAACTGGATCACGACGGATATATACACGCAATGTATCAAATTGCAGAAATTGTAAGTAATAGGGCAATCCATACATTTTTTAGGAAATAGGGACGAGCGAGAATAACATTTTTTCAACAAGTATCATTTCACTTTCTCATTAATTATTCAAAAGGATATCCATATTCTGTTTCTGCCCTCCATAAAAATACGAAGTGCAGAGTTAATAACATATACCATCGTGATAGGCGTACATTAATCTATTTCAGTTAATTTTATTGGAAAGTCTTTGTGATGTAATACAATGTAAGGGAGACGTTCGACGTTTTCATTTGCGTGACTCTGCCACACTTAATTGATTAAGCAATTGTATAAATTGCTTGTAAAAAGTCATATCTTTAATTTCAGGATGGACCCCACAGAGCACATACACAACAAGGAAATGGCTATAGACAAGGCTATCCAACTGGGAATCGATATGACAATGGTGCATATGATAACCCGGACACTTATCAAGGCTTGAGATATCCAAGTGGAGGTTCAATGGATCATGACGATGAGCCAGATACGTTGGGTAGAACTAAATTGGGCAAAAGGGGAAAACTGGTAACGTTTTACAGAAATGGTGACAATAACTTCAAGGGTTTTCAAACATCTATAAACAGTAAGATTCGTAGTCTTGAGACTCTTTTGGTCGATTTAACGAGCAAGATTCCAACTACGACAGGTATACGCTATATATTCACTTGGCCAGATTGCAAAGAAGTTAGAGACCTTAGTGAGTTTGAAGGAGGTCGGTCGTATATAGCGTCGTGTGTTAAGAAGGTCAATAAAACCATCAATTATGGATCCGTAAGCAGAGAGCAGTTTTGGCAGACTAAAAAACCGTCCGCGGGAAGACATAGAGAAGATGATAAAAGATTTCTTTATAACATTAAACCCAAACAAGTTAATAGGCCACCTGTGTTAAGTAGAATGAGCGCTGGTATTGCGGCCGCAAATGAAACTCCAAGAGAAACCGATACGTCTGACACATTCAACACTTGGCCCAGGAGTCAGAACATGAAAGCCAAAAATCGTAAATCCCGAAATTTCCAAGATGATGATAGCGTGGCAATGGACTATGAAGATACAAATACCAGACGTTCTGGCAGCAATGGTGATATAACTAGCCCTAATCAAAAACCGACACCAGGTAAAGTCCTTACTGTGGTAAACAATCTAAATAGGCAGATTGAGGAGAAAGTTATGTTTAATCCAGGTACAACACAAGAATTTGAGGAGATCATGGAAGACATTAGTGATATGATGAAGATACCACAAGGAGCGTTCACTGGCTTATTTGCTGGGACTCATCCGTTTAAGAAAGTAAGTAGAAAAGGCGGAGATGTGTTATACATGGATGTAGGGCTTTCAGCAATTAAAAATAATTTTTTAAAACGTCATGAGAAAGCCGTTTTTATTTGTCAGGTTATGTTGGTTAATTACATGTCATTCAGTGTATATAAATTGTTTGTCTGTTTATGTTTTTCCTGTGGTAGATTGATATATCTTGAAGGCCGTAAAGAAATATTTTGAGACCACCAAAAATATGTGTCAGGCAACACTAAATTACGTGTAAGGTAACAATTAATCAAAGAAGTCGTTTTAAACTACTTGTTTGTCAAAGTGACTCGACAAAGTCAACATATTTATTTGACATCCTGTAGTCTTGACCTTTGCAGCAAATTCAGCAACATATGTATTTCTAGAATCTTTTCCTCTTGGAAATCTAGAATCATTTCTTTGAGACCCATTGCTTGAAATCTATAATTTCTTCCTCGTGGAATACACATGATCAATTAATGGAAGAGAAAAATATAATGAATGTGAAGTTCAGGACAACACCTAACTTAGGTGTAATTTACGTGCAATTGACGGCGTTTAAAGTAACTTTTGACGGCGTTAAAAATAACTAACGGCGTCCAAAATAATTGTAGACGGCATGCAAAGTAAGTTTTTATGGCGTTTAAACTAATGCTAGGCAGCGTTCAAAATTCTCTATTGCGTAAAAGGTTTATTTTACGGCGTTCAAAGTATGACAATACATTGGTCCTGATATACACGGTGTATAAGCCAAACGCTCCTACATGCACGACGGAGCGTTTCATTTACGCGGAAACGCTCCGGAGCGAAATAAAATGGCGGCTAATGAAGATTCCACTATGACCGTAAGTATTGTTTCTCTCGTTTCTCTTACATATCATATGTTATGGTGAAATATTATGTACCATTCGATGAACATTACTTATTATTAGAGAGATTTCGCACATAAGTGAAAGTACAACTTATACGTATACGTATAGTTAAAAGGGTCATGTCGAACTATTATATTTACTAAAATCAATTTTAAATTGTACTTAATTGAACATAACTATTCCCGTTATAGAAAAGCTCCATCAACTAGAGACTATGAATGCACTGTCATCTGCACGTGTAGATTATGCACATTATAATTAAATGCTTGCTTCCGTGTCCTTGTAGTTGTAGTGTATTATAAACACGATCCTTTAAAGGGAGTCATGATTCTTTAAAGTGAGTCATTACATAAACAAGTTGATTATTTCAATGTTTTCATGATCAGTATAAGTTCAATGAACTTACAAAACGGTATATTTACGTAGATGATAACGTATACAGTTGGATCTCCGTATAAAGATTTGCCTACTTGTGTGTGGAACAATTGACCGCAAGCATTTTTTAAAATTAATTGGCTGAGTGGGAACAGTATCCAATCAAATACTTTAACCATCAATTTGAAACACCAATCAAACCCATTCAGTAGCTCAACATATGACATACAGGGTGTTTCATAACGAGCATCTCCAAAAAGTCAATTTGAGAAGAGATGGGTCTATAACATATGTACTATATATGAGCCTATTTTATTCTAGACAAACACATTTGGATCAACTAAACATGCTACAATTCAAGAAACTACAAATGGCATCCCTTTGACCTGTATTTATTACAGTCCGAGAAGATCTTTCCTGACGAAAAGCTCACATTATGAAACACCTTGTACGTTTACCTATAAGTATAAGTATACGTTATAAGTTGTACTTTCACTAGGTGCGAAATCTCTCTATTTATTCAACTTCTGGTGGTAAACTGTTATTTGCTTGATTAAATCTCCGTAGTGTAGATCGAACGAATCTGAAGATGACGATTTGACCACAAATTACGAATTAAACTAGTATTTCTATGAAAACGTTAATCTTTATGTTAAAGTAGTAGATCACAAACTCGTATATTCTCATTTCCTAAAATCCCAGTCCAAATCCATTACTTTTTCTCGAAAAATCGCTTGTTTTCCTCAAAACGCTCCGTCGATTTAGAACACAATTTTAGAAACGCTCTTACCATTTTGTTTTGATATCATTTTCAGATTATTAGAGAAGAGTTCCGAATTGAATCTATCTCTCAAAAACGTGTTGTACTTGTTAGGCAAATTGAAACATCTGAACCTGGTGGTGCTAAACGTGCAACTAGCTGATTTAAGCCTACATTAGATGATGTCATGCCTACATGTGTGCTAAATCATAAAACTATAGAAAAAAACTAAAATTTATATGTGAATTAATCTTTCTTCTTTTGATGCCAAGGGGTATAATAGATCTTTTCTTTCTCTTCCTGTAAAGGAAAGGCAAGCTATATATTTCCTAAACTGATCTAGACTACCGGAGCGTTTCCAGTTCACTGCGTTAACCAGATCGGAGCGTTTCTTGAATATGAGAATGTCATCATTTTTCAGACTGGATTTTCGGTCATCAAATCACTATTACGATGATGTATGGTGCGTTGAAGCATTGGAATTTGACTAAAATATACGTTGGTTCTCTAATCTTGGCTCAACTAATCACATGTATCGACAAAAGGGGTTTTGACCGGTAGAATGACAAATACGTTTGTGAATTTTGATAACTATACTGCTTCGTACAGCTCTTCCTAATTGCTTCAAACGTCAACAGCCAGCCAAGTACCACATGAATATCACACCCATCGAATGGTATACTCGAAATATGGAACTCATACCTCTTATTCCCTTTATTGGGGAAATCGTGAGACGGCTCATCATTCCCGCCAGCCAGTTTTCCTACTCCGGAGCGTTTCTTTGTTTAATTTCAGTAATGAAACGCTCCGTCGTGCATGTAGGAGCGTTTGGCTTATACACCGTGATACATGTCGAGGGTCAAACTTGTATTCCAATCTCACGGGTAGTATCTAAAGCCCCGCTATGATTTAGAAGTCGCGAGCAAATACCCGCTGAAATCGCGAGCAATTAAAAGAAAAGAAGGGTTATCTTTTGTTTACTTAAATTGTATGTTGTAAAAAGCGTTTTCATTTAATTTTACTCAATCATTACATGGTATTGATACTAAAAAGCAACTTCTGCAAAAAAGGATCACGAGCTGATGTTCTGAGTTTTGTTATTCGATAATTGGAGAGAGAATGTATCATCTTGAATCTTTATCTATATATTTCTCTATTTTATAGCTGAAGAAGGTCATTGCCCTTCAGTTGAAATGGTCATAGTAATATGAAATGAAGGTATTGTGAGTTTCACTTCCTAAAGTTTCACAAAAAATTATATATTTCAAATTTAGCATATCCCTTGAGGCCCCGCTTCTACCATGAGCAATAAACTTAAGATCCCGCTGAAAACATGAGGAGGCCCCGCTGAAAACATGAGGAGGTCCCGCTGAAATCAGGAGCAAGTGGCTCTCTAAAATGGAGTGAAGACCGATTTGACTTTGCAAATCTGCCACGACTGTAGCCAACGTCATAAATATATTAATTATTGATACTCTACAGAGCACATATATATCATATATCATTGTCATTGTTATTATCGGTTCGAGCACCCCCCCCCTTACCAAAAGCTGGCTACGAGCATGATTCCAATAAAACCATTTCACTTAATGTATTTCGACCTGACTCCATCGAGAAATTTACCAAGAGAAGATTTAAATCCATTCCACGACTTTTGACAAGTTTCAAATAACTCGTTCTTCTTTGTATGCAATATATATTTATATTTCACTGAAGTTACATTATACTGTAGTTCAGTATATTACTACCTTAGAGGATTCAGCACCAATGGCGCACACGTTTGAAAAGGCAATTTATGGATCAACTGCTAGATGTAAGTAACAAAGGAGTACATCATCCGATTATGAGTCCGAAATAATAATAATCAAATAATTTCATCATTAACATTTAATCGTAGGTTATGTTAAACGCACGTGTTACGCGGAAAACATGATGCAAATATGTGTCATATTCTGCAATACATATGGCATATTCACTTGCGGTGTATGACAGATTCAGCTGCAGTATATTGCATACCCACTAAGCAATGAGAACACGATACGGAAGTACGCAATTGTCAATTGCATTGATTGAACAAACGGGTAATCATTGTGTCATTTTCACCTGCGGTATATGACATATTCGGCAAGTGAGTATGACATATTCTGCAGGTGACTATCAGGTATTCACTGAAATCAATATATCGCATATTCACGGCGGAATATCGCATACTCACCTGCGCAATATGCCATAAACTGCTGGTGAGTATGGCATATACTGTATACCCGTATCACAAATACCACGCAACCATAAATGTATGCCATACTCCGCGTAACATCGTATGTGTTACGCGGAATATGGCATATATTCATGGTTGCGTGGTATTTGTGATACGGGTGTATATGCCATATTCACCTGTGGTATATGGCGTATTCCGCAGGTGAGTATGGCATATTCCGTATTGAATATGTGATACATTGATTTCAGTAAATACCCCATGCTCGCAGAATATGTCATACTCACTTGCAGAATATGCCTTACACCGCAGGTGAGTATGCCATATACCGCAGGTGAATCTGTCGTACTCCATAAGTGAATATGCCATATTCATTGTGGAATATGACATATATTTGTATCGTGTTTACCGCGTAACAATATGTCCAGGAAAATGGCTTATGCAGGACATACGATTTATATGTCCCGGATCCACGTTTGAGCGGGACATACGAAAAATATTTGCCCGGATATGGAATATATTCCCGGTTGATATGTCCCTGAAAATTATCAGGTATGGAATACAAATCATCATTATTTTAATAAATATTTAAAAACAAAAACTTGAATGTTATTGTTAAATTATAAAAGTAGAACCTGAATTATCATGGAGACATTGTGGTTCTCCTTTCTCTCTAAATTTCATCTTCTTGCAACTTGGGGTGTCTTTGTTTAATACAAGACTCATTACCCTGAACCTCAGGCTTCAATTAAGTTCATTCTTGAAATGATATCCACCTTTCTCCTATACATTTTGATATGGATGCAACTCTATAAAATGTTTGACGAAATCTCTGGTGGCTTGAACTTGGAATGGAAACATTAGAAACCTGGCCCTAGAATGAAACAGTATATATACAGTAATTATTAGAAGTACTTAACTTGGTCTTTCGTGCACGTTTATTTGAAGAACCTCAATATTTTATGTAATAGTAATGAGCTTTCCTCGTGATCGAAGCGGGTACTCGTGATATCTGCTCCTGTTTTCAGCGGGACCTCCTCATGTCTTCAGCGGGGCTTCCTCATAATTTCAGCGGGGCCACTGGCACACCTTCAATGATGTATTTCACCCCCCACAGTGGATGTTTTTGAAAACAAACTTATCAATACATACAATGTTGGTCCAATATTCATAATGAGGTATGTATATCGTAGTTCGTGTCTCTATTTTAATCATAAAAGTAATATGTTAACAGTAAATTATGCAAACGTGCATATTGACGCCCGTTTCTTCCATGCCAGTAAAAATAGTTATCTTTCATGTCATTGTTTGTGAAGATATACCTGTTCTGAAAGTATACCTAAAGTATCAAAGAACAGTAATGCGTATTCTTACCTTTTTGGTCCATATTTCCAGATGAATTAAATAAAAAGGACTTTGCTCGTGATTTCAGCGGGAACTTGCTCGCGACCTCTCAATTATAACGGGGCTTTGGATACAACCCGTGAATCTACCTATGTACAGTGTAGCTTTGTAACAGTTTGCTTTCGTTTATACTGATTTTTCACGTAATGAGGCGCCTGATTATAAGGGAAGTTAAGCTACACGTTTTAAAGGGGAGAATGGAATTCCAAATGAATATAACTCTCCACGCTCCTGTACAAGTTATGTTTAAAACGTGTAGTTTAACCTTCCTATTGTTATGTTTCCCCTCATAATAAAAGCCTATTGGTTACGATCCTTAATATGAAAATTGAAATTCAGAGTTTTTCAAAGTGTGAATCGTATTTGCAATCCTTATTCTTATACATAAATTATGTCTTACAAAATTAAAATCCGATGTTTGAGCAGTTATCTACCTGAACTAAAATGTTGACGAAAAATGATAACTTTCCTCAAAATAAAACCCCATGGAGAATTTCGCTATCGAACAGCCCATCTTCAAAATAGCAAGGCGCCTTATAAGAGAAATCAGGTATTGGATGATAAAACATCGATGTTTTCTGGCTGTTGTTGTTTTAGGTAAATGGCTTTCGTTCATGGGTGAGTGGATATGTGTATATTTGAATGCATGTTAGTGTGATTTATTATATAACCCATATGTATTCTAGATACTCATTGGCTTATTCAAGGTCACATGGTATGGCATAGATGTACAAATTCCTTGCTTAAACGGTTATGGGGTACCAGTCATTAGTATGGGGTACTTATTATAGAGTATGGGACTTGAATGACAAAATACATTTGCCAATAAGAATCTATAAGCAAATGTGAAATTAAAAACGCCACATTTTGTTTTTGTTTACAGTGCACATATGGGGCATACTAATAAAACAAATAGTGACTGCCAATTTTCGGTAAATAGTGTAAAAAATTTCCCCTTTGGGAATATCCTGTCCACTGACATGTGATGTTTGCATTATTTCCCTCAATGGCACACTATTTGTATAATAATACAAAGTGGCAATAGCCGGCAGAACATTAAAGACAGTAGAACCTGTGTATAGTGAGCATTTGTTTGCCAAGAAAAGACGTTCAGTATTCCCTCCAACTGCTAACTCTAAAAAGGAAGTTGCAGAAAATCTGTGAGAAATCATTTATCGGATTATGCCAAGATTAAGTGTTCATTGTTCATAGTAGGTAGGTGTTCAATATAGGAATGTACTTTATCGTGAAAGTCAATGGGAGAAAACCCCGGGAGAAAACGGTTTTGCCGACTAAAAAGGCTCACTGTAGAGTGTTTCACTGAGAGGGGTGTTCACCAACACAAGTTTTACCGTTAATATATATTGTAATACACTGACCGTTTTCCTAAACTCAATCAAGGGAGGAATTCTGTCATAAATAGTCGTGACTGTGGCCAACAGCATATCAAACAATTGTTGTAATATAATGACCATTTTCCTATACTTGACTGAGAGAAGAAAAACATTTATCACAGGCACATCAGATAAATATTGTAATACACAATGGCCATTTTCATAAGCTTGATTAAAAACTTTTCGATATTCATCAGCGTTATTGTTTAGGCACTGTAGTCCTACTTGACTTTTATTCATTTTTAAATGTTTTGAAACTTTCTCACAATACTCCATCAAACTTGCATTTTGATATATGTCACTTAGTGTTGTATATTGTATTGTTGCATTATTGTGAACACAAGTGATCAAGTAACAGTTTGACTGTTTGGCATCAATACTAGTTGTCAACAAAATGATTTTTCATTGCAGATTGAGAGCTTCAGTCAGCTGTTGAGGACAGTGGAGAAATGTGACAAATTTATTGCATGCTCTCTAGAGGGTGTGCCTCAAGAGATCCTTAAAAGGGAACGTGAAGCTCCAAGTAGCAACTCAAGCAATGACTCCACTGGTATGCGAAAACCAAGAAAACACTCCAGGCGATATGAAAACTTGGGTAAGATTTGATTATTTTGTAATTGAAAGCATATATAATACATGGGCACAATCAAAAATATGCTAGCAGAATTAAAGGGACAATCAGATATAAAGGAGTGTTAAAATTGCAAGTATCGTACATACAACTGGACTATCAATGCAGTTTTTGCAATATCAAATATACCCAAAATATATGTGATTCAAAAATATGCAAATTTTCCATGAAATAAATGTGAAATTTCACATTTATAGAGAAATGAACACATAGATTAAATCATTTCTTTTTTTTCTGTAACAATTTTTGGTCCTTTTTCTGGCACTTGTGCATAGATATTTATAGTATAAATATTTTTGTTGTAGAAATTGATTCAATGAGCTCCCCAGAACAGATGAGTCGTCACGAATCAACAGAAGATCGCCTGAACAGAGCGAAATTGCTCAATGTAAAACCAGTTACTGTTGACATACATGGTTTAAGACGAGGTAGGCAAATGCAAGCAGGTCGTCACTATTCCACTTTAATAGTAATTGAGGAGTCAAATTTGAATACAGTGTGGTACCTTTGTCTTGCGCTGCGGGTTGATATAAATTTAGCATCAACTATACAAGTAGCTTTGACATAAAAATATATTACATGAAGGTTCCTAAAGAAATTATAGATTTTCAACATCAAACCTACTGTTTTGTTATAGTTGCTATAGCTACATACCACATCTGTTACCAATGCTTACTTTCAATAACAAATGTTATTGACTTAATGTATCTAATCCAATTATGCTCTATGACAAGATTTATTGAAGGACTGGTAATGAGTATAAGCATGCCAACATTGCCGCTCTGCTTAGCTAAACAGTGAAATTAATCATGCAAAGTTCAAAAACATTGTATCTTGATGCACTTCAGTAGCTTTAATTACATATATAGCCCTGCATCGAAATAGACCTATATCCAAAATAAAAATAATTTTAACTAAGCCATAATCCATTACAAAATTTACTTTCTGATTGTGTCATGTTATGTTAGAAAATTACACTGTACATCCTTTCAATATGGTCTTCAATGTAATAGAGGAAAATACAAATTACAGAACAAACTGCCAATGGATGATTAAAATATAATCCAATATATCAGAAGTGATTCTTTCAACATTGTGATATGCAAAGCAAACATGAAAACCATTTACAACTCTCTTACAAGATCCATACCAAGCCATACAGAAAAAGTATTGCAGCCAAAAAGCATGGCAAATACTAATCCATTCCAGATTTTGGTATCAGGAAACATACCTGAAAATTTCAAATCAAATCTGTCCAGCAATATGTTTAGTTATCCACAAACAAGTAAAATGATAAAAATGTGGTTAAATATTTCAGAATTCTATGCTCCGAGTAAGACAAACCCAGAAGACAATGGAGCCAAACCAGACAAGAAATTGAAACTAGAATGGGTGTATGGATACAGAGGCCAAGAAGCCAAGAATAACTTGTATGTATTAAGAACAGGAGAGCTGGTGTACTATGTAGCGACTGTAGCAATTGTGTATGACAAGGAAAAGGAGACTCAGAAACACTATATGGAACACACAGAAGACATCACATGGTGAGGATTTATGCATGACCTTATCTTTCATTATAACTTAAGGATGTTTGTCTTTTCTGTTTATGTTGCAGAGATCAATTTTAAATATTGATATTAAATGTACTTACACAAATGTAGAAATGATCAATTCTTAAATTGTGTCGTAGCATGGCCCTCCATCCCACACAAAACTATGTCGCAACTGGACAGCAGGTTGGAAGCAGTGCAACTGCAATATTGGTAAGCATTTAAATCAATCTATGCAGAAGCATTTGTTATACATCAGTAAATAATCTATTAAACAACCCTAGGTCTTATACTTTGTTGTATATTTTTAGGGGGAATATATGGGCAAGGAACTTCTGTTTCAGAACAAAAGACTTTATTTGTTTTATATGGGGACTTGACATATCAAACACATGAACGTGGTTGCATTTTGTCTTTTTCAGCCACATATAAGAATATGGGATGCCAAATCCTTGTACACTTACAAGGAAATTGGACTGGACTTATTCCAGTATGGTATCAACACTCTGGCCTTCTCTACTGAGGTAATCCTCTCCATATTTTATACATGCTGAATCTTGACAGTATATTCTTACAATTTCTTTGTACATTCCTTACTATAGTGTATTTACTATAGTCATTCATTGTGTATCTTTGTATACTGAACATAATATGTCATACAGGAAAACAATGCCGGTGTATGTATGTCAATATTTCATGTTTGAAACTTGTACTTTTGTTTTAAAGAGTGGTGGAGATTTGTTACTTGCTGTTGATGCAAGTGATCGACATGTTCTCTCAGTGTGGGACTGGCAAGCTGGAACCTTGACTGCAAAAACAACCGTAAGTAAAGCACATTCATAATACATTCAGCAAATTAGATCTGCATGGTGTTTTCATATTGAGCCATTTATGGTATATGACTAGATGAGTTTATGATATGTTTTTGATATGTTACATTTTTGCACCAAAATTTTTTCTTGCCATTAGTGCCCAAAACATTAATAGGCAATTTATAAACAGTGTTGACTAACAGGGAACCACCATAGGGCTATAATTTTTGAACAGCTTTTTGACCTGAGAGTTGCTGACTTACACATATCCTTTGCACCCCCCATGCTATGGACTAAATGACTAAAAGGTCAACTATTAATTTCTAGACTTGAGCACCATGGTTTCTTGCCAGAATTATTTTACTGCACATATATGATTGATGTTTTAGCCTACAAAGTGGGAATGTGATTACTCAAAGTTTGCAGTAAGTTCTATACTATATGTAAGCACACTTTCTTCTTTTCTGCATGTTATCAAGCAGAGTAAAATGCAAGCCCTTATATTACATGCTTAGATGTTTTATTGAGGCTTATCAAAAAGTTAATATGTTTGTTAAATGTTTCCAGGGAATTTTGTAAATTACATGTAGTTGTGAACTTTTTGTTGTAGGAATAATCTTTGAGTAGAGTAACATGTTCATACTTATTTTTAAAGTATATGTGTCTGTTTTCTTATGTGATTCATCTATAACCTTTACTCCTGCTACTCATGCTTAAACAGATAATTATCTAATGTTGTATTTAAATGTTTTGTATGTATTTGAATGTAATGTGATAGCTTTAGATAACAGATTTTGATTTAATATCGGAAACAAAGCAAGATGATATTTTAGAGATACCTTTTGATTTTCAAACATAAAACATCTCATCTCTTGCTTTTTCTTGCTAATTTCCATTACAACTTTTGGTCCTTTCCCTTTGGCACTAGTGCTTATATATTTAAATCAGACATATCAGAAGTATGAAATAGTAACCACAGAATTTATTCAAGTCATGTAGGCTTATAATAGATATCATTTCCTAGGTGACACCATGGCAGGCATTTTGAAATGATTTATTTGAAACAAAGGCAATGAACTTCCCCAATCAGCATATGCTTTTATTGTTTCATGTCAGGCATTATTTTGCTATGGTAATCTGTAATGAATAAAGAGTGAACAATAAGTGATATCAAACGTTAAACCCCGGAAATTAATTATTAAAAGGTATTGTTTTCCTAATCTGTGTATCCAGGTGATGGTCTTAAACATGCAAAAATACCTTCAGTTCATTGTCACACATATCAATAATCACCTCAATGGGAATATTGAAATATATCACAATCACGCATGCTTACTTATTCATTACAAGCTTTTTAAAATACTAATGGTATATGTTGAACAACAATAACAGGCAATATATCAACATGAACAGTATCAACCCCTGGACAGGCTTACTTATTTGTTACAAGCTTATAAAACATTCATCATTCAAAGCAACCAATATACAAGTGCCTTTCAAAATTAGAATTTTAGAGAGTGGTATCCCATTTATTTGCATTATTTTCATGCTATCATTCTGAGAGTATATAAGGATGATAGGACATATACATAAATATACCCACCTTAGATTACCAATGCTAATTGCAGACAACATCTGAAGTTGTGATATCTGGCTGCTTCTATCCCCAAGATGACACTATCATCATCACATATGGCAGACAGCACATCTTCTTCTGGAAGATCTTCCAGGATTCTAAGATATACAGGGATAAAAAGAGTGGTGTATTCAATGTAAGGATTTCTCAATAGGTCAAATAGCAGTATTATTCATCACAAATAATTTTACAAAATATGATTTGTCCTTTGCTACGTAGCTCACCTTATTTCAGTCTCTACATTTTGGTAAAATATTGAAGAAGGCCAAACGATCCCTGACCTTTGTATACTGATACATAAAACAAAATTATGATTTCCAAAAGCAAGACATTTATCTTTTGTCTTAAAGTAGACATTAAGTAAAATTATGAAGTATGTAGACTTACTCCTTCATATTCTGATTATTTGATTCTTATATTGCAGGACGAAGTTCCCAAGTTTGTGACATCTGTTGCATTTGCCCCAAATGGTGATGTCATCAGTGGGGATAGTAATGGTAGTATTCTCATCTGGAGCCGCAATGACAGTGATCAGTTTGCTATTAACCGACATATCTCAGATCACATGTCACACGCACATCATGTAAGTTGTATTTCAAAGGCTTTTTATAAAGTATGATATTATGTACATGTAGAAGGAAACCATGTATACAGGCTGTTTCATAATGGAATTCCCCCAACAGCGAATCATAGATCAAATGCTCACAATCTATTCTTAATAAAATGTATTCAATTATAGGCTTGAACTATAGATGTGTAATAATTGGTAGTTGGTGCCCTTTGAAGAGTTTGATTTTGCAACTCTCCATCTCCTTCATCTACACTTTCTGAATAAAAACCAAAACAACAAAATACTATCAAACATAATCACTACAGTACAATTACAATCAAATCAAGGTTTTGGAAAATAATTTCAGAAAAGTGTATTTGCCCTCTGCATGAAAGCTGATGGTATTCTCCTATCTGGAGCTGGCTCAGAGATTAAAGCCTGGGACACAAGCAGTGAATACAGATTCATTAAGGAGAGAATGGTATGTATTTGGCTTTAGATGAACCATTGGGAGAATATGATACTTCAAGATATAGATGTTCAACATTGAAATGTATGTAAAGATCAATGGATTACATATGGATTCAAGATATGGGTATATTCATTGAATATCACTATAAAATTGTTTGTTTTGAGAGGGTACACATTGATTATTGATGGTTGTTTCATAGTTGTATTGAGATTGATCCTTGTAATGAATTATATATTACAGCATTGGGTGAAATAGCCAAAAACCCTATTAAAAATGGCCACTATTTATGAAAAATTGTATACTTATATATCATACATTTTTTATAGGAATTTATGATGTTAGTATACTGTATATATACAGTATTTTGCAAAATAGTGGGGGGAGCCTAAAATTGATGCAGTATAGCATATTTGTGCTATGTCTATTGTAGTTGCCAGATACAGCCGGTACTATTAGGAATATGCTACCACATAACCAACAAGACACTGATGGACAACTCTATATAGGAACAGCCAATAACTCAATTCTCGAGGGATCTCTACAAAACAAGTTCACTTACCTAATACAGGTAGTTTTTCCAAAAGGTTTCCCTTTTTTGCGATGGTTATTAAACGAACCTCAGCTCACCATAACTTTCAATGTTTGATCAGGCACTTTGAATAGAAATCTTGTAATTTAGGATAACAATGGCATAGTGTAAATAATTCATTCTTGTAACACGGATAGAACTAAACAGAATTAAAGTAAAGTAATCTAGTTGTTCCTTATTTACCAATTAAAAATGGAGCAAGCATTTATGACATATCCCTTAAGAACAATAAACACATTTGTGTGTTGTAGGGCCACCATAAAGAGGTCTCAGGACTAACCTGTCATCCTACAGAACAGACCTTCATTACAGCTGGTCTTGACAAGGAGGTCTGCAAATGGGCACTTTATACACACAACCTCATCTGGAAGTCTAATATTGGGGTAAGGTCACTCCCCATCATCTTGAATCATTGGCTTTCTCTTGATCAATGGCACAAACATTGAGCTTCTTTAACATATACAGTGTAATTACATTTTTGTAATTGAAACCAAGTGGAAATATTGTCATGTAAATGCATTGTCAATATTAATCTGACCATACTCTACATACGTCTCGAAGATGTATGCCTGGAATCCCAATTCCAAGCCACCTAGTTAACAGCAACACCAAGGCATAATGAATTCCATTGAACATCTAATAACAACACTGCTTTCAAAATAGCCACCAATAGCCACCAATAGATATGTAGCAAAAATATTGAATAAACTGATAAATAAATGGTAAACCCTGTATTGCAGCTGGAGTGTGTATGTGTTGCCTTTGATCCTCAAGGCTTAGTGATGGCCATTGGTACAACAGCTGGACGGTTTGTTATTCTAGACTCCAGTAGTGGCAACCATGTGGCTTCAATACAAGTGGGCAATGATGACATAACAACCATCAGCTTTTCACCAGGTATGCTGCACCAGTGTGTCACATATTATGCTAAATCTTAAAAGTGATGAAGTCAAAACATCAACCACACCATAAGCCGGAAACTCACAAAGATGGGATACCAAAACCTTTAAAATATTTATAAGTAACATTTACATTTTGGAGGTCATATAGGGCATTTAAATTAAGTTTGGGACAGTTTTCAACTAAAATTATGAGCTTAGAGAGAGATGATATCGAGACACTGAAAAACAAGGCTGAACCTGCTACAGTCATTCTTCTTTACAAATCTCAACTATTCAAGAGTAAATCATTGTTATATTAAAATGTCTTCACTTTGGCGTCTGATTATCTCACTACAAGCATTTATGGCAAAGGATTCTAAATTATTGATACATCCATTTTATCCTTTTAGATGGGAAGATGCTTGCTGCTGGTTGCCAAGACAACATCTTCCTCTACCAAGTACTAGATGATGGCCAGTGTTTTCGTAAACACAAGACTGGTGTCTTGAGTGGACATAGCAACTATATAAGGCAGCTTGACTGGTCAACAGACAGTCGTTATATACAGAGTGTATCAGCTGATTATGATCTCATGTACTGTAAGTATATTGTGTATTATATAGCTGAGGCAAGCGTGAATGTAAAGATATTTATCCTAACAATGCCTTGATAAAAGATTTCCCTGTGTTTTTGTCTGATGACATGAATTTCTTTCTAGATGCTCAAATGATTGAAGCTAAAGCAAATTACTATGAACAGCGGGTTGAATTGATCCACTATTCCATGACAAGCATGAAACAAGGCATTAAAAATATTGCCACCAACCATTTGTTACAGACACCGAATGCAAACCACCAACCATGTCCACCAAACATCATCCACAAAAAATTGAAGACAATAACAATATGTCACCACATAACATAAGCCATTCTTTCGAAATGTTTGTTTGTAGGGGATATAGGCAAGATGCAATGTGAGAAGCAGGGAGCTTTATTGCGTGACAGTCTCTGGACCACACAGTCAGCCACACTTGGACATGCTCTCTTAGGTATAAATCTATAGTACAATTAGTTGAACATAGTAATCTCCCATGAGGTGTACTTTTGATGTATTTTCTATTCATGCTGGTCCCTGTGACTTACAACAATGTAAAGTATGTAGGGGGAACACAGAGATCAATTGTTGAAACAATTGTTTTATAGGTTTCCATATTGATCAAAGATAAATCCATAGGATGATTAAAAATACTGTGTAATGTTTGTGTTGTATTGAGTGTATGTGAACACATACCGACACAAATCAATATATCAGTATCTGTTACTTTTTTGTACTAGTGATTGCAAAAAAACAACATTATTAAACAATGAAAAACTAGACAACAGCAATATCAAAATGTAGCAAATCTCATCGAACAGCCAATCATAAAATAACACACAAAAATGGCCACCATTTGCAAAATGGTTGCTCACGGTAGCTAAATAGTCATCAGAAAGTGTAAAATGCTTCTCAATATGCTCATATAAAATTTCAACCAAAATCACACACAGACAGACAGTGTGACAGACCATCTCTCCCACAATCAGGTAGCTATAACCATAGTTTACAAGACACGGAAAAATGTTTTGATTATATTGATCACATGAAAATGTAGTGCTCAATTCCAGTTGGCTGCCATCTTTTAAGATCTCACTTGTGTTGTCATCGACTCTCAATTTTGCATATAGCATTGGGAAAGGTGCTGTTCAGAATTACAAACCAGTTGAATATTCTTTTTGAATTGTGTCTTGATTTAATCCTTCTAAAAGTCTCTTCTTTTATTCTAAGTTGACAAGCTCCAAAATATTTTTGCACAAAAAGTACTTGTCTAGAAGTGATTTTGTGCTACTTTCCTATACTATTATAGGCAAGGTTATGAAAGTTGAGAGTCGATGACATCACTTCCTGAGTGAAATCTTAATGGAAATGAGTACTACATTTTTAAATTATCAATATTGACTATATTAAAACATTTTATGTGTTTTGCTGAATATGGAAAGTATATATGTGATTATAGCTATGATATAAGGATAGAAATTGACAGAGGCGTTCCCTGTATACCTCTGTATGAACTTCGTTTGATGGGATAATAAAAGTATTCAAAACGGCTGCCAGATTTCAAGATGATCACCCAAAAGTTAATCAACTCAATCAATTTAACTGATACCATCTATTATTTGAATGAAGTTGTAAGTAAATTGGAGAAGTGGTTTCTTAAAACAAATGTGACAAGACTTAAGAAGATGAAGGACCCACGGTCCTGTGCTCACACAGGTTGGAACCTTCAGAGGAATTTATATCCTGACTTTCAAACAAAAATATTGATTTGGATTTGTAGTCTCGAACTTTGAGAAACTTAGATAGCATAGTTGTGTGACCTAGTTTGATGACCTTTGATCTTGAAAATTTTACTTATTCAGAGCTCAGTAAGGTCTTTAGTGATTAAGCTGACCAAAATTTACATCCAAAAATCAAATTGAAAAATCAACTTTTTTGACCTTTCGAAGGTCACTGAAGGTCAAGTAAAGGTCAAATCCTAAAACTAATGTCAGATTTGAACTCCTGGCAACTTGTAGATGATTTTCAAAAAAAGATTTGGTCAAATTGAAGCAAGTTGAAAAATAACTTATTTTTACTGTTTTTTGACGTCAAATATCTCAAAAATGGTAAAAATTTGATGCTGACATATATTGAGAAATATGTAGGGAATGCTTAAATCTATTAATGATGTAATTTATTGCAGGAAATGATCAAGTATAAGGCAAACTTTAAGAATCTTGTCAATCACAAAACCTGCCATTGACTTTATACATGAGAAAGTTTCCTGAAAATGACTAAGTCCTACTTTTTGTCAAATTTTATAGAGTAAACACCAAAAAGCGTAATTCCAAGAGCTTTGAAATCTTCAGAGGACATAAGTTGCATATACACCAACTACTAAAAGTTATTTGAAAGTTCTACTTCAACAAAGTGTCTAGTATTTACAGAAAATTTGACTTTTTGACGTCAAAATCCGCAATTTCTCGGAAACCGGGCGAACTTGGGAAATGGCGATGATAGGTCAAATAGGCGTTATGGATATGCATAAAATGAATGTGGATATGACTCAATCCGAATAGCAGTTTTAATTTGTGCGGCCAATGTTGACGGACGGACCAACGGACGGACGGACCAACGGACGGACGGACGGACGGACCAACGGACGGACGGACGCCTGGTCAATCCCATAGGCTCATGTGAGCCAAAAAACTCCCAAAATGCCATCAGAATTAGAGATGGCCATCCAAAAGTTAATCATCTCTATATGCCCTATAATTTGATACAATCAATAACATCTGCAACTTCATGTAAATCTGCTATGCATATTAACTGGAATTGCAGCATTTATTTGTTCCTATATCTAGGTGCATGGTCCAACCTTGAGAAAGATGAAGACATAGTGTGTACAGCCAGGAGTAACAAACACATCACTCTAGCAGTGGGAGACAACACAGGCAGCCTCCGACTCTACAAATACCCTTGCTCAAAACAAAAGGTACATTCAGTGTACTTGTTACCATAAATACAGGCAGTTCAATTGATTCTTTCTACCTCACTGACATTAAAGAACAACTGAAATAGTTTTTCTCAACTTGCAGCTACAAACATGCGGTTTTCTCCATTGTAAGCCCAACGTAGAGTTCTTGAAATAGCCATTATAAAATAAATGTTAGATAACTGCTTACGGTCAGAGATAACGAAATAAAACTAACTGGTCAATCAAATTGGCTCCCGTGTGATTAGTAACGTCATATACAAAATATAGCTTTGGTTTATTGGTTCCTTAGTAATCACAATGTCACGGCAACCATAGGATTGTTGTGTAAACAAATAACAAAACATTTTGGCATTATGACGTCATGATCTAATGGACCAAAACGGGCCACATGGGGACCAGTGAGAGATCACGTGGGGGCCAATAAAGTCACAACCAATTCGAATATTGCTTATTAAGCAACTATAACGATCGTTAGAGTGAAATAATTTTCACACTACTGATGGGAAAACATGGCCAAATACATTTATCAAAAAACTATATTGATTCCTTTAGGTTAAAAATACCATTTCATATCTGCTTTAAGCATCTGCTACTGTAATGTTAAATATAATAGAATCTTGGTCATCCAATTTAGTGAACACTGAAGTACTTGTATACAAAGGTTCAGAAAAATGGAAAAAATTGGCTCTACGACTGATAGATTAGTTTGTGAAAGTCAACATATTGATGAATTCCATTAGTGGGTTATGTCCCCTTGAAGGTTAAATTAAATACCATTATGACATTGCGAATTGAAGTGTTTGTATATGTTATTATGGATCAAGGAAAGTCAGGATTTGACATATAAGTTCAAAAATTCATACTACTTCTAAGATACTTCTTGAAGGTCAAAATTACCTCTTTGAGTACAATCATGATGAGCAAATAAATTATCATTGATCATTCTAGGGAAGTAATCACATACGAATTACAGGCAATTATTTCTAATTTGAAAATTTCAGGCGGATTTTATTGCGATGAAACCTTACTCTAAGTCTACAAATAATGTATGCTACACAAATGATGATACTTTCCTGATAACATCTGGTGGCTCAGATGCTGGCCTGATGCAATGGTGCATCAAAGACAACAAACAGGCCATGCTGCCACTGCCAGCGTCACCTTTCTCCATGCAAGATACACTATAGAGGGATACGTTGTAGATGAGCATACTATAGAGTGGCATACTATGGATGAATGCACTGTAGAACGGTAAATTGTAGAGGCATATTGTAGTAGGACAAGAGGCAAATGGACAAGAAACATTCGTGCCATACTACCACAGTTTAAAATTCATGCAAGTGAAACCTGACTTGTTCAAATCTGAATACTGGACAGATTTAGACTATGGTAATATTCTAATGTATAACTGTGCCATTTGTCGTCAAGGAAACTGTGATTATGTACATAAGAACCAATAAATATTTTTCTATTAATTTATTATGAAACATTCTAGATGTGTGAGATTACACAATGTTTTCATATATATTTCATAGATGGTGCTTTTATCAATAAATTGATGAACAAATAAATAATAGTTCTGTTTGAAAATAGTGTGGCCATTAGTTTAGTTTCATCAACATACAGGGTGATCACTAAGTTCTGGGAATTGGTCTGTCATTTCAATATTTTTCAACCAATTTAGTTGAAACTTCCAGCAAATGTACATTGTATAGTTCTGAACTGATAGACAATGTTTCATATACATATCACTTTTACAATTTATGTTATTGTAATTATAAAAAAAGTAAAAGTGGTCGGCGGGTCAGCAAATTTTGGCTGGCGTTAATTTGAAAATATCCTGCAAAAACATACTTATCTTGCCTAGATGGTTGGTTCAAACTTATTGTACTAGAGGTAAAATAGTACTCTTGAAGTCATTTATTCAGAAGTATTCTTCATTGCTGGGAGGATCATTTCATTTATAATGATTTCCATAGGCCTGGACGACCATGCATTGTTGTCAAACCTAGTCCATAAAGTTGCTTTCCAGTCCTCCCTTTGGTATCCCTTGAAAATTTGCTCAAGCTGTTGAGATCAGTCCCTCATCGGAACCAAACTTATGGTGATCTCTCATATGATGCTTCAACAGTCAAATTTAGTGAACCTAATGGTGGTTCATCTGGTGAACATTATATGGTGAATATGGGGCATGAACAACTTGTGTGAACCCTTATTCTTCAAGAGTAATATGGGCAATTTAAGGAGTGGGAAGAAGCATTGCCATAATGGAAGATAACTCCCCGCTTTTTTGAGTCATGATTGTGACTTTGAGAGTCTGACCAATAATTTAAGAAAATTGAGCAAAGTACACTCTTATATCACAACACAGATGTTACTTTAGAAACTAAAGTTAGAAATATTTGAAAACATAAAAAATCACAGAAATTTGTCCACCAAATAGGTATTAATCAACCATACTTTTGGATCAAGTAAAATAAAAATGAATTCAAGTTTTGCTTGACCCGCTACGCCATTTGTCATGTTGCTATAGCAACAATAATTATACATTGCGACATCATATGACAATGAGATTGTTTTAGCCAACCCAAAATCATATTCTCCGTTTACCTTGAAAATTTCAAGTAGATTGGTTGAAAAATAATGAAATGACAGATAAATTCCCAGAACTTAGTGATCACCCTGTATTTTCATTCATCAGGTCCAAATTCCGAGATGATATTTTTAATCTTCCAGATATTCTAATTACAGTAGGTAGGAGTTTTGAAACCTTTACATAAACTCATCAAAGCAATGGTCCTTTAAATCACTTTTGATGTTTACTTCAAAAAACATTGTTTAAAACATATGAGGAAAGTTGTCAAAGAAACACCTTTTACTCTTAAAGTCCTAAGTAGAGGATAAAAGTGTCCATTTATTGTGTTGGTTGAACTAGAGAACATGTTAGTGCTTTAACTAGCCCTACTTGAGTTTTACACTGCGTTTGAGTCCAGCACGTATTCCAGATATTTCTCCACCATATTTCTCCATCTCTGGTTTGTACTCTCGCAACTGCAAGTACATATACATAAAATATAATCATGATACACACAATATGTATTCCTTACCATTTTGACAAAATATGTTTCTGATAAATTGTGCCATCTTTTGATCAATCAGAGAAACTATAATACATGTATATAGTTTTGGCTGGATTGATGATATCATTGGTTGTACTTTTATAAAATTTAGCAATTAGTTAATACTGTTTTTGCATAGACAGATTGCTAGCTACAACGAATGACATCATCAATCTAGCCAATATATTACAGTTTTTTGATGGATCAAAAGAATTATCAGAAACATCTATTGCATCTAATGTGAGTATAAATGTACACAGGGGTAAAATGAGTGGTTAATAAATAAAATTGATTATCTGATCAATATCAAGCAAGTTAGAAATCAATGTAAAGTTCTGTTAGTGTAAAATCTGTCTCATCGCAACATCATTGGAACAGGCCACAAGTATTTGGATTGACAGGAGTTCATATTTCAATTTTTTTAATGAAAAATGTGACAAATAAAAATTGTTTATATTGTGAGATAAGACAGGTATTTTGATATTCAGGTTTCACTGTGATACAATCAACGTTGAATTCATGCTTACCTGACCCTTCCTCCTGATCTTGGCTTTCCTGTATTTAATCCTGTTTTTCACTCTCGGATTTTTATTCTCTTTCTTCCTGTTTGGAGTCAAACCTCTGTTCTTTTCAATCTGAAACAATGAATGGGCACTATTGAGAGTGAGGATATAACTGAAGATTTAAACTGATGAATAAAATGTGAATAAAAAGAGATCACAGTGTGATAAGTGACAATTTACACTATTTTTCAACATATGTACAAATCAACATATCTCAAAACCAAAAACTTTCTTGAAGTTCATGTTAAATCACTTTAAAACGTGAAATATTTTCTCTTTTAAATGTCTGATACTGCCTCTTTTAAGTTTGTGAGGGAATGGAATTTTACACCTGACATCACATGGACAGCTTTCAATTTGTGAATATCTCTCTGCAATCATTGAACAGCAAACACAAGAAAGAAGTTACCTGTCTGGTGATTCCTCTCTTTCCATCTTCCTCGACATCCTCCTCTTCTTCCATCATCCTGTCCTCTCCCACCACATCACTTTCCTCCCTGCAATAAAGTCAACACATTCTCTATAACCAGAACAACGGCAACGCCAAAGCGTAGCGAATCCCATCGAACAGAAATGGCTGGCATTTTTACAAATGAATAGCAAATATCATAAAACAACACACATAAGAAAGGCCACCATTTTCAAAATGGTTGCTCACTAGCCAAGTTGTCATCAGAAGAAATAATATGCTTTTCAGTAGCCACCTCTAAAATTTTTGAAAAATCGCACACGTACTTGTAAAATAACACACATAAAAATGGTGGCCATTTTTCAAAATGGCCGACTACTCCCCAAAGTTTTATTAGAAAATGTGCCATTCTTAAAGTATTCACATATCAAATATGAACAAAATCGCTCCACTACTTTTTGAGTTATAGTAAAATACGTTAAAATGGCAGCCATTTTTCAAAATGGCCACCTTCTACCAAAAGTGTCATTAGAAATAGACAGTGTGCCATGCTTATAGTATTCACATACCAAATATGAACAAAATCGCTCCACTATTTTTTGAGTTATAGCAAAAATCGTAAAATGACGAGTAAAGGCCACCATTTTTCAAGATGGCTGCCATGTGCTTCTTTAATATCTACATTTGTAGCATTATTAATGTCCTTTATAATTTTTTTACATTTAAAACATATTGCTATAAAAGTTTTACATATTGCACCTAAATTACTGTAAAATCGGCACTAAAATGGCCGCCATTTTAAAATGAGTGGCCATTTTGAAATGACCGGCCATTTTGAAAATCGGCTTTCGAGCAGAACTTCTACTCCCATAAGGTATATGTGTACAAAATATGAACAAAATCGGGCCAACGGTATTTGAGTTATTGCCCGGACGGACGGACAGACGGACGGACGGACGTACGGACGGACGGACGGACGGACGGAGGCGTTCCCTATATCCCTCCGAACTTCATTCGATGGGATAATAAACTAAGTCAACACCACCTGCTATGGCTCAGTGGCAGAGTCAAGGTTACCAATATCGCTTGGCCCGGGTTCGATTCCCGGTTCAGACAAGTTTGTTTGTGCGTTATGTAATTCTGGGTGTTTGACTGAGTGGTTCACGTCTCGTATAAAAGGCTGTGGTGTGTACCAGTATGTCTGTGTACCTGTGCACACAAAAGAACACAGGGCTCCTCCAAGGAGGGGTTTCTGGCTCTGTCTTCGAGTGTAAAATATGTAAAATACGGAATATACCAATGAGGTATTGCTCGCGAAATATGGCGGTAACCAAGATATAATTATAAAAATTAGTACCATGGGTACTGGGCTCACATGGTGTTGCTCAAAAGTGAAGTGAATGATGGCTAAAATAACAGAAAATAAAAAAAAACAAATATAATTTTTTGTAACAAAATTATTTCAAGTCACTTGCTACTATTTTGGACTGACTGAGAGACAGATGGACAAATCGATGTTAAGTAAAATGGCTGAAAAAAAAAACGGATATAATTTTTTGCCAATTATTTGTAACAAAATTATTTCACAAAAATGGCGACCATTTTAAAAATAGGCAAGCTTTTGAACCAGGAGTCATAGGGGAGTTTTTTGTATTGATGTTGAACAAAAATAACTTGAAACTGGAATCTTATAGACAGAGGTTTTAAGCAAATGGTCCAAAAGAGGATTTCGCGAGACAGATGGACAAATCAATGTTAACTAAAATGGCTGAAAATAGAAAACAGATATAATATTTTGCCAATTCTTTATAATAAAATTATTTCATACAACTACTCTTTACAGTGATATGGCTTTCTACAATGCAGGACAGCTGAAATTATTTGTAAAGCTAGGAAATGGGCCAAAAGTGAATTTTGCTAGACAAGAATGGCGGCCATCTTGAAAATAGGCGAGCTCTTGAACCAAGAGTCATAGGAGAGTTTTTTGTATTTATGTTGAACAAAATTAACTTAAAACGGGAATCCTATCAACAGAGGGTTTAAGGCAAATGGTCCAAAAGTGGATTTTGCGAGACAAATGGACAAATCAATGTTAACTAAAATGGCTGAAAATAAAAAAAAATGGATATAATTTTTTGCTGATTTTTCGTAACAAAATTATTTCATACATCTGCTTTTTACATTGACATGGATTTTTACAAAGTAGGACACTTGAAATTATTTGTAAAGCTAGGAAATGGGTCAAAAGTGAATTTCGCAAGACAAAAATGGCGGCCATTTTGAAAATAGGCGAGCTTTTGAACCAGGAGTCATAAGGAAGTTTTCTGTATTGATGTTGAACAGAAACAACTTAAAACAGGAATCCTATCGACAGAGGTTTTAAAACGTGCCACTGTGTTGTAGACGGAAAAGTGGATTTCGCGAGTCAGATGGACAAATCAATGTTAACTAAAATGGCTGAAAATAAAAAAATGGATATAATTTTCCGCTGATTTTTTGTAACAAAATTATTTCATATATCTACTCTTTACATAGACATGGATTTTTACAATGTAGGACACTCGAAATTATTTGTAAAGCTAGGAAATGTGTCAAAAGTGAATTTCGCGAGACAAAAATGGCGGCTATTTTGAAAATAGGCAAGCTTTTGAACCAGGAGTCATAGGGGAGTTTTCTGTATGGATGTTGAACAGAAATAACTTAAAACAGGAATCCTATCGACAGAGGTTTTAAAATGTGCCACTATTGTTGACGGACGGACGGACGGACGGACGGACGGACGGACGCACGGACAGACGGACGGACGGACAGACAGACAGACAAGTGAGTGATTGCAAAAGCTCACGATGTGAGCTAATAAAAACACAATGTATGGTCTACAATTAAGTCAACCCATTCTCTACAATAAGTTGTCAGGTCTACAATAAACTTAACACATTCTCTAGTCAACACTGTCTGGACTGTCTTTGACACATTCTCTACAATTTTAAGTCAACACATGTCAGCTCTTCAATAAAGAAAATACAATAATAACTTATTTCCATCTCTACATGTACAATTAGGAATCCAAAGTTTAACACAAACTGGAAAAATGCTGTTTTCTGTTTCAAAGTAAGAAAGTAGCTATGATGAATATTGTGACTTACAGTATTGCATCCTCCCCTCTTGGAACTTTCCCTGATTTCATCATGTTATAATACTCCAGGGCCTCCTTCTCATCATTGGTCTCATATACTTCTCCAGGTTTACGTTTACGTCCCTGTAGCAACCAAAACATAAATATATGAATCATATATCTCTTATATCCCTTACAAATGTTAAAATATCTCACTTGATTATCATGACACGTAAAGGCTTTCTAACAAATGAATATCACAGTAGTTATATTGTTTAACCTTATATATATCCACCCATAAGGCTCAGTCAAAGGGATTTATGCCACCTGATGTCATAGCCTGGTGGTCTAAAAGATAATCTCTTATATACTGAAGTCTTCTTCAAAGATTTAGTGTAAATATCTTACATGAGTTCTGCCTCCAGTTGGAGCTGCTATTTCATCTTCTATCTCCTCATCTGAAGAGCTCACAAGCTCCGACAATTTTTTTTCAACCTTGCCTTTAAGCTTCGTCTTGCTTTGTTTCCTCTCTCTAGATTAGAAATAAAGAAATGTATATATTCTATATTTCAACACTGAATCAGGCTCAGTTAATTATCTATTGAGATATACATGTAAAAGAAATAAGAGTCCTCAAAACATACATAAATATATTATGATAGAGAGTTTTTGGCACAATGTTTTTAGCTCAACGTATTTAACGTAACACATTAACTAGAATTATAAATAGCAGTTCACACAGACAGTTCATGACAGACCCTCATACTCCCATGAAAAAGTCGGCGTTTAAAAAAGTATCTAATTCTCTTTACAAAAAGTGATGATTTTGACAATTATGAATGGTTAGGGGACAAGTGTCCTAGTTTACCTCTTCATGAGTCTGTTCACTCTTTCCTTGACTGTATCCTCCATTGATTGACGAGGTCTGATCTCTTCTCCATTGCTGAGCTTAGTGAGCACTCTCTCTACCTTAGGTGCCAATTGTGCATCAATGGGTTCAAGCTGTTTCAGTAGCTGAAGAATTTATAAAGAATGTCATTCAATATGGATGAAATCTGCTTAATAATACTTATTGAAAATGGCACAATTGGGTGGGCTCATATTATCATATGGTGATTCCTAATATTGTGAAAAAAGTCTATTTCTTCAAAACGAAAAATTAGGAGCCAAGAACAATGGTTTGGTATTAATACCCAAAAAATCAAGCATTAGTTTAGACAATAATCAGTTGTCATATGTCTAAAAACTGTTGATGATCAGACAGAGCGACAGATGGATGAGTGGGTGTTTCCATAGGCTCACCATACCAGCCAACAAAATCAAAGTATTAAAATCATGTTAAAATAAAAACTACTCGTAAGTGACTTACATTTCTATACTGTACGAGGCGCTTGATGACAGGGTGGTTATGTACTGGAATCTTCTTGGCCTGGAGCATCATGTAGAAACTGATATTTACACAATAGCTAAAATAAAACATAGAAAATGTAAAGTTAAAGTTAAGAATAAAGCAGTAAGGAATTCCATACAATATTTTCGTATTTAATGCCTCAGTCACATTTGATTTACGGCAACTGCAGCTTCCCAGAATTGAGAGAATGACCAGCACAAAATATAGGGAAAATATAGAGCAAATGTGACCGAGGCTTAAGGGATATAGCTGGCCAGTTATTTGCTCTGCAGAGATATGTCTCATATAATTAACTGTATCTCAAGTGATAAATGTCAAGTCTAAAGCTATAAGGATGTTTAGTATTACTTTGAGTGTTTCTATAGCGATGAGTGCTTCATAAATATTAAACAGGTACTTTACTTCTTGGCTTTAATATTAATATCTCCAACATTGATATAGAGCCCCACTTACTTCATGTAGAGGGTATATTTTGTCATGATGAAATCTGCACCATTTCCAGGGGGTATGTTGCCATTCTTAATCAGGGTCACCAGAGGCTGAAGTGTGGATGTCACTTCTCCTAGTTTTGATTTGAACTCTTCAATCAGGGGTAGTAGTTCTGGGGATTCTTTTTTTAAAAGCTGAAATTGTTCAGAAAAAAGCATTTTACTTAAATTGTTCAGTTTACTCAATATTGAAATCGTTAAATAAGTTTGAAATGTTCATTTTATTCATTTAAAATAAATGTACTACAAAAGAGCAACATGCAAAAATACTAACCTGTATTTTCTCCTTCTTTGATAGTTTGGAAAGATCTTTTTTAACGATTTGCTTTTCAACACCAGCTTCTGTTTTCTCAGTCTCATCTACCTGATTGGTGAAAAATAAAACACATAAGGGATGACCCTAATTGAAAAACATATATCTAAAACATTCCAAAACCTGACTAACACACCCCTCAAAGGGTCTAAGATGATTTTAATAAATTACATTATTAGGTTTTTATATAATTTCTAAGGTACCCTCAATCTTTGAATTTCTCTTTAACTCATATTAAAACCTGTACTTTGAAAAACTTTGTAGCAGAATAATTCTAGTGCTCCTTTCTACTTTATAATGCAAACAAAATATTATGTGTTAAAAAGAAAATGGAAGGAACATGTGATTCTCAATGGCCATTCGAGTACAAACCTTGAATATTTCAAGCCCAAAGTCGTCATCATCAAGGTTGTCAGCCATCTTCCTCTGAAAGGCAAGAGCTTCTTGTTCCTCCATCTCAGCTGCAGCCTCAACATCTGAACCACTGACATCTAAAACAATACACACAATATAATAGTGGGACTACATTTTCAATATATCACAAATCACTTTATAACAATAGTAAACTGCTCGACCTACCGAACTACCTCCCTATTGTATTGTATTTTGTTTACCACCAATGAAGGTGAGCAATACCTCTTGGGTATGTCCCGTATATATACGGTCGTAATTTACGTAATTGACATGGAAGATAGACCCAGAAACCCCTCCTTGAAGGAGCCCTGTGTTCTTTTATGTGCACTTATACATAGACATACAAGTACACACCACAGCCTTTTGTACGAGTTGCGGACCACTCAGTCAAACACCCTGAAGTACTTCACGCAAACAAGCAAATTTTTAGTCTTGCCTGAACCGGGGATCGAATCCGGGACCTATTGCGTAAGAGGTACCTGCGCTACCGCTGAGCTACATGGGTGGACATAATCAACCTATCAAGCTTACTTATATGATATATCAGTTAGATTATGAAGATGCTTTATGCAATATAAGGTTAAATATGACAATAACAATTTCCATGAATAGTTAATATCCGATACCGAGTGTCTCTTTTCATTGCTTTTGATAAAATGATTCTTATCTAATCTAATCTAATCATCAAACATAATACTGTAGTCTTTCATATACTTTCAATCCTTTCGAGTGGAATTTGTCTGTTTAAAATATTAAGATACATTTGATGTATAGGTTTGCAAATGTAATATGTTCCTACCTAGGTCTTCTTCATCTACATCTGCCCCATAGTATTTATTCTTGGTGGTGCCCCACGCTTTGTCATCAAACTCTACAAGAAAATAGAACCTCAGTTGAAAATAAAAAATACATGTATATCTAAAGTATAATTTTTTTTAAAAGCCTTTGATGTTTATCTTTTCAAAAAATGTGTATTTGAAGATAAAGAAAATATCTTTGTGGGTTTATGCATGGATTCTAATATCATATGCAAATCATCTTTTTAACACCAAGAATGAGTGATCTAGTTACATGTGAGTGTAGCAATTACTTACTTTGTTCTTCATCTTCTACATCACTTGCCATATCATCCTGTCTTCCCTGGGCCTGAAACCTTTCCAATGTGGCAGCTAGGCGCTTATCTATGACATCATCATCGCTGTCATCATCAGCCAGGGGCATGAACTCTTCCTGAAATATAGAAAATATTTAGGTTATTTCTTAAATTACAGTATTATTTATCTTTAATTCAACTGATACATTTACACACAAAATATACACACAAGCACATCCTATGCAATTGCACTTATCCCATAGTTGAGGTCAAATCTGTGGAATAACATGTACCGGTACATGTATATATATTTATGATATTTTGCAAATGTGTGGAAAAAGCTTTATCTGCGGAATACGGAGAACATTCCAAGATCTCTCAAAATCATAGGATGTCCTATACATATTCATTGATGAAACAGTTGGATAATAGATGTATAGAATATTTTCATTTGAGTCAAAAAAATTAATTTGAATCATGAATTTTATGTCTCCATAACCTTACCTCTTGGTCTGATCCAGCAGGTCCTCTCAATTCAGTCCCTTTATCCAAGAGCACCTAGAAAATAATCAGACCAATACACATAAGTTTTTAACATCATGTTTATTCATTTCTTTATTTTAAAATATGAATGAATAGTTTTGGTTAATTTTTCCTGGATATTTACTTTTCTATTCTAACACTAGGTTACAATATTTATTAGTTTTCATTTCCTAAATTGACTATCCACTTTTGATTAAATTGTTGCCCCTTATTTAATATTCATACCTTGTCTCTCTCTGCATGAAATTCATCAATTTCATCATACATAAAATCTCTACTTCTTTTATCAGGAACCTTCTCATTCTCATAGGCCCTCTCATCATCTGAGCCATAGCTAATGGGTGTCATTGACTTCTTGCTCTTGCCTGCTTTCTTCCTGGAAACACAAAATTTTTGTTCAATTACTGTATCACATCATGGTATAAATCCTATAAGAAATAATAGAATGTAGTTGTAAAGCAAGTATGATTCTTCTTCCAGTTTGAGTCACATCTTGTCCAATGATAGTTTTTCAACTAAAATATTGTACTTTATTATATCACTATCTAGCTAGTGACAGTATGATTGGTCAGAACCGGGTCACATGTCCCAATAACATGGGATAAGGAAGCCATTAAGGTTGTTCCATATGTTCAGAAAATTTGATGGCTTTCTAAATTGGAATCACTTTTTATTTCAGGTACGTATATCTCACTCCATATATGGTACATGTATATTACTTTCAGTTTTGTACAAGTAATGACAGTGGTCTCACCAAGGATCTAATGCATTAAATAGAGCCCCACCCTGTTGGTTCATTTCTAGCACCCTGTATCTCCCCTGTTGAATAAACAGCAAAACTTAATACCCTCCCCCTGCAGTAAAAAATCCTGGAGAACACTCAGTTGAATGGATACAAACAGTACACCTACTATACTGAACTGTAAAGTGTGGGCCAAAAATAAACCTCAAGCTTCAAAAGTTGTCACAATGAGCTAAATTTTAAGTTTCATGTCTCAAACTCTCCCGAGTGGTAGAAAAATAATTCCCGTTCACTTTAAGTAGCACAATAAATGAATTCAAAGCTTCATACCTGCAAATGATGGATAAATCCCTACCAAATCGAACGAATGTTTTCATGAATCGCCATGTTTGTGATCCAAGGAGGATTGACTCCCAGAATGCAACATCAGTTGAACTTATTTACTCATGACAGATTTCAAAATGGCGGAACGGCATTTTGAAAGCTGGCACGTGTCATGTTGCATTCTGGGAGTCAATCCACATTGCAGCGCAATCGGGCTCTAAAATCACCTCAACATTTGAAGAGTCGGCATTAACATGTGAATATCCACTTCAAATTTTTAAGTTCTTATTTGTCATTATGGACACAAATTCCACTATATCTGGACTTACTAGGACGGAGAAAATAGAGCACTGAATACACTGATGTAAGAATTTATTACATGTGCGACAGCATGTAATTTTCATAGCTTTTGTAATTCTTTATGTTCCCCACTGTAAATCATTTTAACTTCAGCATGAATAAAAAAAATGAATAACATTAAATAAGTCCATAGTCTGCATGAACACTAATAGATGAATGAATAAATATTGTAAATATACTAGAAATAAGAAAATGCAGTGACCTAAATCTTTTGTAACTCTATACATTAATATGTACTCTTTGTGCAAATCTGAAAAATGTATGGAATAAGTTGTATGTGCCTGTCCTGAAGATAACATGGGACTCCAATTGAGAAACAAACAGAATGTACACACGTTAAATTATATATAATTGAATGATCGAAAGTTAAAGAATTTGGGATATTTGAATTATTTTGATGGGGCATTTTCACTGGACCTCACAAGAGACATCTGGTGAAAACCTGGGACATTTTCAAACCCTTGGCCATTACATATTTTCTGCATTATCCTGGTTTTATCTAGTGTCAAATTTTGTCCAGTGACCATGCCAAGGTCAGTCAAGCCCCATGTCTGGCCTGCCAGGACACACTATTGGTCCGAATCTTAATAGTCCAAATCCTGATGGTCCGAATCCCAATCATCCACATCCATATTCATTCGAATCCCAATTGTCCGAATCTCAATCGTCCGGATCCCATTCACCCGAATTTCAATCATTCGAATCCCATTTGTCCGGAACCTAATGTGATTTGGACCATTGGAATTCAGACGAATGGGATTCTGACCCTGAGGTTTCATTAACGGCATCCTTCAATGGAGAGGACATAAATCAAGATTGGGTGGAGGTAAATTAAAAGAATAATTACGTTTTTGGGACGCAATTTGAATTTCGTAAATCACCTCGTGAATCCACTTACCTTCAGTCTCTTTATTTCGTCAGAATCCACTAAATAATTGAAGGAAATTCTATTTCTAAAAGAAATAAAATTTTCTTTCAAAAGTTTCCTTCCCAGAAGTTGATATCTGATCGAAATAGTACGAGGCATGTGATAGGACAAATAGTTATCCAATACTCGATATCCGAGCAGTAATCAGTACGAGTCTTACGATTGGCCGCTAGCTGAGGACCCGATTTAAACCATTCTCTATTGGTCAAGTGCGATCACAAGATCATTATTTAAGAATGCGCATGCGAAAGAAACTGAACCAAAAAATTGAACCTAACGCAGATTGCCCCTAAACTAAGCAAAATCAGTCGCTAATTGCTTCGAAATACGCAAAGAAAATGTGTTTCTAATGGTTGAATATAAGTTATACCTCACAAGTGATGGTATCTGTATCATTCAATGACATACTAGACTCGCCAGAACACTGATTTAGACCGATAAATAGCAAAAGCGATACAAAATTTTATCAATTTTATTTTGGTTAGTGTAAAAGCGTGACTTTGAATTCCCAGGAAAATTTTTTCAAGGGACGCAGTTTTTTGAGGGGAGACGCATTTTTTGAAAATCGTAACGTCCCAGGGACGCAATCTTGGACAAACCTACTGAAAACACTGGGATCATTTGGGATTTGGACGAGTAGGATTCGGTTATCTCGTTCCAAGACTATCTCTACGTTCTAGTCTTGCAAACGTCTTATTCTTTTGCCTGTATGATTACAACATGGGAGAATTTTCTACACATCTTACACTTAAGATACCTGTTTCAATAGATTCCTTGGTATTTTAGCATTCTTTCCGTGTAGTTGAATCCACAATTGTGTGGGTTTATCGGCAGAACAAAGAAATTTTCGTTTTTGATAGCAATATTTGCGTGTAATATTTATTTAAGGTGACTGTTAACTTAATCGATTTTCAGAAAAAATTGAAAATTTCACAATCTTGAAATTTTCAAACTCTTCCTGAGAAGTTGTTTTTATTATTTCACATATGCTTGTGCACTGTAATTATTACAAAGACATCAAAGAACAACAAAAAAAAACTTTAGTTTGAGAAAAAAAGTGCTGTTTAAAGAATTTGAGAAGATTTTTTTCTAGGAGTAGCCCGTGAAAAACCGCTGATTCAAAATATCTGAACATTTCAGAAAATATACTTCAAACATATATCAAAAACGAAGGAGCAACGGAAATTTGGAAAATTAGCCGATAAAAAAATTGGAATCCAAATAAGGAAAAAAGTACACTTCTCAAATTGTTTTTTTCTATTTTTTTTTAATTTGTATGAGAGATTTCAAAATTCTAAAGCTCCTTCCATTTTGGGCTATATTAAAGGGATGTTTCAGAGAAATTAGAAAAAAAATGTTCAGGGACCTTTGCCGTGCTACTCTTTTTGTCAATTTTTCTGTCACATTTTCAGAGGACTCAAATTCCCATTCCAAAATGTTTACTGTTTCTATTTGCATTACCACAGTGAGCCTGGTTATATAAATGATAAGTGGAACTAAAAAATTGAGAGAAAATCCAACCAAAAGACAGTTAATTTTGATGGTCAGATTATACTCAAATGCCATGTGCTTCCTGGTTTCGGCCATCTTGGAGTTATAAGTTACCTTAACTTATTTCAACCGTCAAATTCCTCCATTCAGTTCCCGGCATGCACCAGTCATAAGGGAAATCCCTGGGGAATTCCCTTTCCCACATTTTGAAAATTGCTGATATATTTCCGATGTAAAAACTAAAATCTCTTCGTTCTGCCGATAAACCCATACAATTGGCGATTCAACTACATAAAAAGAATTCTAAAATACTAAGGAATGTATCGAGGTAGGTTATTTAGGTGTGCAATGCGTAGTATTTTCTCCAACTATGTAAAAACATTGACTGACCAATAATTGGCGCGTACGACCACAATCTAAACGGGTCGTAGGATGCGATAAGAATTCGGACCTTTGGGATTCGGACCAATGGGGTGACCCCTGCAAAAATGGTGCTGCAAAATGGATCAACTGAACAACAACAATAAATAAAGACATATAATCAGTGGATACCAAGATTACAGTGGGGGGCATAAAGAATTACAAAACCTATGGAAATTACATGTTGTCGCATATGTAAAAAATTCTTACCTCAGTGTATTCAGTGCTCTATTTTCTCCGTCATAGTAAGTCCAGATATAGTGGAATTTGTGTCCATAATGACAAATAAGAACTTAAAATTTGATGTGGAATTCACATGTTAATGCCGACTCTTCAAATGTTGAGGTGATTTTGGAGCCAGATTACGCCGCAATGTGGGTTGGCTCCCAGAATGCAACATGACACGTGTCAGCTTTCAAAATGCCATTCCGCCGTTTTGAAATATGTCACAAATAAATAAGGTTACTTGATGTTGCATTCTGGGAGTCAATCCTCCTTGGATCACAAACATGGGGATTCATGAAAACATTAGTCCGATTTGGTAGGGATTTATCCTAGTATGTATCCAACAGACTGACTAGAAGTCAGTCTGTTATGATGTACTACTTTCCTGTGGAAATTGCAGTGAAATTTCTTGCACAAAATTATCAATTAGAGGAACCATTTTTTCAATAAAATTAAAATTACAAAATTTCAACTAAATAGTAAGGTACAATTAAATGCAATAAAAAGTAACACAGCATATCATCAAGTGGAAATAAAGCTAGATGAAGTAACAAATGTGCAAATTAATTTTACCCAATCGGCCATTTTGAATAGCACTTCCTATGTAAACAAATATTACCAAACTTTAACATAGGTGCCTTATAGTCTGAATATAATTCAGACTAAATAGGATATAGTCTAGGATTTATCCATCATTTGCAGGTATGAGGCTTTGGATTCATTTATTGTGCTACTTAAAGTGGATGGGAATTATTTTTCTACCACTTTGGAGAGTTTGAGACATGAAACTTAGAATTTAGCTCATTGTGACAACTTTTGAGGGTTGAGATTTATTTTTGTCCCCAACTTTAGCTAACGGGGATACTCTAAGATTTTGGTAAATACATCTTTCCAGTTTACAGCCATCAAAACAAGCTACGGTGTAGGCGAAATCAGGAAATAAAAATGGTATCTGTTCAAATGGTTCTTTTTTGTGTCAAAAAAACATACATTATACACAGATGTATTTCTAAGAAATTTAGACTGGCTACTTCAATTCTGAGACTAAAGTTATAAAAAATAAAATAAAAATTAGATTTCTTTATGGTGAACTTACTTTCTTGCACTCCCCATTTCTCGTTTCCCTGTAAGGTTTCTTCTTAATATGTAATATATGGCTGGCAAAACGCAAATAAGAAGGTTTCAGAATTTTTTTTCAGAAAAAAAATTTGCACGTGAACCGGAAATGTATTACGATAATTAGCGAGATTTGAGGCGAGATCAGAGATTGTTGTAGCAACAAAAGGTAAAATTAGCGCAAATTGTCATTTTATCTGTTCAGTATGCAATTAATTTGATAGTTACAAAGACAAAATATATCATTATCGATTTCTTGATGTGCAAACCTAAAAAAAGAGTAGATTTATACCACTGAGAACAGGATCAAAATATTTTTTAGATCTTTCTATTTTTCAAAAAATTTTCAAAAATCTTCAGACTCCACACGTGCTAGTCTAAACGAAGAATATTAAAGGCCCGAGTAAAGGGGGAGGGGGTTAAGGGGAATGCTTCTGTTCACTATGGTCTAGTCCTAGAGTTAGTATCAGCCTAAGAATATGAATATTTCATTGATTCGACCTATGACTATGTCTGCATTTTACAGTCCTACACATACGTGTACAGTCTGCAGCACTGGATAGATCTAGCCTTGTAGAAGTCTTTAGCATTTGTTGATTTTTAAAATTTGGATATTTGTTTCCAAATGTAAAGCCTTGCAACATACCCATCGGAAAAAGCTTGACTTTATCTGCGATAAATTACATGTAATTCGTTAACCAAAGCAGTTTGGCCCAGTTATCTACTCCTGACGTCGTAAATCTACGACGTCGTGAGTAGATAACTGGGCCAGAAGGGTTTGGTTAGTAATTCGTAAGATAAATACTTCTTACTTGTCATATTTCCATGCTCAACCCAAAGAATACCACTATTTCTACAGTCCTGCTACGCCAAACTATATCCTAAGTAATAACTGGAGTCATAAAATGAACTTCTTTCCGAACAAATATCCAAATTTTAAAAATCAACAAATGCTAAAGCCTTCTACAAGGCTTATAGATAGATCATAAGCTTTTTCTTATGGGCTCATTAATCTTTTTCTGATTATCCATGAATTGATGACATAGTGCTTTACCTGTTTACCATTTGAAAAAATGCTAGGTAATCAACACATTGTACCATAATTGAACATGTTGAAATAGAATGTAGATCCGGATGTCCTATTCATATGGGTTGATTAAACCTTTTTACATCTTGAATTTCTGTGTTACGTTTTGTACTGCATATGTATTTTCCAGTCTAACAATGTCAGATATTGAGGGGACAATAAATAGCTATGAGGCTGTGTGTAAGATCACAAATTCCAAGCCACATGAACACATAATGCGTGTTTTGAAAAAAGAAAAGGAAGTCATTGAAATGTAAGTATCAGTGTTAACTACATCTGCTTTAAAATGTGCATATCAAATGTCTTCGATTAAAATAATGTGAATCTATAATTTTATTTTATTATTTATTATCAGCACTGTCACTGTGTGATAAAATGCACAATCATTGTTTCTATTTTGTATGTTAAATTGATTTATATTCAATATATTGTGATTACATGTATGTCAAATGTGTTGTGCATGCAATGCACAGATCAATACGCATGTTTCTTCCTCCATGTACATGTATATTAATTGTGTCCATGTATGTTCATATAGGACAAAAGAAGAGGGTCTGTGAGTAAATTGAAGTTAAATACATGTTGCTTACTGTATGTTTGTGTGTGATGCTGAGGTTATCTTGCATTCATATAAGACTATTTATATTCTATTTACTCTATTAATTAATACACATGAGAGATTATTCTGTGCACATAACTCTTACATAAAAGCTTTGAACATCAAAGGTAACAATCCCCAATGTTACCCTATGGCCATTTTCTTTCAAACACTGGTTTGATAAATTTGTAAAGGGTCTGGGAAAAAATGAAGCATTACTATAAAGAATGATGCTTGAATTGGGAATGTGTATTCAGAATAATGTCTCACCTTTTATAGATCTTTGGGTCATGTATAATCACTTAAATTACATGTATGTTGTACATATGTCACTTTTATTGAAAGTACATGTAGATAAATGTAGTTTGTTTAGATTAGATTTAATATATGTTTGACCAATTTTTGCAATCAGAAGTGCTTTAAAATGAGCTTTTTAGTGCATTTACTATTTATAGAGATGACTTTAATGGTAGAAGCTGCAATTATAAAATATCAATTTAATATCATTTTAGAACTTTTTTATTTTGAGAAGTTATATTTTTGAATCTATTAAGTCCAGGTTCCCGATCCTTTTTATACATATAGTTTCCTACAATATACTCATTTTTTTAATTAACATACCGTAATTTGCAACAAATAAATTCTTAAAATATTGTTTTTTAGTTCATAACCACTGTAATTTGCAACAAATAAATTCTTAAAATATTGTTTTTTAGTTCATAACCACTGGACCCAATTATAATTGGTCTCTTGTCACATAAAACAGAAAGCCCCTGTGGCAGCCATTTCTTTTGTTATTCAGTAATTTGTTTGCCAATTCACAACCAAGCAACCTTGTTGTCATTGCAGTATATTTTAACACTGTTTAACCTAAAATAAAAATGTTCAAAAAATTCTTATGTGTATGTGAATGTGTATTCAGAATAATGTCTCACCTTTTATAGATCTTTGGGTCATGTATAATCACTTAAATTACATGTATGTTGTACATATGTCACTTTTATTGAAAGTACATGTAGATAAATGTAGTTTGTTTAGATTAGATTTAATATATGTTTGACCAATTTTTGCAATCAGAAGTGCTTTAAAATGAGCTTTTTAGTGCATTTACTATTTATAGAGATGACTTTAATGGTAGAAGCTGCAATTATAAAATATCAATTTAATATCATTTTAGAACTTTTTTATTTTGAGAAGTTATATTTTTGAATCTATTAAGTCCAGGTTCCCGATCCTTTTTATACATATAGTTTCCTACAATATACTCATTTTTTTAATTAACATACCGTAATTTGCAACAAATAAATTCTTAAAATATTGTTTTTTAGTTCATAACCACTGTAATTTGCAACAAATAAATTCTTAAAATATTGTTTTTTAGTTCATAACCACTGGACCCAATTATAATTGGTCTCTTGTCACATAAAACAGAAAGCCCCTGTGGCAGCCATTTCTTTTGTTATTCAGTAATTTGTTTGCCAATTCACAACCAAGCAACCTTGTTGTCATTGCAGTATATTTTAACACTGTTTAACCTAAAATAAAAATGTTCAAAAAATTCTTAAAATAAATCATATTGTTTATGTAAAAGGTTGAAACAATTTAATAATCTTGTACATTCATACTTCCAGTGAGGACAGGGACAAAATGTACCTTGATTTAGCTGGGAACAAGCATCTTATGAATGACAAGAGGTTTACTGATGATGACATGGAAGTGCTGTACAAGACACTGAAGAATAACACCTATGTCACAACCTTAGATTTACGTTACAACGAAGTAACAGATAAAGGAGCTCAGTGGCTTGCCAAACTTATAGAGGTACTGTTTGGCAAAAGTCATATACATTTGAGCAATTAAAGCGAGCATTTCATTTGATTAACAAATACATGTAATTATCATCATTAATTATGAGAAGTCATAATGTTTCTTCCTATGATCTTCAGGAAACACCAGCTCTAATAGAACTGAATGTGATGTGCAACAACATTGAGGGAGATGGGGGAGAGCACCTAGCTGCAGCTTTACATGTAAGTCAGATAACATAGGTGCAGCTTTTTACGTAAATTGCATAGCATGTAGCTGCAGCTTTATATGTAAATGCATCTTTTTATGCAAATTGCAGAACATAGCTGCAGCTATATATGTAAATTGCAAAACATAGTTGTAGCTGTTTATGTAATTTGCACAACATAGCTGCAACTTGATATATAAGTCCGATAATATAGCTGCAGCTTTAGCTTTAGGTTAATTGCACAACATATTTTTAGCTGCTGTTTTATGTTAGTCAGATAACAGCAGCAGCTTTAGATACATATTAATTGAATAACATAGGTGCAGCTAGATGTAAGTCAGTTTACATAGCTGCAACTTTGATATCTACAGGGTGGCCAAAAATGCAGTATGTTATATTATCCTGCAACCTTTTATTGTTAGCCATAGGATAGAACTGTAGAAGCTTGCACATAACAGCAGCTTCATCTGTTTATTAATGCCTTTTATTCTTTCTCTAGAAAAATGAGACACTGCGTATTCTGCGACTTAATGGTAACAAGATGGGTAACAAAGGAGGGATGTGTTTTGCTCAAGCACTTCAGATCTCAACCACATTAGAAGCACTGGACTTAGGAGATACTGACATGGTAGGTGGATCATAGTGTTGATCAGATACAAATCACAAGAACTGACATCAGAAAATACAACATAATATCTTATGCTTGTAATAAATACTACATGCTTCATATAGAACATTTGTTTTTTGAAACATGTGCAACATAGCTGTACTGTCATTGCAAAGCATGTGTGAATCATACTTTAACATTTATTGTACAATTTTTATGATGACAGTACTAGTATTTAAATAGTATGATTATTCTATGATGTGTGAATGCATTTTGATTGTAGAAAACTGAAAGCATTGTAGCCCTAGCAGCAGTCTTGCACTACAATAGAACTCTTAAGGCTTTGAATATTAATAGACCTCTATTGTTCACACAACAGGAGGAACCTACAAATCACTTTGCAAGAATGCTCAAAGTAAGTTCTCTTTAAGTTACTGTCTTTTTGCATGCTGCAACTGTCATCAAGGTATCAACATTGACCCCACACACCCTGCCAAACCCTGTGTTACCTCTAATAATAGTGGATCAACCTCTTAATAATACCCAGAACTTTGAGGTGTAGCAACTTGTAACTGGAGTATGAAGTAAAGCTTTTTCTGAAAAATTTAGTTTAAAATTGCTCTTCTAGTAAGCATCTTTGGAAGTATCAACATTTAAATTGAAACTGCAATAAAAATTAAATAATAATTTTTTAAAGCTTTGATGTTTACTGAAATAGAGGTATCAATGTGAAACACTTCTGTAGATGGAACATTTCCATAAGTGGAACATTACCCCAGTGTGCTATAGCCTGTTATGTGTAATGCTATTTGCAGGTAAATAAAACTCTTGAAGAGCTTCATATGCAGAAATATGACATGAGGGACTTTGGAGCAACTATGTTAGCTGAACAACTAAAACATAACTTTCATCTTACTTATCTCAACCTGAGTTGGTAAGTCTTCCTTTACAAAATGTATTGGTCTGTAGATCGTAGGAGCAGTGCCTGGTGTATTTGATCCAATTTAATTTCAATTTCAAAACAAAACAAAAATAAACCATCCAGACCAAAGAACAAGGTTTGTAGCATTTATAGACTTCATTTATATTTTATTTCAGTAACAGAATCACAAGAGATGGCACTAAGGAATTAGCCAAGTTATTAAAGGAAAACACTCCCCTTAAGGTTTTAGACCTTGGCTTCAATAGACTAGAAAATGATGGAGCTAAATATTTAGCAGAAGCCCTAGGAACATATAATGTCAATCTTACCACGTGAGTTATACATCCCATCCTTCCCTACATAATACTTTCAAACTCTGTTAAAGTCATAACTGTCATATCCTTTTTGTAAAATGTAAACCAAATGAAAGTCAGATTCATCTCAATATGAATATAATAAAAAAAGCTGCAACAGATTTTGTGTTTTAATCAGGTTTGAAGGTTCAATTATCAGCATTGAGTTGTATTTGCAAAATGCATTATAAAATTGTGTATCATAAATATATTGTACTGTATTTATGTTGTCAGGCTTGTGATAGGCAGTAACAATATAGAAGGTGAGGGACTATGTGCTATAGCTGACTGCATGAAGATCAACAACAGTCTCACCAATGTCTACATCTGGGGAAACATTCTTGAGGAATCTGCTTGCATTGTGAGTGATTCATTAGCTATAGAATATTTTCCTCATTTTGAATATAAAATGTTTAACTCTAGTGCTTAGGTGTGTCATACCTTGAGAAAGGAATTCTTTTCTATCCCCTGTACATGCTGTACAAACCTACATCTTTTCAGTGAGAAACAGACATTTTTCAAGTATTCTTACAAGTTTGTTGCTCCAGTTTGAATGCAATACTCTGTGAACAAATCAAATGTCATGTTATTAGAGGCCACACAAGGGAGGAAGGCACTCTCATTGTTTCATTGTTTGCTATTTCTCTTCCTTGATCAATTCAAACATCTCTCTGTCTTTCCACATAATGACAACATGGGCACAGTTTGGCTTTACAGTTCAAATCATTTATGCCACTTTTCTGATGCAGAAGTATGAATGAAATAAATTAATTTTGCTTGCAGGCATTTGCCAACTTAATCGAAACAGGACGCCTTAAGAAAGAGAACACAGACGTTCAACCTTATGTTGTAGATGGGGTCACATCACTTTGTGAACTAAACCATCACATTAGAAGACAATATTACTATACCCACACATTTGGTGGTGATGTATCCAAAAAGACAATAAGGACCTAATGTATATCACATCTTTAGAACCAGATATCAGTATCTACTTTTGCATCAAGCCCCTGTATCCTCCTCCCTATTTGTCTCCCTAAAGTGCAAGGTAAAGAATCTGAGGGGTTGCAGAGGCCTGATGTAAGACATATAGTCAAAACCGAATTCCAATCCACTTTGCTCCATGTCCCATCAAGATTTTGAAGGATGTTCATAAATGTCTTGTTGACTCCAACATTACACTAGAAATAACTGCACAGATTTTACTCTACGGAAATATTAATAAAAATTACAGATGTACGAGGAACTACAAGTGCATCTGTAGATTGACAGAAGAACGTTAAAAGTACAATTCTTGATCAAATGTTTTTACAGTGAAGTTACAGTCAACAACTTAGAGGAACCAAAACAATAAGAAAGATCTAAATTAATTTATAATAAATTCTAAAAATCAACAATATATTTATTTACTTTATATGTACATATTACATTTTTGTATATAAAGCATTGTACAAATGTATATATTGTAAATCAGAAAACAATAATAAATATCTTACATTTTGTATGTTTGGTTATTTTAAATGTCTCATAATTTTGGCATGATATTATTTAACTTGCACCATTTTAGACTTTTTTGTCAAGTTTTAATTTGGTGGGATAGGAATCGGGATGAGACAATAAACATACATCTTGATCGTTCTGTTATGATTGGTTATGATAAGCTAGATCAAAGGATTATCTCTTATTCCAAGAGTAGACATGAAGCTCTTTGTTAAAGAAAAATCATATTGAAAAGGGTATGGTTGTTTTTATGATTTATTTGTGTATATTGATTAACATGTACTTAGATTAACATGTCTTGAGCAAGCAATACTGTTGTAGATTTGTAATAATTTCTATGATGGTGAACTAACTATGGGATTATCTTGCTGCTTCATGACCTCAGTATCTTCTAATCCAGCAATCATACCTTTCGTTTGGGATGCATCAATTCCATTCACATGTGGTGTGTCGCCATCTCCATTTACTTGGAGTGTGTCATTATTCTTCACTTCAATATTGCTATCAATCACAACAGTCTCATGCTCCTTTCCAAGAAGGATGTTCTCCTCTTTTCTATCAAGGTCATTAGTCTTAGATTCAAGCTTTTGTGAATTTGTTTCTAAGTCACTGTCTGCTTGTTCACTGAATTCCACAATTTTATCATCTTGACCCTGAAGATCATTTCTGGAGTCTCTGGATGTGACCTCCCCTGTGTTGTCTGCTATTGAAGTGTCAGGTGATCCTTGTGTGTTGTCTTGCTCCTGAAATATAATGGAAATAGTATACATGTCTTCAATAATGTTACATTATACAATACAACATATTTTCTCTCTAAAACCCTCAGCTGTTACAGTGTTACCAGTTATCATTGTTGGTAGTTCACTCAAGAAAGGTTTTTTTCTATGGTAGTCAATGGAGCATGTTCCGTTTTCACTTAAATTCACTAAGGTATTTATAAATACACACTAAAATATATGCAAAGAACTAATAAAATTGTTTGTTTATACAAAACAATCAAAAATATTGCTTCTCTTTGTTAATCTGTATCTCTGTATAACTCTTTTTTTAATAAAATATGTTTCCTTCAACTTCCTTTAACTTATGAGATATTTGGGATGGGATTTTCAATTTAATGATGGCTCTTTGGAGGTGTTTGACAAACTTCTTTCATTTCTCTCATTTGAAATAAAAGATTTAATCCAAAAAATCATGCCAATACCTGTGATGTGTCCTCTAAGGCAGGTGGTGGTGGTCTCTGCCAGGCAGGAATAACTGGGGTAGAAGCTGGAGTAGGTGGGAACTGACGTCTAAAAACAAAAAGATCCTCTCCTTTACCTGACTGTACCAACCCTATTACAGTATGCGTGTACATGAGATCATTGTTTATATTCCACTACCAATTTCATGAAAAGGCAGTAAATCTGTTATTTCACTAATGTTGATATATGATAATCATGGTTTTATTAACAATATCTAAAATATTATAGGATTAGGCTACAATTTTAAATTGGCTAGAGCATAACACTTACCTGTTCAACAGAAGGCCCTTCAATGAAGTGATTTCAGTCTTGATCTCATTCACATAGCTCGCCTCTGTAGTCTTCATTGCACTGCTACTCTGGAACTGAGTGAATATAATAATTAAGAATTTTACATTTACAATATAGTAAAATTATAATACCTGTCTATCGTGTACTGTCTTTACTCAATAATATGACATAGGCTTTGGAGGGGGTAATGATAACTCTATTTATGTAGCATAATATTTTTGTTATATTCTATGGATTTAAACTTACTGCTGTATTGCCAGTGTTGAGACTAATCTGTCTAATCTGACTTGCCTGTTGCCCAACTGTCTCATTCACCGTATCTAACAAATAACAACACATATCATGGAATATCTGAACAAGTTAAGTAAAAGTATTCAAATAGTAATGTAAAAAAGGCTGTACATTCAAGAGGATATCAAACAGATTATATTTTTGAGATATTTCAATGAAAAGTATTGATGAATTTCCTGATTTAATTTAACTTTTTGTACCTCAGGTATTTCAGAAAAGAATACACCTCAAGTATTTCAGAAAAGAATACATGTTTGATGCATTATAACAATAAAAGCATGTCCATAGGCAGGGGGGCTAGCACAACACAAAGTGACTAAAAGGGATTGTCAAAACTCCGGATAGTTCTACTTTATAAGTTAACACTTATTACTTGTAAAAATCAATTAATTAATACAAGTACTTACATACCAGCCAACCTAAGACCAAAAATTTGCGGTAGTTATTTATTTAATTGCGGTATTTTTGCGGTCGATTTTTTCAAAATGCAGTAGTTTTTGTGGTATTTTTCGACAAAAATGCGGTAGTTTTTCGGGAGATTTTGAAAAAATATGGTAGTTTTTGCAAACGATTTTTGAAAAAATGGTACTTTATCGGAAGTTTTTGAAAAATGCGGTAGTTTTACGGTAGATTTTTGAAAAACTGTAGTTTTGCAGAAGATTTTGTAAAATGCGGTAGTTTTTCAGTAGATTTAAAAAAATATGGTAGTTTTTGCGGTCGATTTTTGAAAAAATTGTAGTTTTGGGGAAGATTTTGAAAAATGTGGTAGTTTTACGGTAGATTTTTAAAAAACTTCAATGAATAAATGATAAAGTATGTTTTTCGAACACAGCATGCATGGAACTCTTTCATAAACAGACTAACAATTTGAACACTTCAGTGTTTTTATAACTACAGTAGAACCTGTAGTAGTTGAACACTGTGTTTTTGTATCACGATACCCAGTGTGTTGACTGATTACACGCCAGCTTACTTAGTTACTTACTAAGTACGCAATAACCACTGTCACAGACCTGCTGACACCTATTTATTTTTGGGATGGTAATGGAATATTACAAGGGCAATACGAGAAGAATTAAGTTTTTCAGAATTTCCAAATAATAACGGTAGATTTTATGGTAGTTTGAACAAGAATACTGTTAATTCTAGCAGAAATACGGTAGATTTTCAAATATTTACGGTATATTTTACAGCCGTTCTTATAGATAAAATCGAATCATAATAAAATATTTTACGGTAGATTTCGGTAAAATTATGGTCAATTTTTTTACAGTTGTTTTTTCGGGAAAAAAATCTACCGTAATTTTACCGAAATCTACCGTAAAATATTTTATTATAATTCGATTTTTTCTATAAGAACGGCCATAAATTTTACGGTAGATTACCGTCAAAATACGGTAGGTTGGCAGGTATGACTTATACAAGAACACAAATGTGTACAATATGTCCCCACCTATGGGTAATCCTGTCAAATGATTATCCTAAAAATGAGTAGACAAGACTTTACCGACACAATTTGAGGACGGAGAATCCAAAATGGCCATCTTAAAATTTACCAAGAATGACAAAAAATTAGTCAGTTCTAGATTTTCATACTAAGAACCACCCCTGAAAATTTGAAATTGATCCCTCACACAGTTAACCAGAAAACATGTAAACAAGACGTTACAGACAAGATTTGAGGACATAAAATCCAAAATGGCTGCCTTGACATTTATCCAGAATGCCAAAAACTAATCTGTTCTAGATTTTCATACTAAGAATCATCCCTGAAAATTTAAAATTGATGTACCAAACAGTTCACCTGGAAATGTGTAGACAAGACTTTACAGACAAGATTTTAGGACAGAAAATCCAAAATGGCTGCCTTGACATTTACCAAGAATGCCCAAAAACTAATCAGTTCTAGATTTTCATACTAAGAATCATCCCTGAAAATTTGAAATTGATCTACCAAACGGTTCACCTAAAAACGCGTAGACAAGACTTTACGGGCAAGATTTTAAGACGGAATTTCCAAAATGGCTGCCTTGACATTTATCCAGAATGCCGTAAAAATTATCAGATCTAGATTTTCATACTGAGAGTCATCCCTGAAAATTTGAAATTGATCTACCAAACGGTTCACCTGAAAATGCGTAGACAAGACTTTACAGACAAGATTTTAGGACGGAAAATCCAAAATGGCTGCCTTGACATTTACCCAGAATGCCCAAAAACTAATCAGATCTAGATTCTCATACTAAGAATCATCCCTGAAAATTTGAAATTGATCTACCAAACGGTTCACCTGAAAACGCGTAGACAAGACTTTACAGACAAGATTTTAGGACGGAAAAATCCAAAATGGCCGACAATAAAAAAGTGATTATGAGTTTTTGCTGAAATCTTTTTACAAAATTATCACATATACCTATTGTTAACAATAACATAAGCTTTTACAACAAAGTACACCTGAAATTATTTATAAAGCTACTAAAAAGTTAAAGCATGAAAACTGAAAAACACCATTCAATATGATAGAAAGTATTATCGCGCGCTAACTTTTCTTAAAACATTCAAAATGGCTGACATGACTGAGCTAACAGGTCCAAAACCTAATCAGATCTAGAATGAAGTGAGCTGAACAAGATGTTAAAGTTTTAAAAGCAACTGTGAAGCCGTTTTTCTTAAAGTTTGCAGACAAGGATTTTAGCATTTGACTTCAAAATGGCCGACAGGAAGTAGGTATCAAGTTAATTTTTTTTCATCCACATCTGTATGCACTCATAAATTATCCCTGAAAATTTGAAGGTGATATCTGCAGCGGTTTTGGAGAAAACTCCCGGACGTACGGACAGACAGACAGACAGACAGACGGACGGACAGACAGACGGACAGACGGACGCGGACAATATGGCCCCACACTATGTGGTGGGGACATAAAAAGGCTCACCTAATGTTTCATTGAGTTTGTCCAATGTTGTCTTCATAGAATTTTGAAGCTGATTGACTGAACTTTGGAGAGTTTCTAACTGTTTCTCTTCTGCACTCTTTCCCATCAGATAAGGAATAACATATTTCTGAAATAATCATCACATATGAACTTCTTAATGTTATAAAAGCATAGCACTACCGGTAAGTGATCCAGTGATCTCCCCAGGATTTTTTCTCGGGTATATACAAAGTTTTCATTTTCACAATTCAGACCAATGCCAACATGCCAATTTTTCATGATTTTTCTCCCTTTCAAGTGGGTGCATATGGAATTTCAGGTTGGTGCAAGCCTATTTTCAAAATCTTAGGTGGGTGATGCGCCCACTTGCTTTAATGCTGGGGAGATCACTGTAAGATTATGAGATCAATTAGAATTTATGATATACATCTCACTTTTAGTAAAAACTCAATTTTTGAATGAGAATATGTTTATATATGTTAATATCCTTTTTATGTATCTTAGTACATTCTTCTATAATTATCAAACATCAAAGTCATGAAAAGGAGAGTACATGTGGTTTTCCGTAATCTTAAATCTAAAGTACTGTGTGTGACATGTACCTTCACTAATGCGTAAACAGCATATACAGCACTGACAACAAATGCGAAGTCTTTAATTCTTGTCCACCATGACACTGGACCAGGTAGAGGCTGTAACGGTTGTAATTGTCCTTGTGGGTAGGGTCCCTGTTGGTACTGGCCTGGGGGTTGGGCCACAGGGGAAGAGGTATTTTGCACTGGAAGTGGGTTGTTTTGATCACCAGATGTACCTGACCTCTCTATTGCAATATCAATTTCTTCACTTGTAAGCCCTGAAAACATCGAGAATAAATGAATTTTATAACAGTTCTGCAAATTATAGTTTAGCATCTGATCTCCCATCGGGACCTATAGGGAGTGACAAAATTGCAAGCAACATGTACAATTGACCAATCAATCTAGCCTTTACAATCTCAAATACAATATCTTCTAAACGACATTGAGTTATTTGGAAACATATTTCAAACCACAAAGTTATTAAAATGTGCACACATAACATTAGAAAACTGATATATAGTACTACAAAATCAATTCTGTGTCTCATAAGTCCATGTAGGGGTATTTTGCAAAGGTGATACTTTTTAAAATAAAATAAATGAAATAAAATTACCTTTTTTCTCAAGAAAAGCTTTTCTCTGGGCAAAGTTGCTGGACCGAACTTGGGGATTCTGTAGAAACTTGATAGCTGTACCAATCTGGAATGGTAAACAAGACATGTACAATACAGTGTAGCTCATTAGATAAGACAAGGCATTAACATGAAAAATATCACTACATGCCATTGGATACAATTGACAGGCAACCGCCAGACGCTCCCAGCCAAACACCATCCACAAAAAGACTATAACAATATGTCACCACCAAGTGGTGACATAAAAACAGGCAATCATATCAAGTATGATATGAATATACTAGTAACCTATGCCTATAATATATTTCATGTATACGTTGTATAGACCAGGTATTTGTACGCATTGAGATAAATGTTACATCTACTGACCAATTTCTGATCAAGTCAAGGCAGAAAGTTGGAATGGCCTTTGGTTAAGTATAGTCAAAGCATGTAATTCTTACCAAATTTTCTCTAGGTTGGGTTACAGGTGGTGAGGCTGCAGGTGACATGGCCTGAGGATCATCTGAACCATCACTTGCCATGATGTATGATACTTTATGGTTACAGCTCTAGACACACCTGACTGTTAACTAACATACTTGAATACAGCAACTCAGAAATCTGAAATAACAATAATCTTATTTTGTAAAGTATTTGTACATAAGTTAATGGACAGCTTGTCCATGATCTGGTAAGTACAATTTGAAATTTGTTAAATTTTTGTGCAAAAATCTGAGTACTAAGAATTTCCTGATCTGTCAACAAGGTCAACACCCTTTAGCCCAAATGAAACGTGATTGCCTTGCATACCGATTGTCGTGAGTTATACCTGTGCCATTATGTTGGTCTTTACAACTTATCATGATTAATTCATTGCATGAAATGAAGAATTGTTATTATTGTACATTTACCTGTTTTATTCATGAACACTTGGAGAAAGCTAACCACCAAACTCTTTATGTTGTACACATTATAAAGATCTTTCTAAGGATCATGATAGATGTTTATAATTCATGATTGTAGCCACAGAAACAAATCTAAATAATTCCATGGAGGACAACCAAAATGCCTTCCAAATCCTTGGGCAATAGTTCTTCAGTGCAATCAAAGTATTGACCAAAGAATGGTTGTCTTTACACCCTTTACATTATTGCCCGACAACATAACTGGCTATAAATTCATTCATTTGATCACTTTTTATTTGGTGATGAGGCCAAAACAATATGAAGTAAGAATGAAGATAGAATACAAGATGAACCAATCTAATAATCTACATATGAAGATGTACATCTGTGTTATTGATATATGACTGCCATTGTCAATGTCATATCATTACTATCATTATCAATCACATCAAATATACTGTAGATCGGAGTTGGAATACTTGGCTACCATTGGTAATTTGGTTTCCTGGATAAAAAAACGTTTTCTACTTTTCTGGCCCATTGCAGCACCATTCAAATGAATCGAGGTTTATACTCGATAGGGTAAGTACTTTATCTATCAGGAAACATTTCTAAGTTAGGTTAGAAACAGAATTTCTTGAGATGGCGGAGAAGACTTTGTTGACCAAAATAATTTTCTGAAACAGGGATCTTTGCGATGGTACTTCTCTCCAGGTTCATTTATCTCAAAATCCGTAACCCTATCATTATCTTGTAAGGCCCTGGGGTAATGCAGGGTTCGATCTTAGCGGTAGCAAGGAGCAAATTTGCTACCTGATTACACATTTTGCTCCAAAACTTCGTGGCTGGGAGCAAATGCTTGCTACCTTAAATTTACGCAATGAATCTCATGTATTTCAACCCTTCTATCGATAGAATAAATGGAACTTACCACTCCCGATATTTTTTCATTTTTTCATCGTGTTTCCGATAGGAGCAATTTGCTACCTGATAATATTTTCTTGGAGCATTTTTGTTGCTACCTGAATATGGGGATCTGCTCCTTGTTTTGGTAGAAGGTAGCAAATCCTTGCTACTGGTAAAAAAAGTTAAGGTCAGACCTTGTAATGGCAAGCTATAGTCGGAGACATTATAAACCTCAACCATCAAAAGTTGTCACAATGAGCTAAATTCTAAGTCTCAAACTACAGAGCACTCAATTCGCTTATTCACTTATAATTTATGACATGTTTGACAGAATGTCTTTTTCATATTGTTAGTCATTATTTATGTTCACCACTTCAGACAAAACTCTAATGAAGACTGGGAACTGTTTCACTGAGCTGGAACTGTTTCACTGAGCTGGAACTGTGTTCATTATAAATCCGACCGTCGTATGCTGTTATTTGTTGTTACTTTTTCTTATTTGGATATTTCTTTTTTCTTGCATACGATGGCCGTACACACAAGCCGGTTCTATATTGCAGGAAATGCTTTCCTGGCCTGTCTACCCAACCAAATTGACACAAATGATAAATTAATTTCTTTGCTTCGACTATAAAGTATTTAATCTTACCTTAGGTACGTAAAACGCTTGGAAATTGAGGAAACATAAGCATGCTGCTTGAATTTTAAAATTTTTTCATTTTGCTTGAATTTTAAAATTTTTTCATTTTGCTTACCAAGGTCACTTCTGGGTAAATCTGATAGTCTTGATGTAAAACTATATCAAAAACGAAATCATAAGTATTTGTTACACGAAGATTCAGATCGAAGAAAAGCAGTGTCCTTAAGAAGGGAAGTAACATGGAAAAGTTATTGTTTCAGAAATGAGAAAAGTAAGTAGTATGAGACAACGGCTTTTGAATCTCTGTGTAATAACTTATTATGATTCCGTTTCAATACATGTTTACATTTAGACTACCGGAAACAACATTTAGCAACATGGCTGGCGATAATGACAATATACTTCAATTGATTATATTTTGTCAATTATCAAGCATTTTACATGTCTAAGGTCAGGGTTCGAACTTAACTTTTCAGACTGGTAGTGAAAATAGTTCCCGGACATTTTTTCTAGGTAACTAAATTCCAAAGTAAGGTAGTTGTTTTTACCGGTTGAAAAAATGTTGATAGACACGGTTTTCCTTCACACTAAAAACAAGTCTATCGATCTGTTGATCTCAAATTTATTATTAATTATTATTCCATGATAACATTTGAAACTTCATGCCTTGTTTTCAGAGATAGTGCTAAGAACATGTATCTATCATGTCTATGTGGAATCACACCAGGAAACTTTCAGAATAATAGATATAAATATATTTGCCTCAAAAGATAGTATTTTTCTGACTCAAAAGTAAACAGAATTAACTTTAGACCTTAGAAGAATGTTTCAAGTTAAACAATTCAGAGAAAACTTGTTGTCTTATGAGAACATACACATTGGTAGTCATGTGATCAGACCAAATTATAACAGGCCAATCATGTTGTTTCAATATTCAAATTTAAATTTCCCACAATGATAAACATTCCTAAGTGGCTCTAAGTGAAAGGTCAACCTGCTTAATCTATGCAGCTGTTGCGTATTAGAGTTTCCCTCCCCAAGATTTTATTTTTTATTTCAAATCTACATGGTGAAATGGGAACTGCAAACTTTATTGAAGGGGGTATGCTTATTGAAAGCAATTACTAGTATTTTTCTCAATAGATGTCTCCCTCACACTAATCTGAGAACAGGAAGTTCAAAAAGTATCTTAATAATACAGTGATTTTACCTGAAAATTGCCGGTTTTTAAGACTTTATTTTAGAAAAATAAGAATCAGTATGGTAAGTCAACACTTTATCTTATGTTTTGAGAAGTTATAGCCTAAAAGCTGAAGTGAAAGAGGACGAAAAGTGCCAAAGAAAAACATTTCAAAAAAGTCAGGAAACTGTTTTCGTTACTTGGGCATGTTGCTAGGTAGTGATTTGAGAAAATAAAGGAACGAATCGTAACTTCCGCAACGCTAATTTAGAACCCTGAAGGTTAGACTATATCCTATTTAGTCTGAATTATATTTAGACTATAAGGCACCTATGGTAAAGTTTGGTAATATGAAATATTTGTTTACGTAGGAAGTGCTATTCAAAATGGCCGATTGGTAAAATTAATTTGCACATTTGTTACTTCAACTAGCTTTATTTCCACTTGACAATATGCTGTGTTACTTTTTATTGCATTTAATTGTACCTTACTATTTAATTGAAATTTTGTAATGTTTATTCTATTGAAGAAATAGTTCCTCTAATTGATAATTTTGTGCAAAAAATTTCACTGCAATTTCCACAGGAAAGTAGTACATCATAACAGACTGACTTCTAGTCAGTCTGTTGGATACATACTATGTCTAAGGTAAGATTTAACACTTTGATGTTGGAGCAAAACAATAAATGGATAGTTTGTGTGACTTTGGTTGGTATGGTTACCCAGACAGGCCAGGAAAGTGTATCTACGACCGTGTATGCTAAGAAAATGATAAAAATAAATATCCAAATAAGAACAGAAACATTGAAGAACAGCATACAACGGTCGGATTTATATGACTAGTGCCCATGAACAAAAATGTGAATTATGAGATGGGATTTTTAACTGCGAACTTCATCCATCAGAATATTAGATTCAGAATCGAATGTGAGAGAGAGTCAATCAATCATTGAAATAATTTCCAAAAATTGAAACGCATGAAATCAATGTTATAGCTGACAAGCCTGATGGAATATTGACATGGGCTAAGAAAGTATGTTGACCTGCAATTAACGAGTACCTTTAATTTGTTTGAAATACCTTTATAAATACACAAAAAACGTCGAAACCCTACCTAATTTTTTTTCAATCTTTGAACCGGAAGTTCAGAAATGCGGTACAAATACGAACGTGGGTTGATTGTGTTCTCAAACGCCCCACTGACTTAAGGTGCCATGGTACAATGTACTTAACAAAAAATGACAAAACAGGCCCCTGAAAATTTGACTAGATAATAGCTAAAACTAGCACCTCAGGAAAGGTCACTGAAAAGAATCTTTTGAATTTTTCAGAAAATGTGCCCAATATATTACTCGCTTAATTACATGTAAGGTACACCTGGAAAATAACATTTTGGTTAAAAATTGCAATACCTGCACATGTTATTTTCTGGTACAAAATAAAGCATGAAGGCATGTATCAATTTCCTTGCTTTTTTCAGGAAAGTATCATTACATTGTCTTCTTTTAGTATATCTGGTAGGCGTTCAATGGGAACTCCAGGAAATTCTGATATTTCAGTTTTCACACTTTCTATTTTTTCAAATTTTCTTTCAAAGTTTCCAGACAACACAGGAGCTACCATTGACCTGTTTCCAGGTTTACTAAAAGTAGACAGTGTAATGATACTTTCTTGAAAAAAACACACATGCCTTCATACTTAATTTTGTACCAGAAAATAACATGTGCAGGTGTGCAATTTTTACCAAAATGTTGCTTTCCAGCTGAGCCTTAACTGATAATATCTTAGAAATTTTAGAAAATTGTGTGAAACAAAAATGGCGGTCATAAAAGGAAAATAGATCGCTTTTCAATTCATTCTTTCTTTTTCTACAAATAATATCAAATTTTGTGTTCCCATACCAACCAAAATAATGCTCAAAAGCCATACCATATGTCCAAATATAAGACCATTGCCATACCAAATGTCCAAATATAGGACCAATGCCATACCAAATGTCTAATAAATATACATGTAGGACCTTACTTTATTTACACAAGTCTCCATCTCTCTAAAGATGGCTTTGTGCAAATAAAGTAAGTAGGACCAATGCCGAACCACACATTAAAGAAAACTAAAATTCAAACTGAATGCCCCAAGAAGGCAGATCTTTGAGGAAAACGATCCAAAACGACCTCAAATTAAGGATATGTGTAGCTACGAGACCAATGTCACACCCCAAGTTTAAGTTTACATATTTTCAACGACCATTCTCAAACCAGAAAATGGAAAAATCCGATCATTGCCATACCTCAAGTCATAATTTTGGGGGGCATTCTCATACCAGATCCTAATAAAATTTGGGTCCAACATCATACTTATACTATATTGTCCTTCCCTTTTCAATCGTAATAAAAATTTAAAAACAATTGGAATTCATTGAATAATTAGATTTTATTTTATATATTAGTTCATATATGTACAGTTCTTTAAAATATAGAATATACACTCATATTTAATATATATCCCAAAACAAACATTTAATTTTCATATGTCATATAACATACTGAAGTTTAGAATGTTTATCAAATATTTTAAGGCCCTTACAAAAATAACTGTTTAACAGTGACCATTGATCTAGACTAGTTTAAAACATCTTTTCAATATTAGAATAAAAGAAAAAAATCCTACTAAACAGCTAATATACCTGAAAGGGCCTTACATTTTCTTCTATTTATTACCATGGGCTTTCAACTACCCATGTTATTACTAAATACATATGTACATGTTATGTAAAGATAGCATGAGTATTTTGAGCAAGATGCATTCCCTTTTACATAAGCTGTCTTAGTTCACTATATACAACAAGACTAGTGTTAAATATCTACACACAATTCATTTCATAGCCTTGCCCAAGTCGGTCTCTTTTACTTATTTTGATTTCTATTATTTCGGTAATAATTCAAGATCAAATAAGTAAAAAATACCGAATTGGGCTATTCATTTTACCAAGAACTTGAAAAGCCATGTTTTTATTACAGTTTTTGATTCTTGTTGCACCTAAAAAGGAACAATATTGTTGACAGCTTGGGGAGTGAGTGGTGGAGTCTCACTTCGACATTAACTAACATTGTTTGGAAAACATTTTGTACTAGCTATGATAGCTATTTATGTTACTCCATAAATAAAGTATTACAATATTCTCACTGTTTTGACTGCATATTTTCAGGTGGGTTACAAGTTAATAGTTAAGATGTGTTAATTTGAACATGGTTTAGAAAACACATTTTAAGCATGTAATATATGTAATCCTTCCAAAGGATATACAAACCCATAAACTAAAATGGTCAAACTGAAATGACCAAGGACCACCATGAATATAACCCCTAATGCAGACATGACTAGATAATGTTCATTAAACAAAAAATAGTTATAGCTATTGCACCATGTACTATTCATTTTCTCTGACTGCTTTAACCTAGAATATTAACAAACAACTTTAACCCTTTCACGCCAATAGGCCCCATATGGAGCCCTATTATGTAATACCTTTCAGAACGATACGCTCCTCTTGGCATCATTATTTTTATTGATATACATCAATGAAATGACAATATCTCCAGTTCTATTCAGTATTTTTACACCAAATTTTGACAAGTTGTTTTTATGTGATCATCCTTACTAAAAATTGTATTTCAGTGATAAAATTCAAGGTATAGGTCCCGGGGCGCAGTTTTCCGCTAAAAACGCTCTTACTTATCTGTCACCAGGGACAACTTTTTCCTCTTTTAATCATGTCGGGAAAGGGTTAAGCATCTAAGAACACATATACGATGATGGGTATTAGAAAACATTAATAAACTATGAATTAATTAATACATTAATACACTACACAGTGATCTCAACAGGATATTTTCTCAAGTGGGTGCAAAATTCTCATTTTCACAATTCAGATAAAAATTGGTCAAAATATGCCAATTTTTCATGATTTTTTTTCATTTTCAAGTGGGTGCAAATGGATTTTCAGGTGGGTGCAAGTTAATTTTCAAAATCTCAGGTGGGTGCTGGGCCCACTTGTTTTAATGCTGGGGAGATCACTGCTACACGTATTCAATTCATCACAACACAACACTATACTCATGGTAATGGTAAATAAACTACATTGTACACTTTTATCAAAATACATTTTGTGTAATCTAAGTGTTGCATAAGCACGGGAAGGAGAATGTTCAGTGAGTTTTAATTTGAACCAGCTGTTTATGTCAGCATAAAGAAAATGGTCATGCCAACTGGTACATAATGAAATTTTGCCATGTAGATAAGATGCAGTGATGTAACCACTTCCTTTTCCCTACTGACTCATATAGTCTATTCCAAGTCCTTTGTGTAGGTCTACAATCGATACAGCCTTTATTCATTACATTTTATAACGGAACAGATTCTCATGAAACTTCATCAGAAACAAGTATTTTTAATCTGGCTTCAAATGATGGCTTTTTTGTCAAGTCAGAAATCTCGAATGGTTGATAGACTTGGAAATATTTCATCAAATTTCCATAGATTTTCAACGCCTCTTTGTACCACCAAATCCTGAAAATAATGTACAAAAGTGAAATACACACAACATTAATATATCAATTCTACTACAAATTGAATATGTTTTTACAATTATTACCATCATGGAAAACAAATCAAGGATGTTGAATTCAGTTCTTTAACAATTTCCAGTTGTTTAGAAGAATAACTAGACAATGGCAACTCCGCGGAGTAGCAAATCCCAACGAACAAAATATCAATTACTGAATTCCAATCAATTATACTCATTACTTTGGTTAAAATTGAAAAATTTAGATTTTAGAATTGCAAATTCCTGCAAAGCAGCCATTTTGAATTTTCTGAGGTACAAATCTGTAGAATAATACCATAATTGTAATCTACTCCAAAATTCCTTCAATTTGAGTATAATATAGCCATACTTTGAAGGGATCGAAAAATTATTGCGAAATCGTACATTAGACGGCCATTTTGAATTTTACGAGGCTCGAATCAGAAAAAAGATACAATATTTGCAATCTACTCTTAATTGCCTTTCATTTGAGTATAATAAAGCTATACTTCAGAAAGATCTAAAAATTAGCGAAAATTACTGTTTTCCTGACCCCCCATACACAGCCCCTGGGGGTCAGGATGAAAAACACGGAATATATGTGAAATAGATAGATGTTGCGAATATACTACCAAAATTTCAAACAATAATATTAATTACTTTGGTTTAGAATGAAAAATTTATGGTTTTTGCGTACAACTATTCACCAATATACATCTTTCCACTAAATATGAAGAAAGTCCGTGAACTCGTATTTGAGTTATCTTCCGGACGGACGGACTGACTGACTGACTGACGGACTGACGGACGGAGGGCTTCACTATATCCCTACCGAACTTCGTTCGTTGGGATAAAAATGTACAATCACACAAATGATTTAAGTGATAATGCATCATGAATGACAATGAATCATTCATTCAAATTCTGTAACTGCTGATATTAGACATATTTTTTTTCGAATCAATACTATGTAAAAATATTATTAGTAAATTCAGAATGAGAACATTTAAACTAACCTGATGCAGTCCTGGTGCCTGAAGAGCCCGAAAACATGGAGCCTCCACCTGATGATGTGCTTCGTCCTGAGCCGAACCAGCTTGAGCTGCCTCCACTGTTACCCCAATTAGATCCTGACCCCCAACCTCTGCTGCTAGAGCCCCAGCCACTACCCCAACCAGATCCCCAGCCTCGTCTACTACCCCATCCATTTCCCCAACGAGATCCACATCCATCATGATTTCCATAGTTATTCCCATAGTTGTTGCCATAGTAACCATTGTTTCCCCGGCTACCGAACAGATATCCTAATACACCTCCAGAGCCAAACCCTGTCCAGAACCCCCCTCCAGTGTTGCCAGGTTGAGAGTTGGGGTTTGGTCCAGTTCTAGTACCAGTTCCAGCATAGGTATTGTAATTGGCACCTGCAATTGCAAAGGTCAATAAATGTATGATTTTGATTTACACATTAATTTTCTTGTATTCAATTTCCGAGGAATTTTAAGCTTTCTGAAAAAGGTTGGGCTAAATCACCATTTTCATTTATAGAATTTTGAAAGAAAAGTGCTATGTCATCAGCTAAACCTCTGGAATAGCGTACAGGTTAAACATATGCAATGTACCTACCAGTACTCTCACTATATGAAGGTGGTGGCCCCTGTGGAGCCTGACTATACTCTGGTTTGAACCCAGGTGGTGGGGGTGCAGAGGGCCCCTGGTTATTGCCTCTTGGATACTGCTGGCCTGGACCCTGTTGATTGTCATCCGGTTGGCTGGGGGCTATACACTTAGAATATATACCATAGATGATAACTACTACTATGGCCAGGACAAGGATGTCACCAAGCCAGGATGACTTTTTATGTTTCCTTGCTGGATATCTGAAAAATACAGAGGAAGTATATGACTATAAATAAACCTGTAATATCATTTAAAGTGCACATGGTTATACAGAAGGTACTAAATTCCACAGATCAAATTCTAGTGCTCAATTTTAATAACTATGCAACTGCAACAGATACATATAATACATGTATAGAAAACTCTGATTCTTCCCAGGTTCCATTCCTTTTGTATATAAGATCGGAAAATCAGACAATATTCTTTTAAATTCAAGAAACACCTACTCATAATTTCCATTGTCGTATTGGTGGTTGTTGTGCTGACTGTACTGACTATTTCTGTCTTTCTTCTCAAATCCCTCTTTTGTATATTCCAATGTATATTCAAGCTAAAAAGTTGAAAAGTTTAATGATAAATGAACAGAATGAGACATAATATAGCTAGCTACCTATTCTTTTTCAGAAAAAATATTGTTTAGGTTTAATACTGAAAAATATGGCAAATATGGTACTTCTAGTATTGCTGAAATGTGAATAATTAAAAAGGTAAAATATTGGGCTTAGTTGAGAAAAATATACAATATTCTGAGAGAAGGTAGGAACAATAGATTCAAATGGTTCAATCCCTTTAAGAATAGCATTATCGGAAATATCAAACATAAACATCATCCATGCCATGATTTATAACTTTTTAAGCTGAAATTATTTCTTGAATCTTCAATTAAAAAACACTCACTCCACATGAACCTCGTAGAATGTATGGGTCATCTGGGTAATCGAATCCTTCACAGGAGACCTCCACTCGACCAAATCTAAACTCATTGTCCATATCTGCCTTGCATTCCCACTGAAGTTAGAATTACATTTATCATTTATGCATGTTTTGATTAACAGATTAAATCTAAATGATAATAAAAATCAATATATTTTGTTCTACTCTGGGACTGTTGGATACTGTATAACTAAACACTGCATGGGATAATATACCCTCAACAAACATTAAACAATTTTATAAGTTAATCAGTGCATTCAATTATATGTATATCTTCAGTCTATATGAACCATAATATGAACACATATTTCAAGCTAAATTTACCTGAACATCATGTCCATCTGATCCTCTATTGTAACACTGTACAACTTGAGGTTGGAATTTTCCGGCTGCACTTCCACCAACACATTTCATCTAAATGATAACAAACCATCATGTACTAAATCTATGAGAAAATAATCAGTTGATAATAATTATAAGCATGTGCTTTCTCTTGACTAGACTTATACTGTAATAATAAGTAATGTAAATGTATTTATTACTTCAGACATATTTTTATGAAAAAATCATTTGCATCTTTCTTCTACAATAGGTGAGATACAAACCTGTGGTATAGGGCTACTTCTTCTAGCTGTTGTCATCTGGCCTTGATACAATGTGATAACATTGAGATCCCTCAATAGTACACGGTCTCCTGTTAAAATATAACAATTTCACAAATTATCATTGCCCATGATTGTAGTTATAATTACTATACTATACTCCAAGAACTTTCATCAGCGCAAAAAAACTCACGTGACATTTGTTTTGTAAGTGGTATGAGGAAAGTAGTATTTAAAAATAACATTTTCCTACTTTGTAGAAGTATGGCTCATGTACATGTATTGATTTGGTTATAGCTAGAATGACTGTGTCAGCGACCGCTGACAAATTACAATATTGAAACAAAAATTGAATTATATTTTTTAGCAGTTTCAGAAAATCGGTGGTATAATCACATTCCAAGACCAACAAATAAATTCTCGCCATAAATGTTAAAATATCTTTTTTCATTCTTGGGATATTTTTCTGGGTTTGTGTAAAAAACCGGGTGACCAACTTTCAAAGTTCCACATTTTCCCCGATATATAGTAGCGAATTGTCTTGATAGACTTAGCCTACCGAGTGCACTGCTGTTCGATATTTTTACCCTATACGAGACAGAGCACTTTTTAAAATAACTGATCCAGCAAACAGTGACGTCCATGTCACTTGCTCATAAGTAGCATATAAGTTCCTAGACGACGTTGCACATTTTCGTTCTTTACACATGGAGGCAACGTAAACATGAGACATCTATTGATGGCATAAAAAGAACGTTGTTGTAACGTGTCCGTAAAGTTCGTTAGTGTGGAAAACATAACAAACAGGAACGTTTGATTTTTTACTACATTGGTCCATATGTGACGTAACTCAAACATTAACATTCAACGTTGTCAAAACAGGATTTTAATATCAAAATATTTGTTGGTGGAAAAAAACATGTCAAAAACTTTGTGTTCTCACTAAGTCGGTTCATTTCCGACGTATTGTTAACGTTAAATTTTAACGTTGTTGAAACGTGACGTCAATAAAAAACGTGACGTCAATAATGACGTTCATGGGCCGTATTGATCTGACGTTATTTAAATATTCAGCAAAACGTTGATGGATGGTTGAATTTCAACATTGTGGAAATGGCTTCAAAATATTTGTGAGTTAAGGAAACGTTACAAAGACATCAATATGTTCGCACTAAATCGGTTCATTACCGACGTTATTTTAACGTTAAAAGTTAACGTTGTCAAAACGTTCTTACGATGTGAAATAACCTGACGTGATGTCAAAAATAATGCACATGTAACGTCCAGATCCAACGTTATAAATAAAAAAATTCCTAACCCTGCTAGGAACGTTAAGTACCCAGTTACCCGGTTACCCGTTTTTTTACACAAACCCTATTTTTCTCACCATGTCAGCCTTACAGGAAGTTTTTGAATAGGATGACATGATATGCAATTCGATGGCCTGAGATTTGAGAAATTATAAATTTTTGTTTTTCGTAAAATTTATATTATTTGAACTTTGTCAATTTAACATGTATCTCTATGGAGAAAAATAGGTTTGTGTTCCTCTAATATAGTCTTTCATAAATAAATACAGCGTGGCTCTAGATTAGTATTCTCGCGATGTGCCATAATGGTACATCGATGCATCGGCAATTTTCAGTGGTAAACATCGATGCACATCGCGATGTACATCGAGAAAAAGTCTGAGAAAAGTGCACTGAAATACCGAACGCTAATGCACTAAAATACCGAACATCCGGTACATCCGGGAACTTCTAGTAAGGGTAAAATGAAAGTAAAGTATTTTTTTAGATTAATGGTTCATTTCGACTAGCTAAAACAGTTTTAAAGCGAAAGAATATCAGAAAACATTGGAAAATGAAATAAGACATGAGAAAGGTATGCGATTTGCGTCAAGATAAGATAAGAAAGGGTGATTTTTAGCAAATTAATTTTTTTTAAAAACATCAATGTTTTGTTTCAGACATTGATGCATTGCCAAAATCAGCTTTGGCGATGTATATCGCGATGTATCGATTAATCGCGACAACACTACTCTAGATTACAGCTAACCAAACTCGTCTGGCCCAGTTATCTACTCCCCAATTCTGAAATGTCGTAACAATGTCATGTAACAGTTTGGCCTTTTTTGTGGATATGTGGTAGTGTGGCTAATAAAAAGACCACTGTTTAGTAAACGGTGTTTACTTGTGGATTGCACGGCACACGTTAAATGTGCTTTGTCCCTAAAGAAATAAACAGAATATATAATTTTATATATATATAATACAAAACAATATATTGTGGCGTTTATAAGCCCAAATAAGATGTACATGCAATTTCAAATGTAATGTAAGAATATTACGGTGTTATTATTTCTCTTAAAACTCACAACTCAAAAGTCCATATGAGCTAATAATAATTATCACTGATAAAATAATATCCAGAGTCCATATAAACTGATGATCACTATATAACACTGTTGTATTCCGAATATGCAAAGTTCATGTAAATTGTACCACTTGTACGTCTTGTATTGTTATTGTATCTTGAACCTGGAATAGTAAGCTGAGCGTAACAAAGTCTTGTCTCCTAATTTTGGGAAGCAACTTTACACAAAATTCATAGTACTCATGCTGAAGCTTGGTGTGGATTTTAAAGCAGGGGTTGGCGTAGGGGGTATTGGAACTGCTGGAACAGGCGCTTCTTCGTTTTGAATCTTAATACACACCTGGGAGCATATGACTGACATCAGACATAAAAGTACAAATAAAATTCCACCCACGACCAAGATGATGAAGGGGATATCCAGTTCCATCCACTGTAAACTCAGCAACTGTCTTGTGTCTTGCTTCCAATGAAAATACTGATTCTCTTCATGTTGTTGTAGTATCCTCCACTGTGTTGTAGTATAATTCAACTTTGATTATGCGAAATAATCTAAGTCAAACTATCGGCTCTGTAAATGGCTATCTCCTGGATCCTCCTTAATGTGTTGTAGGATAATTCAACTTTAATTATATGAAATAATCAAAGTCAAACTATCGGCTCTGTAAATGGCTATCTCTTGGATCCTCCTCACTGTGTTGTAGGATAATTCAACTTTAATTATATAAAATAATCAAAGTCAAACTATTGGCTCTGTAAATGGCTATCTCCTGGATCCTCCTCAATGTGTTGTAGGATAATTCAACTTTAATTATATGAAATAATCAAAGTCCAACTATCAGCTCTGTAAATGGCTATCTCCTGGATCCTCGTCACTGTGTTATAGGATAATTCAACTTTAATTATATGAAATAATCAAAGTCAAACTATCGGCTCTGTAAATGGCTATCTCCTGGATCCTCCTCACTGTGTGGTAGGATAATTCAACTTTAATTATATAAAATAATCAAAGTCAAACTATTGGCTCTGTAAATGGCTATCTCCTGGATCCTCCTCAATGTGTTGTAGGATAATTCAACTTTAATTATATGAAATAATCAAAGTCAAACTATTGGCTCTGTAAATGGCTATCTCCTGGATCCTCCTCAATGTGTTGTAGGATAATTCAACTTTAATTATATGAAATAATCAAAGTCAAACTATCGGCTCTGTAAATGGCTATCTCCTGGATCCTCCTCACTGTGTTGTAGGATAATTCAACTTTAATTATATGAAATAATCAAAGTCAAACTATCGGCTCTGTAAATGGCTATCTCCTGGATCCTCGTCAATGTGTTGTAGGATAATTCAACTTTAATTATATGAAATAATCAAAGTCAAACTATTGGCTCTGTAAATGGCTATCTCCTGGATCCTCCTCACTGTGTTGTAGGATAATTCAACTTTAATTATATGAAATAATCAAAGTCAAACTATCGGCTCTGTAAATGGCTATCTCCTGGATCCTCGTCAATGTGTTGTAGGATAATTCAACTTTAATTATATGAAATAATCAAAGTCAAACTATCGGCTCTGTAAATGGCTATCTCCTGGATCCTCCTCAATGTGTTGTAGTATAATTCAACTTTGATTATGCGAAATAATCTAAGTCAAACTATCGGCTCTGTAAATGGCTATCTCCTGGATCCTCCTCACTGTGTTGTAGGATAATTCAACTTTAATTATATGAAATAATCAAAGTCAAACTATCGGCTCTGTAAATGGCTATCTCCTGGATCCTCGTCAATGTGTTGTAGGATAATTCAACTTTAATTATATGAAATAATCAAAGTCAAACTATCGGCTCTGTAAATGGCTATCTCCTGGATCCTCCTCAATGTGTTGTAGTATAATTCAACTTTAATTATATGAAATAATCAAAGTCAAACTATTGGCTCTGTAAATGGCTATCTCCTGGATCCTCCTCACTGTGTTGTAGGATAATTCAACTTTAATTATATGAAATAATCAAAGTCAAACTATCGGCTCTGTAAATGACTATCTCTTGGATCCTCCTCAATGTGTTGTAGTATAATTCAACTTTAATTATATGAAATAATCAAAGTCAAACTATTGGCTCTGTAAATGGCTATCTCCTGGATCCTCCTCACTGTGTTGTAGGATAATTCAACTTTAATTATATGAAATAATCAAAGTCAAACTATCGGCTCTGTAAATGGCTATCTCCTGGATCCTCCTCAATGTGTTGTAGGATAATTCAACTTTAATTATATGAAATAATCAAAGTCAAACTATCGGCTCTGTAAATGGCTATCTCTTGGATCCTCCTCACTGTGTTGTAGGATAATTCAACTTTAATTATATGAAATAATCAAAGTCAAACTATCGGCTCTGTAAATGGCTATCTCCTGGATCCTCCTCACTGTGTTGTAGGATAATTCAACTTTAATTATATGAAATAATCAAAATCAAACTATCGGCTCTGTAAATGACTATCTCTTGGATCCTCCTCACTGTGTTGTAGGATAATTCAACTTTAATTATATGAAATAATCAAAGTCAAACTATCGGCTCTGTAAATGGCTATCTCCTGGATCCTCCTCAATGTGTTGTAGGATAATTCAACTTTAATTATATGAAATAATCAAAGTCAACTATCGGCTCTGTAAATGGCTATCTCCTGGATCCTCCTCACTGTGTTGTAGGATAATTCAACTTT